ATTTCAAGATCAGCTTACATAGATTTAGACCTAGAAAGCCTAATTTATACCTCGTAAGTCTAGTTTAAACTTTGTAAGTCTAATTTAACCCTGTAATCTAGTTTCATCAGAAGTCTTGTCTAAATTGCAACGCCAAGTCTAGACATGAGCAGCACAAACAGGTTTTGGACGAAAGTTAAAAGAACAACACGTGATTGAGTTTGAACCATACATCAGTGGTACCTGGTGTGATTTAGTTTGAACAATACATCAGTGGTACCTGGTGTGATTTAGTTTGAACAATACATCAGTGGTACCTGGTGTGATTTAGTTTGAACCATACATCAGTGGTACCTGGTGTGATTTAGTTTGAACAATACATCAGTGGTACCTGGTGTGATTTAGTTTGAACAATACATCAGTGGTACCTGATGTGATTTAGTTTGAACAATACATCAGTGGTACCTGGTGTTGCTTAGACTATTCTTCAATGATCATTCACATTAGCGAGCTAAGTTGATTACTCCAACTTAACCTAGACAGTTAAACAAAGTTTATTAAACAGCAGCGGATCAATGATTGAAATATCGATCTTTGTCATCGAATGATTGAAATACCGACCTTTGAAAACGAATGATTGAAATACCGACCTTTGCCATCGAATGATTGAAATACCGACCTTTGAAAACGAATGATTGAAGTACCGACCTTAGAAAAAGAATGATTGAAATCCCCCCCCCCCCCCCCCAGTTAGCGACTGAGCTGTATACACTGAAGACACACGTGACTGGACTAAAGTTTCGAGAATTTTCTTTGAGGCTGTTCCTTAGCACATAGTACCGCGTGAAACTTGCTCGGGGCAGTTGGGCTGACTTGAGGATCATTTCAAGTGGTTTTATTTTAAGTTTTTTTTTAACAGAAATAATTTTAACGAAGACACACATAGGCAGAAAACAACACAAAATTATGTAATGAGATAGATCATTGTTTTAACAATATCTTTCAGTACCTATTATATTGACTTAGTGGTGTCTCATTTTTTAAATCGGAATACAGTTTTTTTTCGAATTAGATTTTCTCTCCCCCCCCCCCCCTCTCCTTTCCTCTTCTACCACCCTCATAAAACACCCCGCACGGGGAGAATGGCTAGAAAATTAATTATCCTTAAAAGAACGAAGATGTCTGGACAGACTGATAATGTGTGATCGCCTGGAAAATTTGGTATCTCAATAGCTGGGCCCTCTTTTCTAGACCTACGGACCACACACTGGGCAGACTGATAATGTGTGATCGCCTGGAAAATTTGTTATCTCAATACCTGAGTCCTCTTTTCTAGACACACGGACCATACACTGGACAGACTGATAATGTGTGATCGCCTGGAAAATTTGTTGTCTCAATAGCTGGGCCCTATTTTCTAGACCCACGGACCATACACTGGGCAGACTGATAATGTGTGATCGCCTGGAAAATTTGTGATCTCAATAGCTGAGTCCTCTTTTCTAGACACACGGACCATACACTGGACAGACTGATAATGTGTGATCGCCTGGAAAATTTGTTATCTCAATAGCTGGGCTCTCTTTTCTAGACACACGGACCATACACTGGACAGACTGATAATGTGTGATCGCCTGGAAAATTTGTTGTCTCAATAGTTGGGCCCTCTTTTTTAGACACACGGACCATACACTGGACAGACTGATAATGTGTGATCGCCTGGAAAATTTGTTGTCTCAATAGCCGGGCTCTCTTTTCTAGACACACGGACCACACAAACTTTAGGTTCAAGCTAGAGATGGGTGGTTTAAAAATATTAAAATAATTCAGCTCCATCTTTTCATTTTTTTTTCTAGCGAATGATTTTGTTCATCAAAGCACAGAATTTAAGCCAACACAATTAAGTATTACCTGTCAAACTTTTATACGCCATATGGCCCCTTGACTCCGATTTCAGCCTGCTTTTCTTTTTGGATTTACTTTATCGAACGAAAAACAAAATACAAGGCTGCAGTTGTTTGATGTGGGAGTGTTCTCTACTAGAAGTGTTGCTGTCTCCAGCTATTGTTTCTTATCTGCACGGGGGTTTCGAACCCGGGACTTTTCAGTTGCCCAACAACAAATATTTTTGTCCAACAACAAATATTTCTATCCAACAACAAAACTTTCTGCCCAACAACAAAACTTTCTGCCCAACAACAAAACTTTCTGCCCAACAACAAATATTTCTGCCCAACAACAAATATTTCTATCTAGCAAAAAAAATTTCTACCCAACAACAAATATTTTTGTCCAACAACAAATATTTCTATTCAACAACAAATATTTCTATCCAACAACAAAACTTTCTGTCCAACAACAAAACTTTCTGCCCAACAACAAAACTTTCTGCCCAACAACAAATATTTCTGCCCAACAACAAATATTTCTATCTAGCAAAAAAAATTTCTACCCAACAACAAATATTTTTGTCCAACAACAAATATTTCTATTCAACAATAAATATTTCTGCCCAACAACAAAATTTCTATCTAACAACGTGTACTGCGTGTACTCTAGGATAACGAACAAAAAAGTTACTCATCCTGAATGACATTAAAAAATCGATATGCCCGACGCCTAACACATAGGTGAACCTAGAAAATAAATCTACGACCAAATTCTGACATAGTGCATACAGTTGAAGTGACTTACCACACACCCCCAAGAGTTCTTTATATGCGTATTTCACATAAGGTCTTCAGATGAGTACTTCACATGAGTACTTCACATGAGTACTTCACGTGAGTACTTCACATGAACAATTATTAGGGTCCTGCAGATAAAGCTATGCTAGGGCAGAAGCTACAGCACTCCATGTTGTATAAAAAGATGATGCAGATGTCGCCGTATTGTTTTATATGGCATGTCATGTCATCACACTGTATTCTTTTATTTGGCCTGTCACCTCATAAAATTCTGGCTCCTACACATTTGACCAGCTTGAGCAGCACTAAAGTCTGATGTCAGCATCTGCCACAGCGCATCTTTTACAGCCTGTCTAATCTTCAGGGATTTTCTTTTTATTTTTGTTTCATTAACCAACACTATTGCTGCAGCACATTCTATTTTCGATGCTTTAACTCAAGACAAAAACGTTACAATAATTATAAATCCAGTTTTAATTAGGACATGCTCATGTTTAAAAACTCATTCATTTTCGAATTTTTTAAATTAAAAAAAAAAACACTACATTATTTCTTCCTGGCAAACTTGCAATACGTATTTGTTTTTCAAGTTCTGTTTTTAGAAATAAGAATGTGATTTATAACAAATAAAAAGATTGCGAATAAAAAAATATTGACCTTCCTATACTAACGCAAATATTTAATTTTTAGGCTTTAACTTTACTAACAATGGATTGCTGCTTTAGAAAACAACCGATCATAAATGTGCGGGGGAAAAAGAAAACATGATAGGCCTACTAATTACATTGACATAACCAACGAACTACATCGATCTTTTATCGTCTGGTCACAAATCACGCCACGTGACCAATTTCCCGCTGTTTAAAAATTAGTTTTCGCCTTATGTTATCTTAAATGTCATGGCGGTTTCTGCCTTCTGCTGGAGTTGACCAAACTTCCGGTTTTTCTCGTGACTTTCATGCGGTCATAAACAATGTAACAATAACAACATCCACAGGTCTGTGACGTCATATGGTCGGCTTTAGTCGCTTGCGCAATGGGCATATCAGTCATTGAGTCAAGCTGTTTCATGGGGAAATGGGTGGGGTCGCCAAAACAAAAGACAATTAAACATAGCTGATTAATATTTTATAAGTTTTAATAGCTTGTAAAGTAAGATTACGTGCATTAGACGCATATAGGAAGTAAACACTAGCTTAAAGAGATACAAATGAGATACAGAATGAAAAAGACAAAGTTAGAAAGACAAAGATAGGAAGACAAAGATAGGAAGACAAAGATAGGAAGACAATCCAGTCCTCAATAGTTGTGTCTAAAGTCTGTCTCTAGTCTGTCTCTCCCTCTCTACAAGTTCCAGTCCTCAATAGTTGTCTGAAGTCTGTCTCTAGTCTGTTTCTCCCTCTCTACAAGATCCAGTCCTCAATATTGACTAAAGTCTGTCTCTAGTCTGTCTATTCCCTCTCTACAAGATCCAGTCCTCAATAGTTGTGTCTGAAGTCTGTCTCTAGTCTTGTCTCTCCCTCTCTACAAGATCCAGTCCTCAATAGTGACTAAAGTCTGTCTCTAGTCTGTATATTCCCTCTCTACAAGATCCAGTCCTCAATAGTTGTGTCTGAAGTCTGTCTCTAGTCTGTCTCTCCCTCTCTACAAGATCCAGTCCTCAATAGTTGTGTCTGAAGTCTGTCTCTAGTCTGCCTCACCCTCTCTACAAGATCCAGTCCTCAATAGTTGTGTCTGAAGTCTGTCTCTAGTCTGTCTCTCCCTCTCTACAAGATCCAGTCCTCAATAGTGACTAAAGTCTGTCTCTAGTCTGTCTATTCCCTCTCTACAAGATCCAGTCCTCAATAGTTGTGTCTGAAGTCTGTCTCTAGTCTTGTCTCTCCCTCTCTACAAGATCCAGTCCTCAATAGTGACTAAAGTCTGTCTCTAGTCTGTCTATTCCCTCTCTACAAGATCCAGTCCTCAATAGTTGTGTCTGAAGTCTGTCTCTAGTCTTGTCTCTCCCTCTCTACAAGATCCAGTCCTCAATAGTGACTAAAGTCTGTCTCTAGTCTGTCTATTCCCTCTCTACAAGATCCAGTCCTCAATAGTTGTGTCTGAAGTCTGTCTCTAGTCTGTCTCTCCCTCTCTACAAGTTCCAGTCCTCAATAGTTGTGTCTGAAGTCTGTCTCTAGTCTGTCTCTCCCTCTCTACAAGTTCCAGTCCCTCCCAGCTCTATTCCTGGCTTGCAACAAACGATGTGATATCTTGCAATAGGCGCTGTGATGTTTCATCAAACTAAAACAGCTGATCAAATCAAGTCTAATCTCTAATTAATTCTTGCTCCCTCTTCAGGTTTGCCTGTAACAAACCAGGACAGCAGACAACTGACAGCTGACCCCCGGGTAAGTTCGAGCTGTCCTGTTGTTTACACCGCGTTAATATGTAACCCGTGGACTGACCTGTTTGCACGTCATTATGGAACTCCCCTACCTTGGTGGCTGAAGATCAAATTCAGCATGTCACGTGGACGACTAAATACCGGAGTGTTTTGATGTTCGTTTCAGGCCAGCGAGTCCCTGATGAAAAGTGATCCAACCAATCACAAGAGTGAACCGCTGAAAACACATTCTTCCCCTGACCGTAGCTTCACCAAGCAAGTTTTGAGGGGGGTCTTCGAGGAACTGAGACGGCGACCGGAACTACGTGAGGGCATATTACAAGGTAAGTGTAGAGGGCATATAACAAGGTAAGTGTAGAGGGCATATAACAAGGTAAGTGTAGGACGAGGGCATATTACAAGGTAAGTGTAGAGGGCGTATTATAAGGTAAGTGTAGAGGGCATTTTACAAGGTAAGTTTAGAGGGCATATTACATGGTAAGTGTAGAGGATATATTACAAGGTAAGTGTAGAGGGCATTTTACAAGGTAAGTGTAGAGGGCATATTACAAGTTAGGACATTTTACAAGGTAAGTGTAGTGGGCATATCACAAGGTACGTGTAGAGGGCATTTTACAAGGTAAGTGTAGAGAGCATTTTACAAGGTAAGTGTAGAGGGCATTTTACAAGGTAAGTGTAGAGAGCATTTTACAAGATAAGTTTAGATAGCATATTACAAAAGGTAAGTGTAGAGGGCATTTTACAAGGTAAGTGTAGAGGGCATATTACAAGTTAGGACATTTTACAAGGTAAGTGTAGTGGGCATATCACAAGGTACGTGTAGAGGGCATTTTACAAGGTAAGTGTAGAGAGCATTTTACAAGGTAAGTGTAGAGGGCATTTTACAAGGTAAGTGTAGAGAGCATTTTACAAGATAAGTTTAGATAGCATATTACAAAAGGTAAGTGTAGAGGGCATTTTACAAGGTAAGTGTAGATGGCATATTACAAGGTAAGTGAAGGGTGAGGGCATATTACAAGGTAAGTGTAGTGCAGGGGCATATTACAAGGTAAGTGTAGAGGGCATATTACAAGGTAAGTGTAGGATGAGGGCACATTACAAGGTGTGTATTACATGGTAAGTGTAGGGGACATCTAAAAAAGTAAGTGTAATGGGCATATTACAGAGTAGGGTGGGGCATATAAGGTAAGTGGTGAGGAGTATTACAAGGTAAGCTTGAGGTGGATCTATAACAAAGGAAGTGTAAACACGGCATTCAAACAGACTCCCTACTCCCCGAAGCTTTTCTCTTACCGTAAGCTACTGCTCATTTGTAAACCTGAATTCTGAACGACTGGAATAAAGATCAAGCTTTAGGGGATTCCCCGCTGTCTATCGCCTCCCGTACAGCATGTAAAACTCGTGTTAACTGTGTTTATTTTACTATACGTTATGCTAATGTTGGATCAGGGGGCCAAATGTTGCCTGACTTGTAGACATGAAACATTGGGTTGCTGAAGAAGACAAGACAGACTTAGATAGTAGGGTGTAGCACCGTGGAGCGGGAATACAATCAGCAATGCATTGTTCTAGTCTCCGGTGTAAATTTTCTCGTCGCGTATTCAACACCAGCCGGATGGTAAGTGGCGACCCCTGGGGATGGGGGGGGGGGGGGGGGTCAAATATATAATGAGTGTTTTTCCTGACGTAATCCATTTGTTTACAGAAAAACAAGATGGCATCCAGCAAGGACTGGCCAGAGCAGACAATGTGGCGGAGAATGTGGAGAGCGACGTAAGAGGAAACTTTGCTTTCTGTATGGTAGATGACATGGCTATGGCTACTAGCTAGGTAGCGCCGCATTGCCATGGTGCCAGTTCGGTAGCATTTCATGACTGTGGCTACTATCTAGGTAGCATTTCATGACTGTGGCTACTATCTAGGTAGCATTGCATGACTGTGGCTACTATCTAGATAGAATTGCATGACTGTAGCTACTACACTAGCTAGGTAGCAGTGCATGGCTTTGGTTACAAACCTGATATCGCGAGAGCTTAAGGAAATGTAACGTGGGCACTCGCTGGCTTGTGTAGGCCAACATGAGATGTATTCAGTAGCGATACCATGGCCTTCGTCAATTTCCCACGACCCTCATACGTATTTTTTTCAAGAAAAGGAAAACTATCGGAATGTGTTGAAATGTGTTGAAATGTGTTGAATTGTGTTGAAATGTGTTGAATTGTGTTGAAATGAATCTACTTTACACTAGTTGAAATCTAACAAAACCTAACCAATCTGTAAACCCCCCTCCCCCAGAACGTCCCCCCCCCCGAACGAAACAGAAAATATATACACATTTTTTTAGTTCACCTACCCCAACAGTTTCATTAGTTTCAAGTACCTCACCCCCCCCCATCGCCCCAGAAAATAAAAGTATGAAAGAAACACACTGATTCTGTAACCTTCTTATAACCCTCAGCTTAGCCAGTATCCAAATTAATCTTGAACAAATAATACAGAAGTCAGAAGTAACTTACCCTGTACCTAAAATCTGTATCTGATGGACTACTGCAACAAGACTGAGAGAAAGTGGCTCAGGACATAAAAATCTGTACCTTATGGACGGTGTCCACTAAACTACTGCAACAAGACTGGCGGTAGATTTCAAGTCAAGAGGAACTTGTTTACAGACGCTTGCTGAAGCCAGCTAATAAAGAGATTCCGAAATAATTTGAGTTCTTCAGCTAACAATAGTATCATGTCTTTTTTACAAATCGGGAGGTCTAACCGGATAGGCTAGCCGGGCTATCTAGCCAGCATTAGCAGAGTTTCTTCCAGGCATCTCTTCGGGAAGAGAGTCTTAGAAAGTCTACCGCCCACCCCCCCCCCCCCGAACGAGATGGAATTTATACAGTGAACATACACTTTTACTAGTGTCCACCCCCCCCCCCCCCTAAATGTTGACCCCCCCCCCCCCCCCGAAAAAATATCAAGTACCCCCCGGAGAAAAAAGTCTGGAGGAAACACTGAGCATTACTAACCCGGCTACCTAGCCGGCAATGCTAACCGGACTACCTAAACGGAACGGGCTATCTAACCGGCACTGCTAACCGAGCTATCTAACCGGCAGTGCTAACCGGACTGTCATAGGCTCAGACTAGTACTATAAATAGAAAGTGGATGAATCCTGTTATAGAGTGTTTCCCCGTCTGGAGATTTCCACATCCCCGCCACACCATGGGAGACAACCATCCAAGCCCACTAATTGCTGGATCAGTGAACCCCCCAAGGGCGAGAACTGTATGGAAACGCAGACGGTCCTAGAACTTTTCCGGCTTCTACATTACTTCAGAACATACTTACGTGAAACTTTAGACATTTTTTTTGTATGTGACTTCCGTACAGTTAAATAAGGCAGTCTATTTTGCAAGTTAGTTTTATCATAAACCCAAATGTTTAATAATTTAGGAAAATCGGCATTAACATGACGATACCTAACCCAGACAAACAACCTTATTCGCATTATAGCCCTACTGTTCCTCAACAGCTCTCTCTCTCTCTCTCTCTCTCTGACACACACACACACACGACACACACACATACACACACACGCGCGCACACACACGCAGGCACACACACACACACACACACACAATTCGATGTTTGTCGAGTTTTTAAGCTTGCTAGTTTTTACCCCATCAAACAATTTCTCGGTGGATTGTTTTGTAATCTGCATGTTTCTAATATCTATTGTGTTGGTAAATTCCATGAATGACAAATCCATTAGCGCCATTTGATGATTTGTTTTTGGTGTTATTGTTGAAGGGTGAACTGGGAATTCCATTTAAACCATTTTTTGTTGTTGTAGGTTAATTCCGACTTGGAGTAGTTCGCGCCATTAAAGGTTTTTCTGTTGAAGTAGTCACTACGCTCAGTGTGGATTGGGTAGAAGTGGTTGCTAGGAGAAAAAAGAATTGGACAATTCCACAGCTTTTTTTTTTACTTTAAAAAAACTCACCCAAACGTTATCTCCCCTCCCCCAATCAGTTTTACGTCTTCACTTGTAAAACAGGAGTAGCGTCCCTTGTTTACCATTTCCTACCCATATTCAATAAAAACATTTTCCTCCGGAGTAGCCTCCCCTCAAATGTCTATGTACTGGTGTTTGGCTAACACTTAGTTTAGTGGAACTGTCGTGTCGGAGGAGTTCAGTCCCTTATATTCATCTCTCTACAACCAATGTAACAGTATCGCTTACATCCATCTCACTACAGCCAATGTAACAGTATCGCTTACATTCATCTCAGTACAACCAATGTAACAGTATCGCTTACATTCATCTCACTACAGCCAATATAAGAATTCGCTGTTCATCGCTTACATTTACCTGACTACAACCAATGTAAGAATTCTCTGTTCATCGCTTATATTCATCTCACTATTTCCGCTTTGGCCAATCATATGAGTCACACGTAATCTTTAATGAACCTCATCCCAGGAATTTAAATTAGTCTTCCAGTTGCTAGTGGAACACCGAGCAACAAAGGGCCACTTACTCTTATGCCACGATGATTTACATCTAATGTTTATGTAACTTTACCGCCCCTCATCACACGGGGAGGATATGCCGCCAACCACAGATCATCACGACCAGCCAACTGTCTCAAGCGGATTGTAAACTTTGTGGCGTTGGGTGCCAGTCTTCTATTGGGGCGAGAGCTTAATGTCTGTTGTTCTGTATGTTACTAGCTCGGAGCCTGTTTGGTGACAAATGTTAACTTTCTACGTAGTTTATCTTATCAAATGTGAAATGCCTATTATATTTTCTGTACAGCAAAACCTTAGTGACGAATGTTAACATTGTACACAGTTTACCCTATCAAGTGTCAAGAAACGTCTACACGTAACTTGCTGGCCACTCGATAAGAAAATGTTTCTTCGGCAGATATATATATATATATATATATATATATATATATATATATATATATATATATATATATATATATTGCCCTTTTATGCACTTGCCGCTACACCTGTCACTAAAATATGGCTCATTCCTTGAGAACAGTTATGGCAATGACACCATATCCCCCCCTCCCACCCATCTACATCATTGTTACATTAACTGCTTTAGTTATCCTGCCCATTGCAAACAATACAATTAAAATGATTTAAACCAGCTGCAGGATGTCCAACAAAACTCTGGGGTGAAGCTGGAAGACCAAGGTCAGGCCAACATCCCTAACAACATCCTTGGCGTGAAGCGGAAGCTGAAAGAAAACGGCGAACCGAACCAAGGCCTTGCACAGCAACAGACAGCACACAACAGCGATGCCGAGACGACCAAACAAGATGATACCAGTCCTAAAGCCAAAGAGGTAAGGTGAACAAAGCAAATTCGTTGTTAGATTTGTTGCACATTATGTGAGTATACTTTTGCTACTGTTGTTAATTAATTCGTGTTTTAAGATTTTATTTTATTTGCTGTTAATGTTTTGTTTTTTCTGGGGGTGGGGGGGGGGGGGGGGGGGGGTCGTTAAAATGGTGTTACGGATCATCAAAAAAAAAACCTTTACACTTTTCATCAGTAGCAAAGGGTAAAGGTCGCTTTTAAAGAGACTTGCTAACAATTAACAGAGTGTCAAATGGCATTTATTAATAGCAAAACACGCATTTTACTCCCAAAAATATTATGTGTGTATTGAAATACATGTCGTTTATGATTTCACATAAATGTAAGCCATATAGATCTATGTGTTATAAAGGTTTGATAAAAAAAAATATTTCATACGTAAAATGATTTGGTAAACAGCAAACTAAAGGGAAAGAACTCCGCGAGAGACCAAAAGGGAAACAACTTTTGGAGACCGGCGACAGTCCAGCAGACTACTACTACGTGTATTACATGGACAAGCTGGACCCAGACTCGGTCAACAAGCCGGACTATTATTACTTCTATTACGTCAATGGCGAGGAACCGGAAACGGAGAAAAATGTCAAGGCCAAAGGCACACGAGGACGAGCGACAACCGTGACCCCTGACATGGGCAAGATGCAGGCGAGTAAAGTTTTAGCTGCGCCGACACCTGCTCCGCCAGCTGGTGAAGCATCAGACAGCGCGTCATCCGCTGCCAAGGAGTTAAATGTAGAGGTAAGTTTGATTTTTAACTGCTACGCTGTGTGCATCGTTAGGAGATGGCTTTTCTTAGCGTTTTTTTTTTAATTTAATTTTTACACACCCCTTTTTTGCAAGAATAAAAAAATAATAATTTTTAGGTCCTTTATCTATATTTTGAAAAATAACGCACTCGTTGAAGAGTAGTTATAACTTAGTTTACAATTTTTAAATGATCATTTTCTGAATTTTTTGTTACTAGTCTATTACCCGTCATTATAGAATTGAAGAAAATAAAAACAATGAACAGCAGGGTTTCTTTTAGACATTTTGCTCCGGGGTGAAGGGGGTCTGAAAACGGTCAAAGTAGCAAAATATTTTCTACTTAAATTTAATATTTGACTATTTCTTCCGGGGGTGGGTGGTGGATTTGCTCCGGAGCGCTGTTTCTTTCAGATTTCTCTGGAGGGAGGGGGGGGGGGGGGGTACTTTAAACTTTCGGGGAGGGGGGCGGACACTGGTTGAATTATATATTTTCTATGTAGATTTTATTATTAGGAAAGAGGGGAGGGGGGCGTTAGACATGCTCCGGGTTGGGGGAGCCAGTCCCACCCACACCCCGATGAGATACCTAACAGAAACTGTCAAGGGGGGGGGGGGGGAGGAAAGCTGTGCCCCCTCTCCCGGAGACTCGTGCACCACTGGTTGGGCGGCGGATTTAGTTTTTAGCTGCTAGAATATTATTTTATGAATGAGCTTCTGGTCTAAACCAAAGCATGCTGGGAAGTCACGGCCCTACTATTGACATCTCTACTAAGTATTGTTTTCTGTTCCACAGTCTGACCTTGAAAAACTTCAAGGATGAAAAGGGGGCCACGTGTGTTGACGTCATTGGAAGTTCAACATTGCACGTGATTTACGGCATAATTAAACGTTAATGTTTTTTATTTTGGAGTAATTTACCTGTCATGTGATGTTGCTGGTTCTAATTTAGTCGGGTCATTTGTTCTTTTTGTAAAATGTATTTTGTAAAATAAAAAAAAAATATTATTTAGAAACAATGATGGTCACACTAGATACATTTTTAAAAAGAAATTTTATAAAACTACAGATCTATCGTTATTCTCGTTGTAGATCTATTAGTAAAGTAAAACATGTTCAGGATTTCGTCTGCGATATTTTCCCACTATCTGGTCATCGAAGGATGGGAGAGTTGGTGGGTGGGGGCGGGGGTTATTGGTAGCAGGCAGAATTGGGTATGACCCATTAATTGAAAGATTAATTGCTTGTGGCAAGCAGGGTTGAAATGTCGCGCGTTCAATGGCCTTATCGCCAACAGCCATCTCTTAGACACTTAAGGTAGATTAGATGTCCCGGGAGTTATGTTGTCTATCAGAAGATAGACACCACATGTTAAGGGGGGGGGGTGTATTTAGGCCAAGTGGCCAGTAATGGATTTTACAATACATCTACGGTACCAGTCATGCTTTGGCATATGCCCATCTGCCATTTCCTTACTTTTCCCCAGCATATATATATATATATATATATATATATATATATATATATATATATATATATATATATATATATATACATATACCCACCTTTATAAAAATAATCCATCGCCCATAACAAACTCCCGCCTACACCACCACAGCTGGGAACCAAACTTTAAACACTCAACAAATTGCTCCTAAATATACATTCAACCATGAAATACAACAAATAGTGTAAATTTATATATAATATAATTATTTATTTGAATAGCTCATATATAAGTTATAATGATCAGACAACTAATGGAATATTATGGCAATGGTTTCTGATTTGGGTAACCCGACTACAAGTACTAGAGGGATGATAGATAGACCAGGCCAGGCTCTATCTACAAACAGAACACAATTTGTTAACAGCACAATCAGTACATAAACAGCACTTACAATGTTAACAACATAAGCAAGGTGTTAACCAAGACTGTCACAAATTTAAAAAAACCAATGTTAACAAGACTAAGTGTGTGTTGACAGCACAAGACAGTATTTAAAGAGAACCAAGACAGATATCCTAGAACAGTACAAGACAGTACTTAAAGAGTACCAAAACAGAAATCCTACAATAGTACAAGACAGTATTTAAAGAGAACCAAGACAGATATCCTAGAACAGTACAAGACAGTACTTAAAGAGTACCAAAACAGAAATCCTACAATAGTACAAGACAGTAGTTAAAGAGTACCAAAACAGATATCCTAGAACAGTATAAGACAGTATTTAAAGAGTACCAAAACAGATATCCTAGTACAAGACAGTATTTAAAGAGTACCAAAACAGATCTATAAAAGTACAAGACAGTATTTAAAGAATACCAAAACAGATATCCTACAACAGTACAAGACAGTATTTGAAGAGTACCAAAACAGATCTATAAAAGTACAAGACAGTATTTAAAGAGTACCAAAACAGATATCCCAGAACAGTACAAGACAGTATTTAAAGAGTAACTAGACAGATACCCCACAACAACAGGATGACATGGTGTGATGGTGTATTATGGCATGGGTTAGTACAAATTACTGAACACAGGTTATACTTTGTTTAAACACCCCCAGACCACATCAAAACATTCTGTCCAAAGAAAAGTTGATACACTGTTTTTCTTTCTTTGATGACATCTAAAACTAATGACCCTTTTGAGGGAAGTGACCTACTAAAACTTATGACCTCCTTAAGGGGAGTAACCTACTGAAAGTTAGTGGCCCATGCCATCAAAAATTACTTCCACTTGTTACTCATACAAATCCCCCTTAACTTCATCCAGGTCAAGGTGGCTGTTGAATGTAATAAAATCTGGACATATCCAACCTGTTAGTAAACAAGACAAACCAACACAGATTGTGCATAGAATGAGTCCAAAGGGTGGACTAAGAAGCCATGGAAGTTTGACCAAACACAACTAACTTGGGATTAAATTAACACACAGATTACAGCAGCTTGACAATCATTAAATATAACACATAGATATATTGCACTAGGCTATACTGAGAATATTTAAATATGGCATTAGACTGAATATTCCACTCAAGGATGGAAACTGTACAAATGTATACACCACATAGTTTCACCAGTCACCACTGCATGCATGATCTGACATTAAAACAAAAAAAAATGTGCTATGTACAATCTCACAGGGCTGTAGATTCTCAACTGTACAAATAAAAGAGGTTCAGCAGTTTAAAACAACAGTTATCAACACAATCTGCAAGTCAAATAATAAAACCTTGTCACTTTGTGCAAACTAACCTACACGGCTGAAACTGAACAAGGCTTAACAATTATAATTCTTTTTAACACTATTATATGTCTTTAAAATACTCTATAAAAACTGCATCCAACCAATGTTATACACTATATACTAAGAATCAATAATTCACTAGCTACAAAATATCTCTTGACTGGCAATACAAATGCATAGATTTCTTTTTTTAAATGGTAACAAGTCATTAAATAATAATAAAAGTAAAAAAGTGTGTGCATATGTAAATTTGCATAGCATAGTGGTATATACAGTTCTCACTTAAAATACATGTATGTTATAAAATTTACATATTATTTACATTTTTTCTATATTTTAAATTTTTTATTTGTAACTTGCTGTAAATAATTTTGCTTTAAAACAATGTGTTTGGCAAGATTAATTCTAAACAAACCATTTTATGCTTGATATAGTCATTATACATACAAAATTATAACAAAATTATGGGTATATTATGTTATATATTAACAATAAAAAAAAACCAAACAAAAATACTGGTTATTTTTTAAAAATAGATTCTAATGCACTAATAAAAAAAAAAATTTTAAACAACAAAAACAAAATGACAAGTGATTTTAAATCTTACTCAGGTTTGGTGTAAGTAAAATAAAACACAAATTAAATGACATAAACTGTTGTTCAGGGTCCAGGGACTCTAAAGCTTTTGATTGAAGCTCTACATTTAGAAACAAACTGGTAAGAAAAATATCCTATTAGCATGCTCTGCTGGATAAAAAAAAATGAAGTAGATTCTGTTGTTCAGTTTAAGACCAAACCAAATGGTAGAACTGAAAATGAGACAAAAAAAGTTAAAACATTTGATTAAATGGCAGTGCAAAAAACACAGATGTGGAGTATTATGGCAGCTAACTATAAAAACAAAAGAAAATATTTTATATATTGCTTCTATGTTCAGTACAGAAAAAAGTTGTTCTATAATATTATTATAAACACAAAATTGTCAAAATTGCAACAAAATAAATTATCACAACCTGTTTTTTTTCTTTCTTAAAAGATGAAAATCACAAGTCAGCAAATTTAACACTGATGTGTTTTAAAAAGTTTCTGCTTTGATTATGTCACCATTATGATTATTATAATAGGTTGTTCTAACTAGATAAATACACAAAAAATGCACACACAATAAGTTTTATTGTACAGTGGTTAATATTTTTCTATTAGTGAAAAGAATATCTTAGTTAAACAAAATAATTGTATCAAACAGTAATGAAATCAGTCAAATGGACTACACATAATTTAATTGGTTATTTAACTCATAGAGTTCCAACAGAGATTTTGTAAGTGTAATGGCAATAAAATATTTTTAAAATACTTGATTTAGTTTCACAGTGCATAAGCATATCAGGATTTTGACAACAAACTGAAGTGAGTTAAGATCTAAAAGAGATTTAAAGCTGAGTTAAAACTTTGATGTTTAAAGCATATTCACCACATGTACTGGCATGGCAGAAATGGGTAGAAAAATGTAACAATTTTATATACACTGGATAAATAAATTAACTAGTTTAATAAATAACGTACTTGTCATAAATTTTCAAAAGGAAGGTAACTTTAAAGCTAATTCATGTGTTATACAAGCTGTTTTTAGCTAGAAGTTTGCAATACAATTTTCTTGCAACATTCTAACCACAACAGCATACAACCAATTGTAAAAGTGAAAATTTTATCTACTCTGATACAGACCATTAAATAAATGGACTTTACTACATTATGCACCAGCTTAACTCAGGTGATAATCCACTTCCCAAAATAGCATTATTTGTGAATAACTGGAACTAACAATGGGAACTCTAAGCCATGGTTTTTAAAATGGAAAAAAATAAATGCCAAAGCAATTTTACCCTGGTTACAATAAACTAATACAGTATTTATTACAATATGTTTTAGTTTTAGTCACAAGCAATTCTCAAGTGTTTACAGTGTTGGCCATGAATTTAATTTAAAAAAAAAAAACAACAACTTTCAAACTAACTAACCAAAAATAAACTCCTACATCGGGATAGTTATTTGTGTGTAAACAGCAATTTCAACCAATTTAAATTGTATATTGTGTTTTAAGTGTGTTAAAAATTAATAATGTGCAAATTGTCAGACAATAATAACTGCTTTAAAATACAAATTATAAGAACATTCTAATAATACATGTAGTGATAATTTAGTTCCATATAAACAATACTTGTATTAAAATGATCAACTGGTTTGTGTGGAAACATTAATTTGTTGTTACAACAAAAAACATTTCTATGAAGCAGGACAATGTACCTGTTTGTTCAGAGAAGAAGATAATTTGATACACATTGCATCTAGTGAACTGTGCACAACACAAGCTTCTAACCTAGTTTATGTTAGTATAGAAGAACAGATAGTCTTCTCAATATTCTTCTACATTCAGCTAGTGCTCATTTGACTGATGATTTTTTACCATAGCTTAGGCAATCTCAATATTTTCTTTCATCATCTGCTTGAGAGCAATGCTAGTATCTCTGTGGTCAATACTATGGTCAGTTCAGGCTATCCCAATATTTTCTTTCATCATCTGCTTGTGTGCTATGCTGGTGTCGCTGTCCCTGTGTCCCCCACTACTCAGCTTGTGTGGAACCATGTGTTGGTGGTGCTGGCTGCTGGAGTTTGTGTGTTTGCTGGGAGGGTGGTGAGCAGGTAAGTTGTAGGGGATTACCTCAGTCCAAGACGAGGAGTTGATGTTAGCTGTGTACATGGGTGTGTCCCACCAGGATGTCCCGTCGTATCGAGAAATGATGCGTGGGGATGAAGGCCCGGGGTCAGATTCTATCATTTTCTGGGGCAGAGAATTCTGACTGTCTAATATTTTGAGATGTTTGTTGTTGACTGCCCTTGGGTTGGGCGGGGTGATCTGGGTCAGGTGGTCAGTTGCTGGCAGGGCCAGCTGTGTGTCCAGTTCAAAGTGTTCACTGTGCCAGCTGTACGGCCGCGCTGACTGGACAGACAGCATCATGTCTGGCATCCCTGCGGCCTGACAACATGACGACCACCGACGAGGATCTGTTTCGTGTGAGAGGCGGGTCAAACGAGAATCTGTTGATCTCACAGTTGATGTATCATAAGAAGATCTAGACCCAGACTGAGAGCGGGAGGTCTGCATCAGGGAGGAATCATTACATAAAGCTGTAATGAGAGGTAGAGAAATGGCATGGGACTGACCAAGGATTTGCTTCAGCTCAGGATGCAGACTGCCCTTGTTATGTCCAGGTTGAGTGCCAACACTGTCCTCCACTTTCTCTTTCATCTCCATGTCCTTGTTGCAAAGGTTCTCTTTGTTTTCTTCCATTTCTTGTGTCATACTTGCTTCTGTAGAAGGCTGGAGTGAAAATAAAGAAAATTAAGTTTTGTACCTTAGAAGTGAGAGATGAATATAAAAAAAACAACCAACACATTAACCAAAACAGTAATTAAAATAAAGCCAAAACACATTAGGGATAACTAAAAGAAAACTGTTATTATAATAAAATTAGTCACCTGATTGGAGAGGACTTCCTTGGGTTTAGCATTAAAGAGGTGGTACTCAGGTGGCTGCTGTTCCTGTGCCTGCTGGTGGTGGCTAGAAATGTTCTGATAATGTTCCTGTAGTTGAGCCAGACTGTTCAAAGGTGTCTTTTGTTCACCTTTTGCCTGCTGTTCCATCAGATGTACTGCCCCCTGCTGTAGAGCCAGCAGATAATGCTCCGTGGCCCCTCTCCGGGCCCCCTGTACAGGCTGACTGAGGCTGGGGTTGTGACTATCTTTTGTTGGCTGAGCATCCAGAAGTAACTCGTTGGTGTGTATCTCAGGTTGCAACACTTGGGTGGTTTGGGTAGAATAAATATCAGCTCTGGGACTGCTCACAGTCGGTTTATATTCTGGCGGCGCTCTATGAGCCAGGGGTAGTTTGAACACATCATGTGCAACATCCCTGGGTGAACCTAGGGTTTTGTACACATCTGTGCTCTGAACTTTGAACTGTTGCTCAGTGAGAGTTCTGGGGGAGCCGAAAGACTTGGCATTACCATAATGCTCTGAAATGTTAGCCCTTGGTGAGCTTAAAGATTTGTATTTTTCATTATAATCAGGAGGTGGGTTGAGTTGTTTATACTGTGAACTGATCTCCCTTTGGGTGCCTATGATTTTGTATTGCTCTGTAGTGTCTTTGTTGTAAACAGTTGTACCAGTTTCTTTAGTTGATTTCAGAGATGAGAAGTTGAGTGTACTGGGAGGGGAGGGACCAGATGTTTTCTGAACTGAACTTGGGGTTAATGCAAAACTTGGGGAACCACTAGCCCCCACCCCACTCTTTCCCGCTGTCCCTTGAGTCACAGGTCCTGTCAGGGCCCAGTGTTCTGATGGAGGTAGAGACAAGGGAGCTAACTTATCAGGGCCTGTCAAAATGCCAGACACAGACACTGCACTGTCCCCTGATGTGTTTCTGTCCCCTGAACTCAGCAATGACCCCTGCAGCAGCTTGCTGAAACTGTCCTTCCTGCCACCGCTCCTCCTCAGCCCCGTGTAAGAATGGCTGTCATTGGTTGGGGTGGTTTGAGTTGGGCCAGTTGCACCAATCAGGTAAACAGGAGTCTGCGAGTGTCTGGCACGCCAGCTGCCATTGCTACTGGTGGGCGAGAGCTCTTGAGGTGAAGGGTTTATGTTCTCTGATTTACCTAATTCAAGGCAGTGGGGGATTTGGCTTGGACTAGTTTTGTTGCTCTGTGGACTCTGCTTAAAGCCTGCTGGGATAAAGACAGATTTCTCTTATAGAAAAAATTACATAACATTTACAAAATTTGTTGTTTCTTTAGGTCTAAAGATAGCTAAACAATAAAAATAAATTTTTCACCTGAAAAAAGTTGAAATTTTGACTTGATCTGGCTAGGTGTGTTAGATAAAACAGCTCTTGGTGGGCAGTCTATCATGATTTCTCTGCTGTGATCTAGAAATGAAAATTGTTAGTTTTATTTTCAAACATCATTTGTTTAAAGTAGTTAAATTGCTTTGTTTTAAAAATAAATATGGATCATTGTTTTAATCTACAATTGAAATCTAGTTAATAATTCCATTTACCATCTCCATCATCAAAACTGACAGCCATCCTATCACTAACAATACCACTGGTAGTGTTAGAGCTGGCATCACTTATCACAGAGAACCTCTGATTGCTGCTTAGACCTGTAGCACTAAGGGACTTGCTGGGACTATGCTGGAAGTGGCTCCTGTCTCTGGAGTCACTGTAAACATAAGACTCCCTGTACCTCTTTTGATCTGAAACACACAAAGTTAATTCTTCAAGTTTAAGAAAACAATAATAATGAACATTATAGGCCTATAGCTAACTGTTTAAAATCAAATTACAATGAATTGCTAATCAAAAGTCAACGTTTCTGTCTTGGGATTACTACATTTTTTTAGCAAAAATGTTAAGCCTCTTGGTATTTTAAAAGACACACTGCCATAATAACGAGTCAATTTTTAAAAATTTCAGCTTCAACCTTAGATTATGTTAGATTAAAAATAAAACAATAATTTCTATAAAAAATTGAAATTATAAGGTACATGCCTTCATTATCCAAATGTTGAATTTCTAGTAGTTTAGGTTGAATGGCCATTTGAAACATATGTGTGCCACGACAAATGCTAAGCAAATATTTGGACTTGATGTCGCAGTCTGTGTAGTAAATAAACCTTCTTCCACCTGCACTTTGGATTGAGCGGATCTCAAATTTCTTTTTCTGGAAATAAAGTATGAAAACCAATTTTTATCAATAAATTATTCTTCTTTAACCTTTTTATAAATAAAATATATTATAAACAAAGCCTGGAATTCCAACTTACATCAAAATATAATTTCCCAATATCTCGCCACAAGAATGTTGATATGTGATTTTTATAGCCAGCATCATCCTGTAACACAACAAGACTTAGATTTTTAAAATTGTTCCAAAAGTATATACCAAAGTAAAGTCATAATAAATCAATTATGTCTAGATATTAATTTTATATTACAAAAAAATCAGCCTAAATTTGTCAATTCTAGGTAACGTTTTAAAAAACTTTTTTTTCTATCTTAGGTTGCAAAACTTACTTCATAAACCTCAACTCCCTTAGCACAAATTGCCAACCATGTATTGACAGCCTTGTCAGTTTTCCGTTTCCGAACAGTGTAAAAATGTAGGTTGTGGGCACCAGGAGGCGTGGAAGCATTTCTGATGTAGCGTAGCTCTGCATCATTTCTTGTCATGTTGTGCAAGTCCTTGTGAATAGTAGGCATATTGCTTGCCAGATAAGTGGCTCCATGTCTCTCAACCATCTATTTAGAACAATAACATTGTGAATGTTAAAACTGTATTTAAAAATATCCTATAATATATTTATATATCTATACACACACTTTACACACACTAATATTTCAGTACAAGAATCATTGTCAATTTTAAACTAGAAAAATAGTCCTAAAAATAAAACAAGTACCCAGTAAGGAAAATACAGGATAGGGTTAAAATATCCCATCTCGTGTCTTTCAGGGAGATAATTTCCATGGTCTGCTTGTAAGGCATATCCTGCAAGTTGAAAACACTTCTCCTCATTGTACAAGTGATTGTATTGGAGCACATTGTCTTTGAGTTGTAAGTAATACTGATGTCTTGTCACCTTCTCTCTGTGGGGAGAGAAAATTGGTTTACTTCAACACATGCCAACTATTAACTTAAAACAATTTTTACGGTAGAGTCAGAGCATAAAACATAAGGAAATAATCACTTACCTTAACAAAATAACTTGATCAACATAAAACTGCACTCTAAACCAAACAGTGATTAAAGGTTTCCCTTCACTATCCACACCCTTTAGATAAAGAAGTAAATGTATATTACGGCCAATGTGAAAAATGTTTCAGCATTAAACTTGCAGTGTAGTACACAAGTAGAAATATTTAATTTTATTATGACAATATTTAACTTAATTCAACTTTACTAATTAAACAATGTACAAACTAAAAAGTAAAACAGCATGTACCTCCCCATTGCCAGATTTCCATTGTTTGGGAGCTAACTTGTGTATTTTCTCATCCAGCAGTATAAAGTTGTATTCATTGTCTAAAGTTGAGATAAAAAACAAACCAATAAATTAAAACCTGGAAAACCCAGTGTCATGTTTTTATTTAAAATTCTCATAAAATATACAAATGATTTTAAAATACTTTTTTATACCTTTCTTGAAAGCAAGCCCAAAGTATTCAGTTTCTCTCAGACTCAGGTGTCCAGCAACTTGATTGAAAACTTCTTGAAATTTGGATTTGACATCAACATGAACAACATGTTGGTCCCCATTCAACAAAACAACATTGACAAGTTTTCTTTTTTTCCCTGCTGATGCTGCTGCTACAGGCTTTGTAGTCATGTTCACACCTCAACTGGGATCCAGGGCACTTAATGGTGCGTCCATCACTACTTCACTCACAGACAACCTACTGAATTAAAAAAAATATTTTAAACATATTTTAAAATACTGTTTTTCTTCTCCATTATTAATTAATTGTACGGTTTTAAAGGGCATTTCTTTCAACACAATTAAATACTACATGTCAACATGTTATGTCTCATACAGGTGGTTTACTCCAACTTGAGCCTGCTTTTTTCTTAAACTTCTAATAGCCAAGCTCATCAAAGCATATCTAATTTGTAAAGCAGTAAAAAGTGTGCATTGGTAATAGTTACATACTATTTGTGCAGTACAACAAGAAATGCAGGAGAAAACAAACAATTGATAAAATATTGGCCTAAAATATTCAAAATAGTTTAGTCTGAAAAGTGAATTCACAACAGTAAATGTACCAACCAGACCTAAATAAAAATAGAAGGGCAAGATCTGGTGACTTAAGTAGAGAAATTTACCTAGATGGGCAGTACTGTTAAAAACATGGATGAATAGAAGCAGACTTATAAATAAAACATATAATAATATATAAATAAAAGGTAAAGCAAGATAAGCCTTCAACAAACTAAAAAATTGTGTGGGACTTTTTTGACTTGAGGACCTTCAACTCAAGATTAATGTAAGGGCTTTTTGAATGACAGTAAAGCCAGATTTACTTTACGGATAAGAAACAGATGAACCACCATAAAAAAACAGAGAAATACAAGTATTAATCAACACATGCCTCAGAAGAATATTTTCATATTCACTGGTCCAACACAATTACCAACAAATACTTATTGCAGAGAACAAAACAACAACATGCTGAAGATGACATCCCTGAAAGAAAATGATGAATTGACCATGCACCCAGGAATCTGATGACCGACATTGATAGACAGACCCTAACCTGGAATCCCCATAGTAAAAAAGAAAAACCCGGAGATGTGACTTGAAGAACAACACAAGAAAGATGGGCATCTACTACTACTAATATATAGCTTAAACAGGTTTAATTTGTACCCACAACTTTCATTGTTATTCACCATTATCAGATGAATGAAGTATGGGCCTAGTTGCAAACTTTTAAAAACTATTACCCATATAAAGCCTGGCTGATTACATGTTTTAAATATGACTAAGTGGATACTAAAATTTAGTTTTTCTGGTTTAAATACTTTTTTTAAAGAATATATTCTAATCCAGTATAGTAAAAAATGAGACTCATAGTTTTGCCCATCTGGTTCCATAGCAATGGGTGAGGTCCATAAGCATCCCTATGTGTTTTTCTTTAAATGTATCAATTCCACTTAAAATAAGACAATATTTTAGTTCTTATATACATCTACCGAAAAAAAATAATAATGTAGAGTAACAAATTTATGACAAAAATGTGGTATCTGAAAAGCAGCTTTTATTTAGTTACTTCCCTTCTTTTTGACAACATTTAAAAAAAATTCTTTTTAATCACTTTAAAAAAAAACCTAGCCTATATTTTGGTCCATTGCTAATATCAAAGAAGCACACAATGTTGTGGACCTTCCTGGTAGTTACAATATATGGTGTATTTTTTCATTATTAATGAATTTGTAAATAGCTTCATATTTGTAGACTATCTTTTAATATATTTTAATTCACACTGTTAAAGTATATTTTTCTAAATAAATTCCATTTTGTTCGGGGGCGGTATGCCTGGAAAAAAAAGAACTCTGGTTGGGTACATGCAGCAAAAGATGCATACAAGCAAATGGAACACATTAAGATGATTAAGTGCTTGAGTGGGACCCCAGGGTAGGCAGTAGGCTAAAAGAGAGGTCATCCAAAACTGTTCTAATGTAGACTGCAGTTATACTCAGTTATAGCATGGCAGACACCAAAATACATAGACTGGGACCAGACAAAGTGGGAGATTGGTAGGCCCTACACTCCACAAGGAGTAAAGAAGACCAAGTCAAGCAAGTCACTTAATATTTTTACATACGTAGGCTGACTTACTTAGACTTTTAGAGGTCTTAGTGACAAAATGGTATACAATACATTAAAATTAATTTTTTTAGTTAGTATTTAGTCAATTTAGTGTTAGTTCTAGATCTAGTATACAACATCTGAAAACTGTTTAATTTATTATCACTACCCTATTCTTGGCTCTAGTCTCACTCTAGATCTAGTTCTTGTCTAATGCTAGTTCTGATCCCAGAATCTAGATCTAGGTCTAATACTCTAATGTCTTTTAATGAATCATGATGAATCTAGATCTAGATTCTATCTATTTTACTAGAGAGTAGAGTCTAGATTCTCTAGTTCTAGTCTAGATCTAGTACTAGTAGATCTAGATCTCTAGATCATCTAATTCTAGTGACATCTAATCTAGTTCTAGATTTCTAGATCTAGAATCTAGATGCTGGTCTAGAAATAGATCTTAGATCTCTTATGACTTATAAAATATATAGACTTATAGAGAGTCTAGATCTATACTATACTAACTAGCCTATAGATTGTAGTCTAGATCTAGATTATAGTTTATTAAAATAAAATAAATCTCTATTTTAGCAATTTTAGGGCCTATTGACTATTGACCTATTCTGCCTATTGTATTTTAACTATTATTTTGAAACTATTCTCTAGATCTAGATTCTAGATCTAGAATCTAGATGAATCTAGATCTAGAAATCTAGAGTCTAGATCTCTAGATATTCTAATTCTAGTCAAGTAAGCCTATTGTGATTAATAATAAAAATAAATCTAAGACTAAGACCTACAATACAGTGACGAATGGAACATCGACACTATTAACTAAATTAAAAATAAATGACGTGTGTTGTCACCCTCACCCTCTCGGCAACACCACTCTTCTTTGGCGTTTCGATAATATCGGGGTCAACTTACTTTATAAAAGAAATTTTAAACAAATAGACTAGTTTACCCTTTTTAAAGCAATTTCAAACAATCACCAAATTTTAAATGAAAGTAGTGTTTAATCCAAGCATTACTACCAACCTTAAAGGCAGTATGCAGAAGAAAATAGCACAATGATTAAAAAAAATGCCTGTAATAAACAATAAGACTGAGAAAACTGCTAATGAACCACAAAATTCTTTACATTCCAAGCCTCTTTGTATGGTTGCTCAATGTTGCTTGACCCTAGTTTTTTAATCTCCAAACCTTATTGTACAAATTATAGTTTGTACATAGAATTTCGCAATATAAAGATTAATCAGATGTAGATCTACAATAATTATGTTTTTATGCATAAAGTGGATGGAAGTTAAACGCGTTATACAAACACTTTTTTGTAAAGCAAAATAAATAAAATTACAATTTTGTTGGAGAGTTTGTGGAGCCTTCATGACCTACATTTTTAGGTCAGCAATGCGTTTCACATTCATGACCCCGGAGGGCAACCTTGCATACAAGCTATTATACTATTTTTAGCTGTGGAAGTAACGTTAGGAGGTTTCCCAAATACTCGCGATATTATCCGACGGATTTTATGCATTGATCTGCAATCTAGTTGTTCCTGCTTGTTCGGCCTATTTATTCTACATACAATGAGACTATATAAATCTAATTGAAAAAGCGAATCAGTAGTCACGTTTTCAAAAAAAAATATATTGTTTTAAGCAACTAGATCTAGATCTAGAATCTAGATCTAGATCTATGTACTTTGGCGGAATAGTTTAGATTACAAAATGGAGGGGGAGGGTGGAGACGGAGGGCTCATCTTTAAAATTCATATATTGTCATTCTAAAAAGCTAGATCACCTAAAACCAATTAAATGAAATTTACAAAATCGTCAAATTTTAATGTTATAATTTCTAGAAAAAAAAATAGGCCTATGGCCTATACACTGCGTCACAGTTCATAACACCCTTCTGCACAAGTATTCAGGTATCTTTTATAGGTGTTGTCCATTTAAACGACGTCACAGACGGGGGGGGGGGGGGGGGGGTAAGAAGATAATCGGAATTTTGTGATGAGGGGAGTTATGTTGGTGTATGTTGTTTTTTTTTTTGGGGGGGGGGGGGGGTCAGAAAGTGCCACGAGATCCGATCTAGAGACCTTCGTGTTATACTGTTATACAGAAGAGCGCTATATATTATTATTATAAAAGATAGCTGGACGGCGCAACAAAAAACAAAAAAAAACCAAGGCTATATCAATACAATCTATAAAGACACATGTAGATTTCTAAGCCTGTCTGGACTAAATCTGGACCTCTCTAAAATTCTGTCGTTGTCGTTGTTGACAAAACTGCCCAAATACACCCCGACGGAAAATTCAGATTAAATAAATAAATATATATTCTATAAAAATTTTAAACTGCTGCAGACTAGGCTAATATACTGTTCCCAAAAGCACACCTGCCGGGTTAGCAACAATGTGAATGTGTTGTTGACACGCACTCTGAGAACACGCGTGACACATTGACTGAGTGTGTCACTGAACTTTCGTTTTACCATTATCCATATTATGGTAATCTATCGTTTTGGGTACGTAAAATCGCCCGCGGCTATTAATGTACGAAAACGTTACCTCATTGTCAAGGCTTTAATAGGAGTATATTGTCATATGTTTGTGTCAAATATTATAGATAAATGAATAATAAACCTAAATCAATGGCTAAATATATCAATATAGGCCAGAAATTAACTTTAAACAGCAGTGTCTGAGAGCAAGATTTGCTATATAAACAGCAGCCATTTGTAAAATAGAGTGGCTTCCCCCTGATCTCGCGCTAAAAGCTTATAAAAATAAAACTTAAACAAGATGGCTGCTATAGTAAATGAGCAAGATTGCATCTGTTGGAAACATCTCTAGTCTTCATTTATTACTGAAAAGTTTTAATTCAATTCTTTAAAAACAGGTACATAAATGAAACAAGGAAACATTTTTGTATTTTAAAAAACATAAATCCTCCTCAAAATGTGAAATAATTATTAAAATTTAAGGAGTCACCTGGTTTTCACATTACAAGTCGCGGGCGATTTTACGTACCCAAAACGATAGATTACCATATTATTATTATTACTCTAGATCTAGTTTTGAATTCTGGCCTCTATTTAGTATTTACAATATAACACTTAGATCTAGATCGATCTAGATCTAAAAGTGTAAGTTTATAAAATTTTTTTATTAAAAATATTTAATATAGAATTTAATAATTTATATAGGCCCCTAAAATAAAAGGCCGATTCTAGTCGGAATAAGATACGCATGCGATACGCATGCGCAATGGAGAGAAACTACGACTTAGCGGCGATGTTTTCGATGGTACTGCGCATGCGTGTGTTTACAACCGCAGAACCCTAATACCAACCCTAATCCTATCCTTAACCCTATCCCTAATCCTATCCCTAACCCTAGCCCTAATCCTATCCCTAATCCTATCCCTAACCCTATCCCTAATCCTACCCCTAACCCTCATTCTAGCCCTAACCCTAGCCATAGGTTACTGCGCATGCGCAGAACTATCTGTTGCCGAAAAATCTTATTCCGAGTAGACACTTCGAAAATAAAATAATAAATTAAATAGTAATATTAAATAAAAAGGTAATCTATCGTTTTAGGTACGTAAAATCGGCCGCGACTAGTAATGTGAAAAACAGGTGACTCCTTGCATTTTAATAATTATTTCACATTTTGAGGAGGATTTATGTTTTGAAAAATACAAAAATGTTTCCTTGTTTCATTTATGTACCTGTTTTTAAACAATTGAATTAAAACTTTTCAGTAATAAATGAACACCAGCGATGTTTCCAACAGATGCAACCATGCTCATTTACTATAGCAGCCATCTTGTTAAAGTTTTATTTTTATTGACTTATAGCGCGAGATTCAGGCGGAAGTCACTCTATTTTACAAATGGCCGCTTTTTATATAGCAAATCTTGCTTGCAGACACTGCTGTTTAAAGTTAATTTCTGGCCTGTATTGATATATTTAGCCATTGATTTATGTTTATTATTCATTTATCTATAATATTTGACACAAACATATCACAATAAACTTCTATTAAAGCCTTGACAATGAGGTAACGTTTTCTTACATTAATAGCCGCGGGCGATTTTACGTACCCAAAACGATAGATTACCAATAAAAAATATAAGATAAATAATATAAGAGTTGAGTTGAGTTTATCTTATGTACTTCTAGTCTATTAATTTTCTACAAGCTGACCCGCAACGTAATATAAGCCGCCATCTAGATCTAGATCTAGTTGTTTGATTTTTTGCTTATCAGCTACTCATAATTTGTGAATTCAACACTACACCCTCCCTCCCCCCTGCCCAGTGAAAGCAACCGTTTACAGACAAAGAAAAGATCAATCAGAAATTGTTACCTTCCCTTTGTTTCTAATCATTTAAGACTAAATTAGCTGCCCCTAACTAATAGCCGTCACTAACCCGGCTCTAGGGTTGTAAACATTCGGGGTGAACCATAGCTCACCTGACAGGTGGGGATGAGGGTGGTGGCTAAGCTGCATGGTGTTTTCTATGGTCTCCATGAAGAGAAATATATATACGAGCTGACCCGCGATATAGCATATGCCACTATCTACTTGTTTTATTTTCTACTTATCAACAATTCATAATTTGTGAATTTGACACTACCCTAACCCCCCTGCCTTCGCCACCTTGCCCAGTGAAAGCAGCCGTTTACAGACGATAATGAAAATATCAAGCAGAACATATTATCTCCCCTTAGTTTCAAATCGTTTAAAAACTAAATTATCTGCCCCTAATGGCCGTCTCTACTATTGTAAACATTCGGGGTGAACCACACCTCACCTGATAGGCGAGGATGAGGGCGGTGGCAAAGATGCCTGGTGTTTCTATGGTCTCCATGAAGATAATTATATATATAGATAGAAGATTATCTAGCAGAGAGCATGTTTCAACAAGAAGACTTCGACTTTATTAAATTAAACTTTAAAAGGGAAAAAATAAGGGGGAGGGTTAAAATACAGTGAATAGGATCTTCTTAAAAAAAGGGGGCCCTAAAATACACAGATGGCATGCAAATCACTGACTAATCAGGCTGTAAAAAGTCTAATGATAATGGCTAATGTTTAAAAATTTAATGTTAGTCAATGCTCACCCTATCCAAGTAACATTCACATAACAGTCCAACCTACTCTAACCCAACCACTACTCTTACCATATGCCTCTTCTCAATCTGATTTTTTCTAACCATAAAACTTATTGAGATTACAATACCAGTAACAACCTAACACACCTACTTGATGAGTCTATTATAAGACATCAATATCTTCAATAGGTCTATTAAAAATGCAATAATTACTAATACATGAATGTTAAATTGATAAAAATGCATTGCACAACAATATTAATATAAAACTTAAAACTCTGTTAATGTTAGTGTAAAATATAAATATATAAATATATAAATATACTGACATTAACTTAGAAAAAAGATTAAAGAAAGATATGGAAAACTATACTATAGGTTAAAATTTAGATTTTTTTAATTGGGCAGGATAATTATAATTAGTATCATGCTGTTTAATGTTTTGTTTTGGGTTAACAGTTAATGCTCTGATTATGAAAACACTAACATTTAGTAATAGCTAATTAACAAGTACCATATAATTACAATACACATTTCCAGTTGGATTCTGTCATCTTATTGTGTGAATAGTTTAACTATTAATAATTATGCCTATTTATATTATTACATTTCAGAAATACTAAACCACTTTGAAATATGGCTCTTGCAGAGTTAAATACTGTACTGGTAAATCTTCTTGCTTACAGGTAATAAATAATTCATTTAGATATTGTGTAGTAAGATAACTGTAATGAACTAGAAAATAGTTGGTTTTTGCTTTCGTAAATGTTTTAAAGCACAACAATTTGTTGATTTCAGATCAGGAGATATTTCAAAGCTGATCAAGTCTTTAGATAATTACTCACAGAAATTAAAATGCCCAGAGTTTCTACAAGATTTTAACAATGCCAGTGAAGAAACAAAACAAGCTCTGATTGAAACAATCACCACAGCATACTGCCATGCATTGAACTCACCAAAACTTGCCAGAATGTTGGATAAGGTTGTAAAATTTTGATAAATTATACTAGTGAAACAATATCAAACACATTTTATCAAAAATTTAGCTTTATGATGTTCATATATATAAAACCTAGAATACCCAGAAGAAAATAAATTCAAGGCCATTTTTTATGATATCATTCACTTGCTACTAATTTATGTATTTTTAGATGCATGGCCATATTTTTTGTCCACCACACTTATCATTATTATTGTTGTAATAATTGATAAAAAAAAACCCAAACATTCAGTGTACATAAATCACCTTCTGCACTGGTGAGTTAGAACACCCCTTGCTGACTGCACAGGTGTAAGGGTGCTTGTGGGAGCCACCAGTTGAACTTTCACAGTGGTACTGGGGACAGACCGGTTTTGTTTTAATAATAGATTGTATAGCCTGGGATGGACAAGTCACATGACCTTATGAGTGCCTAAGGACACTGTGGTACAGTTTTAACGCCTGTCCCCAGTGCATGATACCCAATCAACTGACTGCAGGTGCTCAGGTAGCCATAAGGAATCTCAGGTGCCCTCCCAGCACACCACCTCCAGGGCAATATTTTAATTTTTTAATGGTATAAATCTTCTCAAAGTTTTCTTATGAAAGGTGTCGTAATGCATAAAAGACCCACTCACCCAGTTTCAAACACATACACACAACTATTCATTTATATATATATATATATCTCCTACACTGTTTCCTTATATTCAGATAATTAAATTACTACCCAAAAGATATATTGAAAGTTGGAATATAGAGATTGAATCCACAGTGCAGCTTTTGCTTTCCAACAGTAATCTATCAAATGTAAAACTTTGTAAGTAAATTACAGTTTTAATACATTTAAAAATAAAAAAATTGCTTAAGTACATAGTTATAATTTCACAGTATAATTATTAGCAATTAAATCTTTTTGTTTTGAAGTTTCTGCATTACTGGAACAAAATTTAGAAGTAAAGGAGATTTCAAAGAAATACTTTGCATCTGTAACTGTCACAATAAAAGATACTTTAAAGTGTTTGTCTGAGAAATCCATAGAGGGATCATGTTTAGAAGAATACCTTCATCACAGTTTTAAAGTAAGTACAATTTTATATAGCCAAAATTAATTATTTGTTTGTTAACAAAGCAGAATGAAATTAAAATAATTGCACTGTTCATCACTATTAAATTCAATTATTTTAATTTATAACATCAATAAAGCCAAAATTTAATCTATACCATCCGTTTTAATGGGTTTTTTTTATTCAGCTATAGAAACACCACTTCAAACATTTTTTAGTGTTTGAAGATTTTGACAATTTTATCCAACTCAACTTTCTAAACAGAAATTAACCATAATAAAAGATTAAAATTAAAAAACATTTTCTTCAGAAAGAATAAAATAAATTTTTTTAAAAGGCCACAGTTTTTATTTCCTTAGCTCAGTATCCAAGTACTGCAGCAATTTGCTGCTGAAATTCAGAGTTTGTTTTGCAATGTACAAGAGAATTTGGCATCCAATATTAATGAAACATTACTTCATGACTGGGAGAAAATCTTTGTATTATTTCTGGACTTGTTTTCAATGGTTAGTACAACAAACAGACTGCATTGATTTTTATTATTTGTTAGAAGTAACAATATCATCATATAATGCTTTTATTGATTCTGGTTATTTCATAGCTTTTGACTTTTGTTTAATTTTTTGTTAATTAGTAATTTCAAATTTCCCCATTATTTTTATTTCTGCCATTAATAATTTAAAAAAAAAAAAAAACAATTTTTTAATAGAATTCAAAGAGAGACATTTTGCTTTTGATGGGAACCTCCATAGCAATGGCTTTACACCTAATGTTAGATGTGGAATCTGTTGGGAGTGGTTTCAAAGAGCTCATTTCCATTTTCACCAAAGGTAGGTACCTAAAAACTAATTCATGTCTTGAAATCATGTCATGATTCCTCTATTTTACTCAGAAATACATTGGATGACTATATTTTTCAGAAAAGACCACATTTAATTATAAAAGGATTCATATCAACATGAGACAATACCAGATACCAGAAGATACATCAGTTCATGTGTTGGCCATCATCAAGGGAGCTCTTGTTACCTGTGACAAAAAGACTTGGTGTATGGGGCAGGTCCCTCTGCTATTACACACTTTTAAAGAAATCGTCAAATTATGTAAAGGATCAAGTGAACACCACTATCTAGCCTTTCAGCTCTTTGCTTTATGGTACCAGAAGACAGCGCAGATTGAAACAATTCACCTCTCCACAGCTTGTGTGCATGAATTAACTGTAGAGGAAGCTTGTATAAAGGATGGGAAGGAAGGTTATGGTTGTCTTAGTCAAACCAATTCTGCTGAAGGTATAGACAGGGAAGAAAATAATCAGAGCAATTCAGTGAATAGAAAAATTATGTTGATGTCAAAAAATTGTCCCGTGTTAGAGTTGACGTTATCATGTATTTGGCTGAATTGGGATAGTCCAGTAGATGGTGTGAGTGAATTTGTTCATGAAATATTCTCCCATATGTTGAGTATCTGGCACCAAAATGTAATGAGTGGTACCAGTGATAATGTGGACTTGGGCAAGCATTTGTTGAATAGAGTGTTGAGCATTTCTTGGAAGTCACGGTCGAGGTACAGGCCTCTCACTCTATTGTTGCCTTATGTTAATGGTAGACAGGTAAGTCAGCAGTTTGTTGGCTCAGATTTTTTTAAGCTACCTTTGGACGTTTTCTTAGGCCATTAATTTTTTTGTATGATTTGTAAAATTCAAGCTGCTTGAAGCTTATTTCTTCCCATTCTTACATTTTTCCTTCCATTCAAAAAATTTTTTTATTCCTAAATTTAAAAGTCAAATCAATAAGAATTATTTTAGGGTGTGTTTAGCATTACCATTTTAGAGATTAATATAATGAAATTGATCCACCTTTTCATGTTATTTGTTATCAATGTTGACATGTTTTTTGTTTTAGATTATTGATGAAAACCCTCAGCTTAAAGAAGATTTATTGTGTTGTATGAAAACAAACCATATGGCAGCCACAGCTTCTGATGTCTATAAGGCTTTTCTAAAAAGAACTGTGTTAGTAATTATTATTTTCATTGTTACCTATATTTTCGGTCATATTTTTTCAAAGTTTCTTAATTTTTTTTTATACATGCCCTAGACACATTATTGTTTTAGTATATATATACACATTTTTTTACTTTGTTTTAGCAATACCATTTAATGTATTGAACTGCTATGTGATAATCCTAAATGGAAAGTCAATTTTCTTTCTTAGCTCTTAATGCCAATTTAATTAAGATGCACACAATTAGTTAGCATCTAACATTTTAACTGTTTACATGTACTCATGTTATCATTCATTGATCAATTTAGTGAAGAACACTCAGAGAACTCACTGCATGTTTGGAAGGAGATATGGATGCCTGTTTTAATCAAAGGAATAACAACCAGTGATATGTAAGGATTTGTTGCTTCTAGCTTACAGATTTATTGCTTCTAGTGTAAGGATTTATTTCTTCTAGGTAGCAACAACACCTGTTACCAATGAATATTGTTGTAAATACACTTTAGATTTTCCAAATAATTATTTTAGTTAATATTGTAAATTTATAAATGTATAGATTTGAGTATTTGAGAACTGCATTTGTTGAAATTTATTTCTTACTGTGTTTAATTTGTTATACTGCTTTATATATTTATTACTTAAGTTGTACAGATAATCAATAAAATAATTGTGATGCATTTCTTCAGGTTGCAAAGACTTAAGGTCTGCACATATTGGCTGCCACCTACTTTAAAACTTGTCCCACACAGCTATTCTGCATTACTTTGCTGCTTGGAGGATAAAATGATTGTAGACAATACACTAGAACAACAAAAAGACAGATATCTGTTTGGTTGGGTGGCTGTGTCTCGTGTAGTACGTGAACATTTACATGTGAGTTGTCCAAGTGGAGCCCATTTTTAACCCTTTTAGCAAAATATGTTGAAACAATATAGAAAATATAATTTATCTTTTCCCATGTGGTGGCTTGCCAGATTTATAAAAAAAAAATAGTGATATTGTAGATGTTAAAATAATATTTCTTTATCTCCAGCTGCCATTGCCAACACAAAGCTTACCACTGTTACAGAAAGCTTTGCTGTGTGTTGATGAAGGCACCAGAGCTGAGGCACTCATGCTCATCTCCACAACTATGAAAAAAGCAGGTAGTGTTTTTTTTTGTGGTGATAAAGTTCTTCTCATTACTTTATTTATATTTAACAGATATATATTAAACAATTATTGTAAAGAAATCATTGTTAACCTTTTGAACCCTTAGCAGCCATATTTTTTAAACAATTACTGTAAAGAAATCATTGTTAACCTTTTGAACCCTTAGCTCCTGACCCCGAAATGAAAAATGAAGACTACCAATATAAAAACAAGCTTAATTTTATTATTCTAATGAACTTATGCACATAAATTTATTGGAAGTACTTCTGTTTAGTCTGCCAGTCCTCACAGTAGGTAATCCTTCTTTCAGACATGGGTAGGTATGGGTATAAGTAGTATGCTGATTTTTTTTTTCCTCGTAAACTTTAAGTAATAAATTAAAAAAAATTGGTTTGTGGGCGCTGCCATGATAGGACTTTACCATGAGTAGAATAACTACGTTCTTTTTAACATTGCATTTTTATTTTTGGGGCTTTCGATCTGGGGTAAGTTTTCTCACATCGATTTATTGGTCTGCCAGGACACGGAGGTTCAAAACATGGACAGAAAAAGTGGGTCCAAGAAGTTAAAATTAGTTTGCTAATCAGAGGGAAATTTATAGTTTAAAGGTTATCTATTTTTAGATATGTTTACTGTAAAGGTATAAATATTTACAGAGCCCCTATCACAAGTTGAAGCCCAGCTTCTACGAGAATTTATTCCAGCCAACCTTAAAACTGACTCCGCACCATTCAGACAAAGCCTATCTTCTGGTCTAAAAAAAGTCTTGACAAGAATCAGAGACAGCTGTCTGTCTGCTGTCAGGAAGGACAGAAATGACGATTTTCTATGTAAGTACTGGTGCATCTAATTTTTAAAAAAATGTACATTTATAAAAACGTAACTCAGAATATTAATAAATATTATATGATAATATCAATGGTGAATTCTAATCACTAGCTAAAGGTAAATCTTTTATCTGCAGCTTGGAGTCTCCAGTTTGTTGATTGGTTGTATCAAGTCTTGATGTTAAGTCTTGCACCAGGCAGCTGCTACCAGCGCAGACAGACAGTGTTTGACCTGCTCTCAGACATCCTTGACACTCTAGTGTATGATGACCAAGATACCTCAAAGAAAGGGAAAGCTAAAGGTGAATTTTTCTTTTTATCTTGTACAAGACTCTCATACAGCTAGCAGGTAGGACTTCTTTTTATTTTGTTTGCCTATCAATTCTGAAATATAAAAAAAAATTGTGTTGACCCTAGTGTTTGTATAGTGCTTAGTTTAAAATCTATCTGCAAAAGGCACAGACATTACAAAATAAAGAAATAAAGTGAAATCCTAAGAAAAATACACACTGTGCTTAAATCTTTACTTAATACATGCCTCTATTGAATTTCAGAATCATCTCAACATTTATTAAAATTTGCTCAAGCTAAAGGATTGTGGGATTTTTTCAAAAAGGAATATTTCCTCTCTATCTTAACATGTCTTGAAGATGGTGCAGAGGAGGTACTGTATAGGTATTTTTTCCTCCATACTTGTGTGTCAGTTTCTTGTTGTAACTTGTGTATCTACAGTAATTAGGCTTATCCATAGCATTAATAACATTATGAAACTTTACCTATGAAAAACATTCTAATATTTTAGAATTACTTGAGATTGATTATTTACAAAATTTCAGATCCAGAATCAAGCCTTTAGTTTGCTGATGAAATTTTTAAACTGTAAAGAGGCACTGCAAACATCTTTACTCTCAGAAGATAGAGCAACTGTATTACACCTGTTAAGACATGCATTTGAGCTGACAGGAAGTCCTAGAGCATATGAAAATCACAGTGGTCTTCTCATCTTGTCATTAGTTCTCAATAGGTGAGTCATTTTTAGTTTTAGTTACACACAGTTGTTGTTTTTTCTACAAATCATACACCTTGAATCTTTAAAAAGCCCAATTCACACTAGTTTGAGTTTAAAATTGAGTATTTGATTATTGGCAGAAAGGATAGACAAGCTGGTGGGTTAATGTTGACCATCTGGCTAAAAAAGTTAATATTTGTTTAACTTATTCTATCTTTGTTAGATATGTTATAGGCTGTGGGTTAAAATTTTCCATTACTGCGAATGAAACTTCAAAGATTGAAGTTGAACATCAAGTGGATTCAGGTGACTGTCCTACTGATCCAGTTCTTTCATTTGTGGAGTTGCTGCTCAGTCAAGTGAAAACTTCATTAGATTCTGTGCTGCTTGATTTAGCTGTCAATTTTAAATTACACCCAATTCATGGTTAGTTTTATTTGTATGTGGTCCTAGGTATTGATAAACAAATGTAAATAGTTATTTTATCACAAGAGTCTAATGAAGACAATTGTTTTCAGGTATTACAGAATGCCTATCCAGGACTTTGGCTGATATCTCAAAGTGCTCACAATGGACCATTTTATCTAGTGAAGCAGGGGGTCACATTTTGAAAAATATTGTTGCCATTCAGCAGAGAATTGTCACATTGATACTAGATGTACTTTCTGGCGGGAAGGCTCTAGGTAACATTGTCATATATTAAGAGGAACATTTAATACTGTATTTTTTATTTTTAAAAAAAAATTTTTTTATTGTATAAATAATTATTCTTTGTTTTAAAAATGTTTTTAAAAAAAAAACGAATAACTATTTTACAATTTTAAGAAAAATATATTTTCAACTTTGGGTAATTTAATCTGTAATAATTTGTTTGATATATCTCTTTTTTTTTTTTGTCTTCAGAGGATTGCCCATCATTTGCAGATATGGGTATTGCTTTACAAAATTTGATTTCTGATGATGAAGAGGTGGAAGGAGACAAAATGTCCATTTCTCCAGATTTTCAGCTGCTTTTGTCTTGGTGTTGGATTAACCTCAGAGTAAAGGATTATTTTTGTGTCATTTCTTACTGATGTGGTGTCAGATGTTTTGTTTAATTACTACTAACAAAGTAATTATTGGTTAATTATGTTATTTAAATTTTTTATTAAAAAGCTGTATTTTTTTTTACTTGTGTAGGAGAGCTGCTCTTGTTTAGGGGAAGTAACTCGAGTAGGAGTTTTAAATAATGAATGCTGCCTTTCCATCAATGAGCTTCAAGCAATTGGAGACACATTTGTAAAAGTTTTAACAACTTGTCGGCACAGGGTTAGTTTACACAAAAAGTATCTCTAGGTTTTATTAACACAGGAATATCAAATTACAATTAGCTATCAAAATTGCTTTCAACTTTTATCTCTAGGGTGCCATTGAAGGATGTAGAGAAGGTTGGTTTCAGTTCTGCTGTTCCCTGATGTCTGCAAGTGATCCACAGTTGTCAAATATTCCAAAGCAGATTTTACAACAGGTCAATGAACTTAAATGAAAACAAGTTTTTTTATAGATATCTACTCTGGAATAAATGTAGTATCAAAATAAATAAAGCTTGTTATTTTATATCTGCAGATTCTTGATAGTTTGTCAGGAAATTCACTAACATCGTCTGTAACACGAAGATCTGCAGGTCTTCCCATTATAGTACAAACAGTCCTGTTGGCATCACGCAAGTCTGGTGATGTAATCTAATTCTTCTGTATTTATTCAAAAGTCACTTATATCTTACAGCCAAAATCCTCTTTTACTTTAGACCTTTTTTTCTGTTTTCACAGAACACTTTGTTGATCTCAACCATAAATAATTTGTATTTGATTGCCTCTCGTCCTTTCACAGAACACTTTGTTGATCTCAACAATAAATAATTTGTATTTGATTGCCTCTCGTCCTTTTACAGAACACTTTGTTGATTTCAACAATAAATAATTTGTATTTGATTGCCTCTCGTCCTTTTACAGAACACTTTGTTGATCTCAACCATAAATAATTTGTATTTGATTGCCTCTCGTCCTTTTACAGAACACTTTGTTGATCTCAACAATAAATAATTTGTATTTGATTGCCTCTCGTCCTTTCACAGAACACTTTGTTGATCTCAACAATAAATAATTTGTATTTGATTGCCTCTCGTCCCTTGCCCGCGGACTGCAGCCAGCTTCAGGATCTAAGTCAAGGCCATGCTTTAAACATACTTAAAGTATACACTTATACTTGTTTCTTAAAGCTTATTTAGTATCTTTAATAAACTTGATTATTTGAAATTTTTTTTTTATGCTGTTTGAAATAGATTTAAAGTTTCAATAACCAGACTTTAACTTTGTAACTCTTTAACTTGTTACATTTTCCTCTAATTGTGTTGTAGAGCACACTAAAGTGTAAATAAAAAACAGAATAGTTTTAGTAATATAATCTTTCATCCAGGTGATTTTCTGTGATGCATCATTTGCTCCTGTCTTGATGTTTTTGTTATCCAAGATGACCATCCTTGTGGTAGAGGGATTTGATTCCTCATCGTGGGCAATAAGAAATGCTGCAACTCAACTCATAAGTAAGTAATGGTGTGTCTTGTTTTTACTTTGTCACCTCCTCACAAAGCTTTACAAGTGATTTATGATAACTTAAACAGTCAAAAATATTTTAGCCATATCAAATATATAGGCCTACATTCTTAAAATAACAAAAATTCTAGTACTTTTCTTGTTATGTTAAAATAGTGGTCGAATTTCAAAAGTGGTTTAGAAAAAAACTGAAAAAACATAAATAACAAGACAAAACAATTATTGATCTGCTTCTGAAAAGGACTCCTTGTTTGATTTCAGGTACACTCATTACAAGAATCTTTGGACAGAAAAACACAGCTGGCAATAACAATAACATGACATTGGAAGAGTTTGAGGGCCTGTACCCAGAGCTGTTGCTGTTTGTTCATGACAAACTGCTGGCATATGTGGCTTCAAGAACTACAGTTAAGCCATCCCTCTACATTATTTTAACTCTTCTTTCAAGCATAGGCATGTCACCCTCACAACAGCATAGTTCTAAGTATGTAAGAGAAACAAATATTTTAAAAATACTACAATTAAATGACATTGTTAAACTAATATTGTTTAACCTTTACTTTGGGTGGTGCCTGAGATTTTAAACTTCATTATTGTTAAAGATGACTTAAACAATTAAAACATATATTTACCTTTATTTTAATACCAATTCTAATTATTAAAATTAAGCAGTAGCCCAGAAAATATGTAAAAAAAAATATGTGTTTGTTTTTAAATGTCTACAATGCTATAATGGATACTGTAGGTATATATATAAATTTATATATTTATGCTGTTGTTTTTTACAGCGCTATTATACTTATTTATTCACTGTTTATTTTTCAGCATTAGGAGCTCCTTGCAAAATGCAGTTCTTTTCTTCCTGTCCAACCCTGTGCATTCACTGAGAAAACTAGCTGCACAAGCCTATGTAGCATTATCTCCCTTAGATGAAGTGGACACCACAATGCAGCACCTATTAGACAGGCTGAAACAAAGGGAAGTAAAAATGAACGAGAGACATGGATGGTTGCTGAGTGCTTTGAGCTTAATCTCTACAGGCGTTGTTAGGTTTGTCATGGTTTTATACATACAGTCAATTTTTTTCCCTATTACGATAATATTTCCAGAAATGGAAGTAGCTAGCAGACAAATTAGCAGACAAGAAGGTGGTGGTGCAGGCCAAAACCTCCATTACCACTTAGATGAATGTATGGATAAATAACACTAATTCTAGAAATATGTTTTTATTCATACTTTATTGCTTGCTCCAGTGACAATATGTGTAGAAGTCTGGTGGAGTTCCTGGTACAAGAAAGTTGGCTGCTGAATTGTTCATCCTGTGCTGTCATACCATCAGCCATGTTGGAGTTTGTGTGTGTAGCTGTAGCTCAGACACAGATAGGAGCGTCACTAGCTGCGCATCTGTGGGATGTTGCAAGAAATTTGCTCACTTCTCTTTTGGCATCGAAAAATCAACTTATAGTGAGTTACTTTTTTAAAAATCTGCATTTTATAGTTTAAATTTTTATTTCACAAAAGTGATTGTATTTTTTCATTGGTTAGGTATCATGTGATCATTGTATGAGTGTGTGTGTCAAGCTGATGTTTGAACTGCAGAGAGAGATGCCCAGTTGTGTAGAACTGAGAGTAAAACTTGACAACATCATCACAGAAAGTTTAGTATCTACACAGGAAGCTGTCAGGTCTGCAGTTTTAGACTGCTTGCAAGAGAACAATACAGATGCATTTACAAATGATATTTGTATTCAGGTATTTTACGAACAATCACTAGTCATTTTCTATATGAATTATTGTAGGAATGCATTGTTTTAATTATCTAAAACAACTTTTTTTTTCTACACAGAAACTTCTTAAGGATTATATTTTAAGGGAGAGTAATCATGTGAACTTACATAAATCTGCTGAAATTATTCTGGCCACAAAAGTAAAAGGCAACCTACGTTTACAGTACTCTGACTTAAAAGATTTCTTAATGCTTGCTTCAAGAGTATCAGTGCAAGCACAATGTGCTCAGACAACTATATTTTCCTTACATGGATTAGTATTTGCCAGTGCTGACTTTATACAGTTAAAACAAATGTAACTAAACCTTTTTTTTGTACACTATAATAATGAAATAGTTTTGACTTGATTAACTGTATGTTAACTCATAAGCCAAGTTGATTAAAGAATTATATTTTTTAGATTAGGCAGTTTGTCTCAGTGGTGTGATCAACTTTTAAACTACACCAAACCATCAGCCAATGAAAATATTCGACTTTTGGCCAGTCATGCACTTTGTATTTCCGGAAAAAATATCATTGGCTTTTGTTGTGCTCACAAAGATTCAGCAGATGCAGACATTATAGCTGTCAGGTAAATGGCCAAGATTTTAAAAATAAAAATTGTTTACAGTTTAAGTTGTAGCCATACATATGAAACAATGAACTTGAGAAAACTAAAGAAAAGGTTCAGAGAAATAATCTTGATTTATATCTCCCTACACTAGCCTAGTGAAAGCAAGTCTTCATCTTTTGGAAGACACAGAGAGGGATGCCAGGCTAAATGTATCATCATTTCTCTGTAGCTTAATGGAAATCAAGCCTTTGCATTTTACATTCTGCTATCACGTAATGAATATTTTATTGTCAAAGTCAACATTTAGAATGGTTATATTGTAAAAACATAATTGTTTTAAAAAGTTATTTGATCTTGGTGTAAAAATAACCAGGAATTGAAACAATTTTAAGATAATTATTTACAATTTTTAAAAAAGATTCTATCAAAAGTGATTGTTGAACAACTTGGTTGGTGTGCTGGTGTTATCTCCACATTAGCAAACATTCTGTACTCACCCCATCAGCTTAGCACTGCAATATCTTCTCATCTCAGATCTGGGTAATTTATTTCTTTTGCTAGTTATTTCAGTTAACAGTTATCTGGTACGCTCCTAATTAACACTGCAGTTTGTTCTACAGTTTTAAGAAATCAATTTTTAATAAATTACCTCACCAATAACATAATTTAAAATAATAAAAAAATACAACCAATTGTTGCTGTATTTCTTTTTCTGTTTTTATTTATCCAAGTCCAGTCTGTCTGTTTGAACCAGAGACTGACAGCATATTGTCAGAGCAATTTATCTCTCAATTGTGGGCTTACAAAACTCTTCAGGTAGGCTAGTTATATTTTTAGTACAATGTTATAAACAATGGGGGTTATGTTTGATATGAATACCTTTATGTTAGAATTATTTGTTCTAAAAATTTTAAATTTATTTTATAGGCATCCTATGGCCTAAGCTTGGGATTAAGACTTTTAGCTTTGCACTCATGTGTTCTCCAGTCCTACCATCCTTTCCCATTCAGTGTTATAAAAAAATCATACGCACACTGGCTGTCAATAATTGCAACTAAACATTTCCAGGAATTAATTATCACCTCCAGTAAAATCTAATTTAGTTACCTATAATCATAACTAAAATTATAGAAGATTTCTAGCAAGGGACCTGCTAAACAATATCTACTCCCAAACAAATAGCTTGATTTTTTAAAAACGTGGTTTATATTGATTTTTTAAAACGGGGTTTATATTGATTTTTTAACCTTCAGATGTTGGCCTCTCAGGGAGTTGTGCTACAGCTCTTGTCATCAACTATAGAGTCTGTTCTAAAAGAATTACTTCAGCATGTCAATGTGATAAAGAAAAATCTATCCAGTATGTTTACATTTTTAATAAAGTTTTAGTTAGAAGAATGTCATTAAGGAAAAAACAAAATTAGAATTAGGATGAATAATTAATGTAAGTATATATTATCATCCTTAAAATATTTAAAATCAAGTTTTGATAAAAAAATTATTGTAAATAAGAGTGAATAGGTATGAGAAAGGTATTTCACTACAGTATGTACAGTGTTCAAAACCAAGTCCACTCTATAAGTATACAAAACTTTTTTTTAAAAACATTTTGCATATATAGCTGTTGTGTTCAAATGATTTTGTTACTGTTTTTTAAAGAGATTTTATATGTCCTACTGCCCACACAGATGAAGTAGCATTTAACATGAGCAGTAACAGTAAAGTTATGTCTGCATTGTTGGGAATAATTTTGATCAGCAAAGTATATGTCAATAGCATGAACAGCATTGGCAAAGAGTTTACGGCAGACGGTCTACATTTGTTGAAGCTGATAGTAGACATACAAGAGGTAAAAAAATTTAATGGTTTTTAATAATTATTTAATAGTTATGAAGATACATTGCACTTTTATTCAGATATTAGTAAATATTTTAAAAAGTCAAAATTGTTTTTTTCAGTTGCCATTCTTGCACCCATTCCTTCACAAACCAGAGCAGAATGAGGCAGGGAACATGTTTTCCCTAGTTCCAGCCAAACTTGATATTCTATTAATTGGTTCTAGCCAAGCTTGACATTACTTTTAGTCTGAACTTTTTTTTTCTGTAAATAAATGATACAATAGATTTTCTACAGTGTTTGTTCAAACTTTCAGAGGGTAAATGAGAATTTATGCTAATCATTTAAGTCTTTATCTTTTGTAAGACAAAGAGGGAGATGGCAGGCAAGTTAATTATGACAAATCATTTTCTTACTCCTATGTTGTTGTCAACAATATTTTTGCAATTAACACTTTTTGATAAAGAACTGTACAACACATACTTTAATACTGGTAAATACACAAAAAAATTCAACTAGCTTTTATTTCAGCAATTTATTGAAATTTTAAAAATTTTACTTTGTTCTAAAATGACTAGTTATAAATACTTATAAACTCTGTGGCAAAAAAAAAAAATTGTTTACACATTAATAAAAATTCACAATATTAAACCTACCAACAGAAAATTTCTAATTAAATTATTATTTTAAAAATTCTATCCTAAAGATAGGATTTTTTATATTGCACAAAAAAACAGAAACAAATTTTAAACATACTCCTGCCTAATTTACTCTCTTGCAGAAATTGATTGCACATTAAAATGTAATAGATGAGGAAACTTTATACAATACAGAAATGTACTGTTAAAATAAGTTAGTATACTAAGATATCACAGTTATTTTTAAAAAATGCTACTAACATATACAAAAACAATCAAGGTGGAAAAGTTTAAAGAACAAGTAACAAAAAAAGAGATTTTAAGTTTACTTTTTCAAGATAATAACTACATGAACATGTAAATGTCCACAAACTTAATCTTAAAAAATATATTTAATATCATCTATACATAACCTTAAAAAAGTTGCAGCCCTATATTACTTTATCAACAGCATTGGAAGATTCAATGACCTACATGAAAATGTAAGCGACAATGGAATTAAAATTGTAGTGTAAATATAATTTTCTATTCTCTTACATTATTCAAGAACATTATACAGTTATGGACATTAGCTTTAACTTTAAGTAAACACTAATGTACCAATATAGCATAAAGTTTTTTTTAATTAACATGTGTAACTGGGGCAATATATGTAAGTTTATTACAAAATATCCAAAACAAAATAGTGCTAACATTATTTTTTATTAAAATGTGGTTCTGAGGCAGTATAAGGAATTTTAATAGAAAACATCAAATACTTAATTTAATAGTGCTGCCTGTGCAAAAACTTTATTTTAGTGGTAGTTAAGGTAACATTTTATGCAAATATTCTTAATCAGCACATTAACAAGTTACATAATGATCAATCCAGATGATGGGCTTTAATGTAATTGGTTTGAATGTAATTGGTTATTTTATAAAGCTTACCAGAGTGGAAGCTTTATATTTTATATGATCTAATTAGAAAATTATGCAAACTTAAGTGCTGAATAGCCAACTAAATTTTGTGATTATTTTTAAAGATAAATAAAGTCTAGCAACTAAAATATAAGGACAATTTTGTAGGGTTAAAGGGGAGACAACTAGTCCAGCATCTCATCAATTAACAATGTTAAAATCCTGAGCCTGTGAAGAATGCCACTCATGACCAGCGAAAAGAAGGAAGTGCAAGCACAAAAAGACATCTTATATAATGGAAGGCTGACAAAATATTAAGTGTTGTAGCTCATGGAAAGGAAGGTTACATTTTTTGTTTAACAAATGATAAAACTGAAAAATGACATGGCCTTTACACAAAGTTTAGTAACATAAACATTTGTAGTTGAAATAATAAAATTTTTTTTTTAAAAACATGAGCTGAAGCACAAAGTTATTTTAACTAGCAATCATCTATGTTGTGGTTGAAACGATAGAAAGTGGTTAAACTATGAAAAAGCTGTACTTCGTACGACTTGATTTAAATGAACATTTTAATTCAAACCTCATAACCTTCCATTTCATAATCATATTCATAAATATCCTCATCATACTCATATTCATCATTGTCTGAATTGGCTTCTTCAAGAACAGAACCAGCACTGTCGTCTGTGTCTCCATCAGAGTACTGCATGGCCACATGAAGAGCACTTGCATAGGCTTCATCATAAGACGTACATCGCTGTAGGCTCCGCAGCAAAAACCTAGGTATCTCAGCTAGGGTTGCCACGGAAACATTGTCTATAGGTGGGGGAATGTGAGCCATGGCACAGGGAAACTTTTCAGACACTTCATGTAACGACGTTGTGTAAGGCTGCCAGTTGTTCAATACTAAAATACCTTCCTGTGCTGGGACTGCTATCTGGTACCCGTAAGCCTGAGGTTCCCTAATATACTCAGTTCCTGGTGTAGGAATACGTCGCATAGACGTGACCCATTTTACCCTTACTTCATCTAGGATAATAGCAGGTTCTCCTGGCTGATAGATGTGTACAGTGTCATCCCGTACACACATAGTGAAACATTTTGCAAAGTCATCGTATGAAATATCAGGTGGTGTTAGCTCCCAAGAACTGAAAATTTTCATCTTAGCATCAAACAGCACAAAACCCACTGACTTTTTTATGGAGAACTCTTCAGATGGACCTGTCCTGTGGCGATACCAAACAAAAATCTGGCGATCATTTCTTACAACACACCTAGCCAAGCTGATAAACCTGGAACTTGGAATCTGATAACAGGCATACTGGTTGTTGGCCAAATTACAGGCAAACAAATGACCAGTTCCTTCTTTGTTACCTACAACAAACAACTGGCCACTGCACATAACCATAGCAGGTGGTGCAGTTCGAAAGTTCGTCAAAGTTGTCCTGTAAGTTGGTTTGTAGTAATCAACAGTCCTGAATGAAAATAACGAAGGTTGCCCAGTAAGCAAGTCAATAGTGAGGATATTAATTTTTAACATGTCTGTGGGGTAAGGAAAGGAAGAACATAAATACATGTACAGCTTTCCTTCATGTGCAAGCATGTTACAGACAGTTTGTCTCATTGGTACAAACTTCAACAGCCTCTCACCAGATACAGGGAAATGGTACCACACCTGATCATCAAGACTATACAGGAAAAGTTTGAGGAACTTCAAACCCTGGTTACATACTACAGTGAAAAGAATTTGAGAGCAGTGAGAAGATCCTTGGTTGCTCTGCTGACCAGTTTCTATTTTCTCTGATATCAGAGTGTCAGCATTAGAAGGCAGTTCTGATGAGGAATACATACTGTTGTCTAAGTTTGCGTTGCTGGAATCATCTGTAGGAGAGACTGGGTGATAATCAAAACTACGAGAAGCAACAAAATCCCTTCCTTCTAGTGAGCTACGCAGTTCTCTACCCAGGTATGATGCTTCATTTGCATAGTCTGAAATCCACGAATTGATGGTAGCATTGAGCTGTTGGTAATACGGAAGTCTTGTTACTCTATCATGGTCAATCCATCGAGTGATCAGTTTACGCAACTCGTTATAGCCAGTATGCTGCACAACACAAGGATCTTCCAACAGTTTTGCCAGCCACACCCATGGCAGTTCTAGAATATCATCATGCTGTATCAGGTGGTCATGGAAACGTGACTCTATGATGCTCCTTGCAGCAGCAGCAACTTCTGGTAAGTTGTGGTCATCAGCCAAGAATCGAACTCTTAGGCAGTTTGAAAGGTCAAGGTTGCCTAGTCCTAAAAGAAATTGCTGGCAAAAATCTCTGACATCATCCAGTAGCAAAAAATCTGAAATCTTCACGACATCTGTGATTGTTTCTGTGGTGAGAGGTAGAGAGCCAGTGTATAAGTAGTCCAGAACTGTGCTAAAGACTGAATCCTGAAATACAAAAAACATTTATCAGGGTAAACAATAAAAGCTTATTTTAATTTGCTTTTGAAAACATAAGAAGATGATGTTCTATCACCACCATAATTTTTATAAGAACCCTCCATCTTAAGGGTTTGCTATTACTATAACATAATATTCTGAATGACTTTTCATTTAATCTATTTTGACTTAAAAATAATCCAATTTTTAAAATGTTTTTCAGCTTGTTTACAAACACAACTGATGGAAGCAACATTCTCATTTCAATAAAATATTGAGTTCTTAATAATTAGCCAACGTGCCTAAATTTAACTAAATATTCACAGAGTCATGGGCATGAAAAGAAATATTAAATTATAAATACATCAAATTATTACCAAGTACAGTGGTACCTTGACACACGAGTGCCCTGTACTACACTATAAGAGTTTTTGAAAATATTAGCTGTAAATGTGTAAAGCAAGCGATGCTTTGTTTTGAAATACAAACTAATTTGAGATAGGAGGAACCAGTTTGGTGAGTTTCGAAGTTGGTGGAAAAGAAACCCCAAAATGGTAACAGGTCATTAGCCATTTTCTTTTTAATGCTTTATCATTTGTAGCTTCTGTTGTCAATATATAATTTATAATTAGGGCCTATTAAGTTTGATTATAATAATTAATAATTAACAACTTGTAGCATTAAAAAAAATAGTAACTTACTAATACTTAGATTCTAGTAGGTTTAGTAGGCCTAACTAGTAACTAATAAAATTAAACTGAAGTCAATTAAAATAACAGACCTAAGCCTAGGCCTAATAATTATTATTAGGCTTATGTCTATTAAATAATAGTAATAATTAATATAATAATAGTAACTGTAACTATGAACATATAAATTAATCATTTAGTATTTAGTACTTACTTGTACTTTAGGTTACTATTTCATTTACTAATTTTTAAATAGTTTAGTTTAGTTAGTTTACTAAAAAAAAACACTCAAGAGTTTACCTGTTCAAGTACCAATGAAGCAGAAAGATCTACTTCCCTAATATTTTTTTCTCTCATGTCACAAGTAAACATAGAATGAAAATAAGGACTCCATAAGGCCAAAATTGCGCGGTGTGCATTATACCGGCGACCGTTCAATTTTAAGACAATGTCGCATAATTCTCCCGTTTCTCTTTGTTTCAATAAAGGACGAACAAGGCAATCGTGAGCAGTTTTACTGAATGTCTTCTTGGTTGCTTTGACGTAGTGCGACATAGTTAATTGCTTTATTTAACACAACATAAATCCATTTTTTTGTCCAGTAGATTACCAACAGCCCTCAACTTAGTCAGAATTACCTCCTATCCCATCATAATTTATGTTGATTGTTTAGCTTGACAATTCTTTAGAATTTGTAGTAGTCTCCCTTGCAAATAGTAAATTTCATTTACGTAAAAAAGGAAACAATTTTGAAAATTGTCATCGGTTAATTATAAAAAAAAAAAAATAGAATCTATCTATAATACATGTTATCATCAGATAATGTACTGGATTTTCTTTGAAATACTATTTTTCTGTTTTCAATAGGGCTACTTCTATGTTGCACTAAAGCCATAGGCCTAAAGGATACTGCTAACTGCACTCACACATTGTGATTGTGGAAGGGTTGCAGGCCTGACCTAATAGTAATACTATAGGCAAATAGTATATAGATCTAGTAATTTATTTTGTTATAGCAGGCCTATGTTTGTAGATTCTATAGTATAGTGCAATATTTTATAAACTGATACTATGGGAGCGCAAATAAATGATAGCACAAGGACAGGTAAGATGATTTGGGTTAAATTTTTGGTTTTGGAGAGGTGGGGGGGGGGGGGGGTGTGAAATGTTATGACGTCATTTTATGGGGTGCGGCTTTTTTGTGACGTCAGAGGCGTAGCGACCCTTCCCGGCGCCCGGGGACAAACTTTCGATTCGCACGCCCCCCTCGAACTTTTCATTTGCACACCCCCCTCAAACTTTCGATTTACACCCCCCCTCGAACTTTTCATTTGCACCCCCCTCAAACTTTCAATTTGGCGCCCCCCCCCCCCCCGAAGGTCGGCGCCAGGGGACATATGTCGCCCCCCCCCCCCCCCGCTACGCTACTGTGTGACGTATGCGGGGAGGTGAAAATCAGCTAAAATAACACAAGTCCTGAACCGACTATCTGATAATGTAATAATTATAAATTATTACACGAATCTAACTCGTCTAGCAAAATGTATTTGGTTGATGTAAACGATAGACACTACGGTATAAGGGGTCGTCCATAAATGACGTCACGCTCGTAGGGGGGAGGGGGGTCCGTAATTTTGTGACGGTGTGTGATGAGTTCAGATGGTGCGACGTCGCACTTTTGCATTATAAATAAACCGGGAGTGATCTCCCCTAAACTTTCTTGAATATTCTTCTTGGAATATAGACATGATTTTTAATTACTTAAACTTTTAAAAATAGAATAGAATCTCATAGAAAAAAGAATTGCGCACCTTTCAAAAGTTTCAAAATTGGCTATTGATTTATTTTTATAAATTTAAATTCTCTTGCCATAATTTGATCTGGCATACCTATGAGGAGACAACTACAAAACAATTATGGCTGCCTACATGAGTTTGAATGACACTTTGACTTAGATCTAGTCTAGATATTAGATAAAAATCATAAATGTAATTGTTGTTACTAATTTAGAGATAAATCTTTGGTCTAATAAGGCTAGGAATACAGATGTGGATTGTTGGGTACACCGATTTTTGTCAGTGAAATCGCCCGAAAACCTGCTCTAGGCCACTCTTAGATAGGCCGTTCGAATTCACAGCTTCCGGGTTTGTTGTTTTGAAGCCATCTCACGGCTCATGCGCTTACCAAAAATGGCGACCAGTTTCGCTTTCACTAATGGGTAGAGCGATAAAACTAATGATTACGAAGCCATCGTTAATTTAAGAAATCGGAACTATCCGTTTCTATTTAAGTCTGTTATTTAAGAATTGTCGGATCTACTTTTGGCCTAATTTCTATGTTTGTCTCGCAAGCGGCGCCTTAGTGAAAGTAGCTCTATATAATTCTTATCTTTCGAATCAAATAACTATAAAATACCGCAGGTATTTTTAACCAGACTATTGCTATTTTTTACTTGAAAGCATTAATTTTACACACGTTACAATAAACTGGTAATAATTTATGGTAGGCATGAGATATGCTCTGTAAGAATAATAATGCCATTTTATTATAATCTTTTTTGGTGAACACGAAGCGCGGGAAAATGTGTGACGCGCAAGAATCCAATCATTCGGCTAGATTTATGACTGTTTTTTATGTCACACCTAAAAATAGAATGTTTACGCTTTCTTCATTGATGATCGTTTTCATTATTTTTTTAAACTGAAAGTATGAATTATTAGTTAGATTTCAGGTTTTGTAACTTGGTATACTTACCCTTTATCAAAATTAAAAGCATAGCATGCTGATTGTGAACAAATATAGTCATAAAACACAAATATAAAGTTACAAACAATGCGATGTCGGGATGTGCCACACCCCCTCAAGAAAACACGTGTTTATTAAGCTGTTTATCTCACTTTACAACAGTAATTAAAATTAATTTTCAAATTTTTATTACTTATTGGGTAAGATTAAGCACATATTTACTAAAAATGAAAAAAAAACAAAAGCAAATTCTGTTTTAATGAAGGTCACGGGTCAAGTTTTTTTTTCCTTCTGTCATGTTCAGTGGAGGGTGCCACAGGCTGACCTGACTTTGGAATTTTTTTCAGTAATAATGACTTTGCACAGAAAGTTAAAATATGCTAAATTGGCTTAGTTTACTAGTGTGCAAGCTATTATTGATACATTTTTAATAAAAAAATCATTCTGTAATTCTCATCAAAAAGCCTACTCTTAGACTTAGAGACTTAGTCTAGAGGGCTCTAGCTTAGTGTCTAGCTACTAACTAGCTAGATCTAGTAGTAGGGGCACGAAATTTGATGTTCAAGCCCGAAGGTAAAATTTATTCCCCACTTCACGTTCACCTCCAGTTGAGCGTATTTTATTATAAACAAAACAGAAACACACAAACGTTAGGAAATCACTTGGCCTATTGCATTTTTGCTTTATGAATTTTTGGTTTAGTTTTTTAAATTAATTGCGATTAGGCCTAGGCCTAAATTTTGTCAAAACTTGAGAAAAATCCAAAATTTGGAATATTGAAAGTGATTAGGCCTAATAATTAGCCTAACTAATTACTAATCTAGATCTAGATTTAACTTTTTTTATTGAAAATATGTTAGTGTCAGTTAAGATTTTCATGGCAATGGGTAAAGTAGAAACGCATAATTGCAAGGATTTGAAGTAGGATTTTCTTTGTATCAATGCAACAACAAAAAAAGAAGAAAAAAGTGATGTCATTCTTTATTTAGGAGACACCTAATCAACTATAGTATAGTAAAGTGAAGTTTGCTACCGTACTGTTTAGTTTTTAAAATACTAGTTTAGTGCAGAGTTGTGGCGACTGGGTGAAATCCACCCAAAGTCGCTATATTTTAGCTCATATCTCGAGTCTCGTTTTATAAATTTTTCTGGGCCTCATTCCCATCTATAAGGTGGTTGAAATGAACACATAGGTAGGGTTTAATTTTAAAAGGATGCAAAAATAATTTTTTTATGAGGTTTTGAATTTTTTGTGTGCGGTCCCTGGCAACTGGGTTTAACACACCCGTACACAATATGTAAAGGAAACAATGTTTCTAACACTTATAAACTGTCTTCTAAACATGTTTATGCTTATTATTTCTTTGATTTGTTTGATTCATATTTAAATGTAACTATGTAAATGTAAATAGACACTCTGAAGGCTTTTGTGTAACAAAAATAATCAAACTATATTTAATGTCTTATCAATTATAATACAAAGAAATCATAAGATAAGCACATAAAATGTTTACAGTTCAAAGAGTACAGTTATTACACAGATTAATTGTGTGTTCTTTGCATATGTGACAAGTGCATTTGCTGCATATTTATTTCGTTTTTCGATCTCTCTTTGTTGGGCACAATGCGCATCTCTTTTGCTTTGTTGCTGAATTAGAAGAATCTTCAGATGTTCTTTGCCTTTTTGGAGGAGTTGAAGTTGTTTGTGTAGCTAATTCACGTGGCTGTAACATTTTTAAAACACTGGTGATATTCTGCTTCACAATATCCTGATGTGTTGGGACAGATCGCTTTAGTATTTGTAGGAGGGTGAGGGATTGGGCAATGTCAATGTTGAACAGCTGTCTGTTGTCTGCATGGCCCAGAGAACTTGTAGGATATTTGCATTGAAATACGACTCTTGCAGCAATTGATGCCAAGTCAATCATGTTGAAAAAGACAACCAATGGCCATCTTTTTGTTTTACGCTTGACAGTGAATGCCTTAGCCATTTGATCCATGGCATCTACACCCCCTTTGGTCTTGTTGTAGTAGAGAACGATCTCTGGTTTTTTTAATGCATTTGTACTGTCAATGTCTGGGTTGTTGTGCATGGTGCTAAGCAACAAGACATTCTTCTGCTTTTTTGATTGATAACTGACCAGTGTGGTCTCTGGTCGGAATAAAAATGCAGAGTCATTCAAGGGCAGATGCTTTTTTTGTTGAAAGTCCTTGGGTAGGAATGTCTTGTTTCTTTTCACTGTTCCAACTAGCGTCAATCTACTTTTGGCCATTGTTTCTGCAAGTTGCAAGTGCGTGAAATAATTGTCTGTAGTAATATTACGACCACTTCCCTGGAAGTCTCTGGTGAGAGAAACCACAATCTCTGAAGCAATTCCTAAATTTCTTTTTGCTGGCATGGCACTTCTTTTTTCTTTACCAAGATATGGACAGCCTCGTAGTGGATAGTTGGATAAAGAATCACATGCCCAAAATATTTTGATGCCATATTTATCTGGTTTGCTTGGCATATACTGAATAAACCTACAACGACCCCTGAAACCAACAAGTTGTTCATCTACAGTTATGTTCTCTCCTGGAACATAATACCTTGCGAGATTACTATGGAACAATTCCCAAATATCCCTTATGGGAGCAAAGACGTCACGAGAACGACGAACTGATCTAGTGTCCTTGTTGTCGAAACGAATGTGATTCAGAAGGTTGCTGAATCTCTTCATAGAAAAAGCTGCCCTTAAAAGTGGATTTCCATGTACAGGACTGAATAGCAGTTCAACAGAAATGCTGTTCTGGTGAAGAGCACCAGTGTGGAGCAAGCATCCTATAAAAGCTTTCATTTCAGTTGCATCAGTTCTCTGCCATTTGTCTTTTCTTGCTTTTTCTCCTTCCCTGTTGGTGCAATCAACAATTGTCTGTATCATGTTGTCGTTCATGTACAGAAGGAACGCTTCTGAGGGGGAAACCACATGACCAGTGAAGGGTGTTTGAGTACATTTTTCCTGGGAATGCGTACTTCAGGCAGTGGTCTGGTGTGCCACACTGTTGATTTGTTTTTCCCAAGTATTTTGTTTTCTCCTGCTTCATCGTGTCGCTCACCACCAGCTTGATTTGTTTCTATACCATCACGACTGTCAGCATTTGGCACATTGTTGATAGCTGCAGGTGCCAGTTCAGTGTACACAGAGTCAGCATCATCGTCATCAGAGCTACTTGTAGTGGAACCAGTAGGGTCTTCAGGTACTGGTGGCTGCCACTCTTCATCTTCTTCATCTGATACTTCAGATTCATCACTTGTTGGACCATCATCAACTGGTAGACTAAAACTATCAAAGATATTCCTTGCCATTTGCACTTGAGTTGAGACAATCGTGCTTGTGGTAGTCTTTAGGAAGTTGTGTGCTCAGTCTAGGTTTGTGCCTCTATTTATACACCAAACACCAGGGATCACAGCCTGTAGAAATTTTTTCCCACCCCATGTTCATCAATAAATTACCTCGTGTCAACTGTCTTGTAGCATTCCAGGTGGTTCTGACTTTTTGTCTTAATTCCCAATTCTTATTTGTTCAATGTCAGATAAAGATGTCAATGCTACTAGAATGTCTCTCTATCTGCATTCCAAAGCTCCATAAATAAAGTACAAATCACTTTACATGTCCTCCCACAGGTTCTCTTATTCCTGCATTTCATTAACCTATTGTAACTCTAAACTACAGTAATGTCTGTATTCTGTAATCCCATCAACCTGTAGTATCACATTACAGCTTTCCCATTGACAACAACTTGTCTTGTGTTCCCCTTGTGCACAATGCCCTGAATACCTTAACTGTGTCAGTATTGTTACCCACCCCACAATGAACAGAGAAAACATTTTACTGTAAGAAAGTCTTTGGGTATAATCCACCCAGTTGCCGGGAATCAGAAGAAATAGTATTTCCCACCATAAAAAGTGCCCGGGTGTGATCCACCCAGTTGCCGGGGACAGGGTACCAAATATGTTGCCGGGGAAAGGGTAAACTACATGTGGGTTTAGTATAGTAGATGTGACATTTTATGCAACTTCCAGGCTCATTTATTTACATTATAATTAGCCTAGAGGCCTATATTAAATATAGCCTAAAATATATAGGCCTGTCCACCCAATATGGATGGACAAATTATTGATGGCTGAAGGATTAATAAGATTTAACAATTCTGTAGTAAATTGTAATATTTTCGTTTTCATTAATGTAAGTATAAAATACTAAAAAAAATAATGTTTTATGGTAATCAGTTATTGTCTTTAGAATTCAATAGTCAATGAATGATTTTGTTTGTGACCCAGTTCCTTTCTTCATATTACTCAAGACACTTTAGTGTAGGGGAATTGTTTTATTTATTTTAATTACACATACAGGAAATTTGAATTAGACAAAAAATAATTTTGAAATGAAATTATACTAAGGTATATGTATCATGGTAAAAATTATACAAATTTTTTTACCAACTCTAATTTAATTTTTTTTTCTCTTTAAGTTGAGGCTGCAGCTGTCTGAAATAATTCAAGATGATCTCCTTTCGCCAAGTACAGATACTTAGTATGTCTAAATGCAAGGATGTAGGAACATATCTGTTAAATAAAAAGTGTTTAGATAGGTTCTCAAAAAATTATTCTACCTTTATCAAACATAGGCCTTATTTGTTTGCCAAAGTCTTTGAGGTGATTAGTTCAACCCCAAAGACAAACATAAGATTTCTTAATTTTCAACCAAATGACAGCTCTTTCAGAAGTGATAATAAATCTATAAAAACGATTAAAAAGAAAAATCTTGTTGCTAAAAGAAGAGATCATAGTACAAATTTAAAACTCTTTAATGAGCTTTTATACCAGAAAGAAAGTTCAACACTAAGCAATGATGACTGGCTTCAAATAAAAGAGACATTTTCAGTAACGCTAAATGAGAAGTGGGAGTCTTTCTGTATGCATGCATTGTATAATCGAAAAAACTGTGCGCAAGCCAAAAGCTTAATCAATTTCTTGGAGTCACAAAAAGAGAGTCCAAATAAAATCACTTTGACATACTTTACTAGTCTTCTTGGACAGACTTCAGATAATTCTGAGACTCAAGATACAGAATTCAAGAAATACTTTGATTTATTGCTGTCCAAATCAGATAATTTGGATGCAGCTTCCATTGAGGTAAGTAATTGAATTTTTAAATGAACAATAGGCCATGAAGCTTTATAAAAGAAAATATGTAAAATTTGTTGGATAGACAAAAAAGGGGAGGAAACTTTATGAATACTTAAGACATTGAGAGTGATAACAATTTCAAATACATATTATTTTTTTTGCAGTGTCTGGTGGTTTAATTGTGACTTAAAGGAGTAGAGCAAAAAACAACTTTTAAAAAAACCCACCATTGAAAACTATAAAATCTTATGTTTTGAATTGTGCCAAACTGGACTTTCAAGTCTAAGCATAGCTTCACATGCCACATTGTGAGCAAAGATGAGTTTTTGCTGAAATGGAGATTTTCTAATGTTCCACCTGACTTTAATATATTTTCACTTAATTAATAACTTAATTTCACTGAAAACATAACTATACATTTGATAATTTATATTACAGGTGCTTGTAAAGGGTTTATCTAATACTAGATACTACATGGAATGTATTCCTTTGTTAAAACTTGTTCAAGAATTCAGTGAAGTAACAAGTAAAATAATAAATGACATTTTGGTCGGAGCATTAAAGTTCCAAGATCACAAAATATTGGCTCAGATGTTAACTCTTGCAGAGACTGGCAAAACTTTACCAAACGAATTGCTACCAAGTCTACCAAATGTAAAGTATATTGTTAGTGTATTAGCAAATAACCTGTGATTGCAGAAGTTCAGTCAATCAATTAAAGAAATATATTATTCTCATCACTTTTTATATAAGCGGTATAAAAAATTATTATAAGTTTCTTGTTACAGATGGTCAACCGGTGTCTTCAGAAAAATAATCAGCAAGGTCTACAAACACTAATGGACTTTGTAGAAAAACATGGGTTACTTTTACCTAAACTGGTCCTTTATGAAATCCACAGCATGTTTGAAAGGTTCGGCTTGTTTAAAACAAATATTACTCTAGTCAAATAATACCTGTTTATTTAAAATACTTTCATGTCTTCTATTAATATTGTTATTTTATGTTTCATTATTTCATTCAGTAATTAAGTAACTATATTCAAAAAATGCTAAAATGTTTTCAGTCATCAACCTGATGAATGGACTGGTCAATTTGGTTACATCAATCATAGAAGGTGCAGGCATGTTTTGATTCAAAATAAAAAATAACTTAAAATAAATAAAGGAATAAATAAATATTAAAAATTTTTATTCCTTATATTAACACCACATCTGCATAAGAAACACTTAAAAAAACATTAATTCTATGTGTTTTACTTTTTTTTTTCTATTCTTTAATCAGTGGGAAATGCACTATTTGCAATCATAAGATGGACAGGCTGGAAATTCAACAAAAAGAATTCAACTCGTTACAAACTGCATTTTTAGATCAAGTAATCGTGGGAAAAAATATCTTTTACAAGACATCTCCAGAAGAAGTAGATAAATACAAACAATTCATAAAAAAGCTGGCTCCGTTTGATGTTGTCATAGACGGCATGAATGTTATCTTCCATGGTCAGCCTAACAGAGAAAAGGTAGCTTACTTGTTGATAATTTCACTCATCCATACATTATTGTAAGAAATATTTATTAATTTTTTTACTTCTTTTTATACTTATTAATGTGTAGAAATTTTTAAAAACTTCATTTTTTAGTTGGAGAAAACAGTTGAATATTTTACTGAACAAGAGAAAAAAGTTTTAGTTCTTGGAAGCAATGCACTCTATAAATTTACTCACAATGTAAGAAAAATGAAGAATTGCCATACCTACTTAACATCTACTACGTAAGTGCTGTATAATTTATAAATAATAGCTCTTTTTAGAAAAATTTAGTGAAATGTCATATTTATTCATTAAATGATTTTCTAAAAGCTTATAATTACCAGTATTTAAAGAAATATAAATGAAGTTTTGATAAAAGCTATTAAAGTAAAAAGTACAAACTTTTCTGCAACATGAAAACCCTCCTCGCTGTAATTTCATACAGTTTAATAAGTTAAAAAAAAAACTAAATACTTGCTGTATGATGCAATCATATTAGATAATTCTTTTGTTGGAAGATTGTTGGCTGAAGAATTTGAATGCAAAGCATTTTTATGAGAGTTATACACTAATAGGCATATTTTGGTTACTGACTGTTGAAAACTGTTCATTGTTTCAGAAAAGCTGATGATGTCTTTTTCCTATATGCAGCACTTCAAAGTAGGCTAGATACGCTAATTGTTAGCCGTGACAAGCTTCGGGATCATAGATTTAAATTTGACCCTATACTGCGCCCAATTTTCAGCAAATGGCTTTTGATTACACAGATATCAGATTGGTTTTATTCAGCCAATGGACAATTTGTGATAGGTGTAAGTTTTTTTATCACTGCACCTGTAGTCTTATTTAAGAACCCATTTTGTAACTATTATTCATAATGCAATAATTTTAGCAGTGTAAAATGCTATTACCTCTGGCTTACATTTATTGTATGAATTTGTTGCACCATGTGCATTCATTTGTGCATGATAGTTTCTAAAATTATTCTTTTATGGCTATATCATTATATTAGAAAGTCAAGCATCCTTTTTTGTTTTAGCATATATATAGATTGTCATTTTGGATCATCTTTTTTTATTAGTAACTTGTGTTTCTGAGGACTGTTTTTCTTCCCACAGAAAAGACATCTGTTTAGTCTTGGACCAGCCAAAGATGAAGGAGGTTGGCATTTACCAGAAGATGACACAGATATGTTAAACCCTAATGGAAAATTCAGCATTTTGTGTCTTCGTCAACGTCTATCAAAGAAATTGAAATCTAACTAAGTTCATAAATGCTACAATTGATATACAAATAAGCACTGGTGTTGTTTTTTTTTTTTTAATTTAATTTTCATTCTATCAAAAGTTGGAGAATAAAAAAGATCTGATTGAGAGTCATCTGCAGTGCTGGATTAACAGATAAGCTAGACAAGCTATAACTTAGAGGCTCCAAAAAGTATCTTCTTTAAACCATGCCAAATTTATTTTTTAACATATAAAAAAAAAATTCTTTTTTTTTTCAAATGGTGGTAGAGCTCACTTTTTTTGTCAGCAAACTGCTTTTTAAAAAGAGCAAATATTTGGAACTGACCTATAAAGTATAATAAAGGGCACTATTTAACAAAAGCTTAGGACCTTATCAAATCTAAATCTGGCCCTGGTTATCTGCAAATATAAAATCTGTGATGCAAGATGAAGCTATACAACATCATCAATAGAAGAGCATTGGGTAGGAAGACCTAAAATGACCTAGGAAAGAAAATATGTCTGTAAGGAGGGGGGGGGGGTGATGTGTAAGTAGGCAGTGACACACTAAATAGACGCCTGAAAAAAAATAGTCAGAAAGTAGTTATAATTTATGATTTGCCACAAACAGAAGGTCAAACATAGTGAACTAAATAAAAGATTAAAATAATGAAATGTTTTTGCCTGTTTCTAAATGTAAAACAAAGGTGTTTTCAGGTTTTGCTTGAAAAAAATTAAACATTTTAAGAAAATATTACTGCAATTATAAATAATTTCTTTGAAGATTCATATAAGAAAAGTCACTGATGTATAGAGAATATCCCCCAAGTGTAAAATGTCATCAATATACAAAGTGACATTCTTTTGTCCACGTAACCCTCCACCTCATTGCACGTTTGTTTCATTTTCTTAAGGGGATATAACCAATCTAGTATAACTTAACTGAAAATATTAATTAAGTAGTTTCCCTTTGAACACAAAAACTCCAAATAATCAGTATTTAATTTAGCAAATCTTGATTTTGAAAATGTAAAAATGCTAAAATTGTTTCTCAAACCCGTTACTAAGTCCGATACCCCCCCCCCCCCTCTTCCCCACGGAGTGCGCAGTTTATCCGATAACCCCCCATGTGAAAAATATGAGTTTATATGCGACTGCGGACTTACTACCGTTTGATGCTAGTTTGAGAGATATTTTGAAACAAGATTAGGTCTACATCATAATATAAGAAAAATACTAGATTTAGATCTAGGTAGATTCTATGAAAGGAGAATGTTTTAGTTAGGTCTAATGGCGGGATTTAAAAATCCGGAAATCACGTGCATGAATTCAATCACATGATTTTTGTTTACGTAAAATGGCCGCATCCACTGTTGAATCAATAACCACCGGGAAAGCTGCAGTTAGAGAGCATTTGTATAAAGTTCTTGTTATTGGAGAATTCGGTGTAGGTGTGTAATGCACGCAGTTTAGTGACTGCTTTGTGTAGATATAAGATAGACATTTTTAATAGATGTGGCTAGTCTAGTACTTTAGTAGTTTAGTAGCAGTCTAACAAAAACAACACAACTGTTGAACTATGAATGAACTACTAACTAACTTAACTACTAAGACTTAGACTAACTAACTAACTAGATCTAGCTGGCTGGGCTTGATCGTAGACTAAAACTGAAGAGTGAAGTGAAGTAGTCATTAGTAGTCAGAAGTAGTTGTATAATTGTAGATCTAAATAAATAGTAAATACTAGATAGTAGATACTAAGTTAAGTAACTAACTGCCCTAACTGGAACTAGTCACTAACTGCTAACACTATTATTAGTAATAATACTAATAGTATTATAACTATTATTAGTAATAGTATTAAGTATTAAGTTTAACTAAAATTAAATTTAGTTTTATTTTAGCTTTTCGTATTTATTTTTCAACACACTTATATAACATTTTACTATGTAGACAGAAATGCGGGTGTGGGGAAATTGCGAGACGCGAAAAGCGAAATGGCGAGGCGGGAAAATGCGAGAAGGTAATGCGAGACATATCTGCGGAATTAAGGGTAAATAGCGAGACACTTTTTGCGTAAAAAGTTTTTTCCTTTTTTTTTTCCATCTTTATTTATTTCAATTATTTTTTAAAATATTTTAAAAATAAACAAGCATGTAACCATACCCTTTAACACGAGTGTTGTATGTTGTTATTTTTTATCTAGATACTAAGAAGATAGATAGATCTATATCTAGATCTATCTATTTAAAAATCCTAACATCGTTGCTGTGCTAATGTCATCGCCCGCTCTTGTTAGCGAGAGGAAAATCCCGTCTCAGTCGGCATTAATTTAAAAATCTAGCCCGCTCATGTTTATACAAACGTGAGCTGTGTCATTGTGAATTGGTATAATCTTGTCAGCAGGAGAGATATTTTGCAACATCTATTTATGGAATTTTGTACTTGCAAAAAGTGTAAAAGTATAAACAATTCTAAAAAGTGCAATTTATTTTTTTATTAAGTAATTTTAATTACAAACAAAATTTACAAACAAAATCTTTTGAAACAGTCCTCAAACACACCTCGTGACACCATCTTTCACACATAGTACACCCAACCCAGTTCATTAGACTCCCATTTATACATTTTTCTTTTGCTACTTCTTCCAATCCACATTCACAACATTTCACATTCTCATCACAGTTGACCTCCTCGTTCATCCCACAAACAACACTAGCACCCATGTTCTCATCATCATCATCCGCAAGCTCAACATCTGTTTTCCGTTTTTTATAATTTGTATTTTTTCTCATTTCTGTAATTTTGGCAATGTCTTGCTCATTGTTGTCACCAGCAGTTGAGTTTTTTTAAAACATTGATATTTTCCCAAAATCTTGTCTAATTTCGGTCAAAATAGAGTATTTTAATCAATTCCTATTACAATGTATTAAAACAGTTTTCTAAAACGCGAAAAAACATCTAAAATTCTTTTTCTAACATTGCTTTTTTATAGTGTGACTTCACATCTACCCCCCCCCCCCTCCTCCCCCTCATCACACATCGTCATAAAATTACAGACCCCCCCCCCTACGAGTGTGAAGTCATTTATGGAAGACCCCAAATAACACCACCACCAAAACCAACAAATTAAGATAATTTCAACTTGGTTTTAAAAATATTTGAAGTAGGCCCATAGCTTACGATATAGCACGAGCAACTGATAATATCGGTGACGTCACTTTATTTTGTTGTATCCAAATGATGTAGGCATTTCCTTGTGCTTAGATTTATATGGTAAAAAAAGCTAGAAAAAAATCGTAGGCGGCGGCTATAATACAAAATTTCTATGCAACAATAGAAAATATGTTTGCGGCGGCAGCGGATCCAGGCACGGCGATCTTCAAAGACGGTAAATCAGGCAGCCTCGACGTTCCACACAAAAGACAGAAGTTGATCTATCGTCGGCGGTATTTCCGTCGGTTTCGAACAAAGTGGTATTCTAAGTCGACACAAAAGATGGGGGGGAGTTGACAATTCATCAGTATGTCTAGCGACGGAAAAATCGGAAGTTTTAACAATGTAAACGAAACGTCTTTGAAGTCTGGACCAAATACCACTGAAAATCGGGTGCGGTAAATTTTTCGCAGAAATCTTCGCATTTCAACACCACCCAGCGTAAGTATCGGCTTGTGGTAAAATGCGAGACAAAAAAGTCACGTGACCGACCGTTTTCGCGCCCCTTCTCGCATTTTCCCGCCTCGCCATTTCGCTTTTTGCGTCTCGCAATTTCCCCACACCCCAGAAATGCATTGATGTTCAATGTTCAGCTGTTGTAATGCAGTGAACTCAGCACATCTTAAACTTAATTAATATAGGCCCTATTAATTATTAATAATTAAGGTCAGCTAAAAAGATCCATTGAATAAAAAACTAGACAGAATTAATCATGCTTTCTTTTTCCAGGTAAAACTTCAATTATTAGGCGATATACTGAAGGTAAGTTTCCAAGTGTATGTTTCATTGAAAAAAATAAACATAATTAAATTAGTTGTATTAAAAATGACATGGATGTTGACTGCGATATATGATATGGTTCTTTGAATAAATTTATTCTCAATTCCGTATTAGAGACCACAACATGACTGATATGGTTCATTTTATTACTATTATATATATCACATCAAGACATCACACACATACATTTCAACATTTTAAAAACGAATCACTCACACATTTAAGAAAGACACACACCACTTAAACACCATAAAATTTAAAGACAAAGGCAGGGTGGTCAATTTACCTGAATGATACAAGATGCCAAAAAGAAACTGTTTTATTTTATGAATTTTATCTTGACACCTAATTTCTCAATCATTAGTTCCACTCCCAAATTAATACAGTTGTTTATTTTATTAACCATTCAAAATACATGATATTCCTTAATGTAATTTAATTTGCTAAATAATCATCTAAACTTAAATATATGTTGTTCTTAATTCTAAATTTGCAGGTTACTTTTCTCCTAATTACAAATTGACAATTGGTGTTGATTTTGCCTTAAAGAGTATAGAATGGTCCCCAGATGAGAAAGTCAATCTTCAACTTTGGTAAGTTTTATTTTCAATTTAGGCAAGTACTAAATAAACCGTTGTATAGATTAAATGCTTAATCCTGCAGCTAATTTTATGTAAGCCTATATGTGATTAGAATGTAAACAGGACATTATCCCATGCTATTACCCTTTTGTATAAGCTATTAGAATTTCTTAATTTCTTGTCTAGGGATATTGCAGGCCATGAAAGATTTGGTCACATGACAAGAGTTTATTATAAATATGCGTAAGTATTGAGAGCTTTTGCTAAGGTATATTCTTCCTATTTGTCAAGCAGTTTCAATTGGCTGACCTTGGTCTAGATTTTGGTTTCTGACAAATAATACTTCGAAAATAAAATGTTTATTAAAAGAAGTCACAGTTTTAAGAATAATAGTCTCACTCTTTATGAGTTACAGCTTAGACCGTTCAGAACAAGCTCATTATTAAGTAATTAGCAATTCACTTTAGTATGCTCTTTAATTTATGTAGCGTAACTTAAGTTTTCATTTTTATTTTAGGATTGCTGCAATAATAGTCTTTGATCTATCCAGGTAATTTTATTATGAGTCCATCTGAGAACTGATTACTATTAATTATTTTAAAAAATATAGTAATCAAATTTACCAATTATAACTATCTGTTTATAGAAAATATTTCACAATACTGAGTACTATGACAAAAATCACTTCCATTTCAGAATGTTTGATTTTTTTAAAAAATTATGTAATTTTTTTACCCATTTGATGAAAATATGTCAACTTGTTGCCCTCCCCCAGTTAACCTTTTCTTATTATTGGCACACTATGATCTGTCATTTTTCTAAAAAATATACATTTTCTTCGGAATTTTCTATCTGATGGGTTTTAGTTTGTAAATTTAATCATTGTTGGCAATCTATCTAACCCATACAAAAAATAATGTTGAATATATATTTGTATTTTAGTTGTTGTTTCTTTTTGTTGGGGGGGGGGGGGGGGGGGGAATATTAATGTGTTGAATGAGTTTACTTACACAATTAAATTGTTATAGAAAATATAAAACCATCTCTTCCCTAAACTGCTGTAGGACACTAATTAAGCCATGTCCTATTAAAATATAGCGGAGCCATTCTTTTGGAGATAATTAATTATGCTTTAAAGAAACATTACCCTGTAGTTTTAGTTATATTTATCAGACTTAAATTTTTTTTTTACCTTCATAGGCCAGCTACATTTGATTCAGTATTGAAGGTGAGTTAATTTTTTGGTTAAAGTTAATTAAATCAGTGTTATTTGAAATGACTATTGCGTTTTTTAACTTTCTTTTCATATTTTGATGAAATTTTCACATCTGTGGATGCTGACATTCTGCTAAATGTTGGTCTGTTTTATTAAAATTGTTTCCATCATACTAAGAAATAAATCTTTACTCAGAAAAAATTATATTTCTTTCAGTGGCTAGAGGATGTGAATTCAAAGGTTATGTTATCAAATGAACTCCCAGTGCCTGTGCTTTTGCTTGCTAACAAGGTAATATTTATTTGACAATAAAAACAGATTTTAAAAATAATAATCTATGAAGAATTGTTTAGAGCCAAGTTTCTATTTTTATCTGAACTTTATGGCAGAAAGAAGAGTTACCCTCTTATATATTCCTACACCTTCACACTCTACACAGCTTAAACATAAGTTTATCCAATTTTAAAAATTTTATTGTGAATTTGGACATTCTATTTTCATATAACAATGTTATATTGGAGATGTTGCTTATCAAATATAGTTCATCCAATTTAAACATTCTTTTTTCAAATAACAGTGTGATATTGAAGATGCTGCTTATCAGACTGATAAACTGGATAGTTTTTGCAAGGAAAAGAATTTTATAGGGTGGTTTCCGACTTCTGCTAAAACCAATCAAAACGTTGGTATGTGGATCTGATTGTTTTGTTGCTTTCAATTTTTTAAGCAGCTCACTATACAATATTGTTATTTTATGTTGTCCATATTTATTGTTTTTTTTTTTTTATTATCTTGTTAGGTTTGTTAACATAAAAATCAGTATTTTTGTTTTGTTTTTCAGAAGAAGCTATGAACTTTTTAGTTGAACACATTCTCTCACTTCCAAGTGAGGCTTTACAGCCTAACGAGCATACATCTTTAACCAGCTCCATCACCACTAGTTTAGATGATTCTAATTTTGATGTAGATGAAAAGAGAAAGAATTCTCTATGCTGTAATTAATATTGCATGATTAATTATCATTCAGAAGAATAATACCCAGTTATTTAATATGTTTATCTAGCATAGTGGTTTCTAAGTCATTTTTTCATATCTTCCTGAAAGAAGATTCTTGGTGCCTTGTCCATGAGAATACAAAATGTTTTTAATTAGAAATATTTTTTGCAAAAACTTTAAATCTTATCTGGCATAATTTTATTGCACTACAAATTATTTTGGTTTGCATTTTATGAAACTTTTAGTGACTATATGGCCATGACACTTAAGTGTATGAATTATTACATACACTATTCTTTGATTTATTGTATCAATACAGCTTGATTATTTTTGAAAAAAAAAATGTTTTGTCTAAAAATGTTAAAATTCAGCATAGATTAAATGAAGTAGTTAGAATATTTAAATTCTACTTATAACTTTTTTTTTTGTAATGTTAAGCTTGATAAAAATTTGATAAGGTTTGACTGAAGTTGATGCAGGTTTACTATCAGAGTGATTTGTATGTATCAAACATTTGATATCAAGCATTGATGAATTGATTTAGATTTCAGTTTCAAATTTAAATGGTTGTCCTAGTTTGCATTACAATAAAAACCTGATGTTTTGGCTGTTTATTATTAAAATTACATTTAATAAATAGTTAAACATAATTTTTTTACAGTGGGGCTATAATGAATTTGATCTGTTAATTTCTACTGTGATGTTCATCTTAGAAATGATATTTACTTCTACTATCCTAAGTCAAGTACATTGTTTACTGCAATGGCCTTTATGATTGTGATATTACAAAATTTTAAAAAATATCAATATGTACATTACATAACACATTTTTTTATATTGTTGTTTATTCAAAAACACATTTTTTGAAGATTGTTTTCTTTTTTTTTAGAAATTTGTTGAGAAATCAGTTGCCATATACCATCTTTTCCAGTTGAACCACTACTTGTGATTATACATCAATTAATTTGATAAAGTTTTTTTTTCAAACATTTGTGAATGTTTCATTTTAAATATGCTATAAATTACCTTACATTTTTTAATCATCAAAACATTTTGGAACACGTACAGTGAGTGTTGAAATTAAAATAGAGATTAATATAATTAAAGAAGTCAAAATGAAATATTTTTGACCATGTCCAAGTTGGCCTACTTGATCTTTTTGTTTATTTCATCTTGTATAACATAAATGTTCTTGTTGTTTCTTAAAAACTAGATTGTGTACAAATCTTTGCTCTTTTAATCATTGTTGTTTTATAGTTGATGATACACACACAATTTTCTATTGCTTTAAATTGTTTATTGTTACTAGACATATCTTATGAATTCACTTTTCACTTGCACCCATTTTTAAAGTATAATAATTTAATGGTTTAAATAAATTTTTTAACATTTAATATCAAGGTTGTGTTAAAAACCTTTCTCAAACACTTTAATGTATAGTTTTATAACAGTATTAAGATAATTGTTGATGTTAACTATTATATTGGGTGGGGATGTTTATATTTATATTGATAATTGAGCCTGTGTTGATATATTATTTAATGTAATATTTAAAGGCTATGTCACAATTCAATACTCATTTGATGCAATTTTAATGTTTACTTTATAAATATGAATCAATTAAACTAATTAAACATATAAATGATCAGATACTAGACACTTTTTTGTTGAACTTTTATTAACTGTTCCAATGAGTTAATTATATTAACCTCAATACAAAATAAAGATAGATAATAGTGCTTTAACATTTTTAAAGCATTTATTCATGATCAGGACCAATTCTATATTTCACTTAAACTTTAATAATTTAAACACTGAATATTACTCTAATCGGCAGTTTTGAAGCCTTTTCATGTCAAAAAAAAAAAAAAAGACAAGCCTCTATTTCTCTTAACTTCACTTTACTTTCCTAAGAGGTTCTATTTAGATTTCAATAAAAATCAATCTAGGCCTACTCAAGGTTGACCATGCCCAGTAAATATTTTAGGGGTCATCCATAAATGATGTCACGTTTTTTTGAAGATTTTTACCTACCCCCTCCCATTTGTCACACATTGTCACAAAAAGTCAAACATCCCCCCCCCCAAAAAAAATAATTGACGTCACACCTCAGCCTACAAACCCTCTAAAGATTGCATTTGAATTTTTCATAAAACATTGAAATTTTTACAAAAAATACTCATTAGAGTATTTGTATCAATTTCTAATACAATTTATTAAAACTGTTGTCTAAAACGCGAAATAAATGCTAAGATTCGTTTCCTAACATTGCTTTTTAAAATAATGCAATAGTATGGTTTAACACCATCTGAACCCTCCCCTCATCACACGCCGTCACAAATTACGCTACCCCCCCCCCCCCCATTTTTACGAGAGTGACGTCATTTATGAACGACCATTCGAAAAAAATGCTGTTGCTTTTTATTGAAAAAATTGTAATTACATTATTGAAAGGTATGGTAGGTAGGCAGACGTGTGACGTCATTTTAGGTGTTGGGTCCTGGCTTTTATTTAGGTTTCGATAGTTTTTTTGTTTATATTTTCAACCCGAACAGTGAACAGTGTCGCCTTTAATTTTACTTTTTACACGCAGGATACAAGTTTTGTGTTTATTTTAAAATCCAAGCACTTCCATGCATGTTAAATTCAACATGTGGACGTCCACATGGGACCCCCCCCCCCCCCCCCCATTCCGCACTCGTCCACAAAAGCTGATTTTTGGACCCCTCCCCGTCGTGTTGATGTCATATATGGATGACCCACTTACTAGATTCTAGATCTAAAAGACTAGATCTAGATTAAAGATTAGATTAGACTTCACTAGACTAGACGATCGTTTTAAAGTAGATTCATAGTTAGTCATATAAGACAAAATTAATTGATTCTGATATACGGCATACGGGTTTTACTGTGTAAAGCACAAAACTATTTGTTTTCATTGACGTAAAAATAACTGAGAATTGTTGATTATAAATGTTTTTATATTCTACATTATTTAAAATTATTTTTATTCTCACAGATAGATTCTATATCTAGATGTAGTTGACATAGGCATAGTGTAGTGTTGCGTTTAGAAAAAAAAACCGCGGAAGCACAAACAATTTGTTGTCCTAGTAATCGAACTCTTCTGGTTGAGGAAACGGTAGTTGGTCTATTTTACACCACAATCATCCCGCGAGTCTCAAGCCGGGTGTATCCTTGCGTTAAACTCAAAAGTGACAAACTCTGAAGAGAAAAGATCAGTTCATATCTAGATTTAGATCTAGAGGATCACAGAGAAATGCCTCATCATGATTTACCTTTCCAAGCAGAGTATGCTAAAAGTGGCAGAGCTGCGTGTAAAATGTGTAAATCAGCAATAAGTCAAGATTCACTGAGACTTGCAGTTATGGTCCAGGTAGAAAAATATTTAAAATAAAATAAAAAATTCAACAAAACTGGCAAAAACTAGAATCTAGATCTAGACTAAGACTATTTTATTTTATTAATTAAGTCAATTATTATTAGTAATATTAGACTAGATCTACTATCTGAGGTAGGATAGTCTTTTAACCCATCTACTTTCTAGAATTCTAGATCTAGACTAGATCAATTTCCAGTTTTGATACTCAGTGGATAGCACTAGAGGAGTTTACACTTTTCGGACACACACCAAAAATTACGTAGGAGCGAACACTTCGTCGGTTTTTGGCTCATAGAAACTTTAATTAGCATGTCTCACGCGAAACCACGGCACCTGCACGTAAACTGTTCATTTATGAACACTTCCGTGTCAAGTACTTCCGTTTCCTTTCTCAAGAATTATTTTTAGAAATTTTTTAATGTTGCATGGTACGCACATTTCTATTTTTACACCAGCCGGATGAAGTGACCTAGGGTTGGACTTAGGGGCAAAACTTGAACCAATCAATGCTTAGCTAAAAGGTTACACTATAAATAGCTTCTATATATGTATGGAACATCGTAAATGTCAAGGTTAATGGGTTTTTTTGTGCTTGAACAATAAAAAAGGGGTGTTCGCTAACTTATTTGGCCTTACATGGGAGCGGACAGCAACACAAAAATATTATTAAATAAGAATTTAGAGCATAAAAGGGGCTGGTTATTGAAGGAAAGGGTCAAAATAAGGTCAAGAAGGCAGTGGAATGCGAAAGAGGAGGGGGAATCATGTGACCTGGCTGGCTTAGCAGCGTACTGCGCGAGCCGCAATGGCTGAATGGGATGAACTTTGGGAGTGTGGGAAAAAGGTTTTATACTATTAAAATTACCTCACAAACAATCAATAACACAATATAAATGCATATAATATATGTTTTTATTCATTAAATTGACTTTAAATTATTCTAAATGAACAAAAAGTGCTATGTCCGATGACGGGTAAAGGTGTCCGAACACATGTAAAACTGTATTACATGTGTTCGAACACACGTTAAGACCCCCCAGTCACTATAACAAGAATAGCTTAAGTTCTATGCGTATGAATACAAAATGACACACACATTATTAAAGTAGAATGGTTGCGGATAGATATGATACTTTTTTTTGTTTTCTATGTTAAGCGGTTACTGAATGAGACCGCATGGAATTTTTACGTTGCGTTTTTTCGCTATGTGTGTCCGAAAAGTGTAAACTCCTCTAGTCACTAGCAGCTAGATCTAGACACTACATAATAAAAACGAAGTGTCTACTCGGAATAAGATTTTTCGGCAAAAGATAGTTCTGCGCATGCGCAGTGACCTATGGCTAGGGTTAGGGCTAGAATGAGGGTTAGGGGTAGGATTAGGGTTAGGGATAGGGTTAGGGTTAGGGATAGGATTAGGGATAGGGTTAAGGATAGGATTAGGGTTGGTGTTAGGGTTCTGCGGTTGTAAACACACGCATGCGCAGTACCATCGAAAACATCGCCGCTAAGGCAAGTCGTAGTTTATCTCCATTGCGCATGCGTATCGCAAGCGTATCTTATTCCGGCTAGAATCGGCCTAATAAAAATGCCCAATGAGGTATGACAGTGCAGTGGTGCATGGTTCAGTGGAACAACAATAGTTGGTAAAACTCCATTTTAGCGTATTTTATTCTCCGTTGCTTGTTTACCTCCAGTTGAGCGTATTTTATTATAATAACCGAATCACACCAAAACATTAGAAAAACACGATTTATTTATTTGTATTGTATTTCTGTTTTAACACATGAATAAAAAACAACAAAGAGACTGACTGAAGTGCTTTGTTTGTTGGTTACAAAAATAGAGATGCACACTTTATACAATTAAGTGTTCCAATTTCAACTAAACTGAACAAAAGTATTAAAAGGCACAATGATGCTGCGGAAAGTGGGCCGGGGGGGGGGTGGAATTTGGTGAGGGATGGCTTGGAGTGTTAGAGAAAGTGTGACAACTCATGTTGTCATTTTAAAAAAAATTATGTTAGAGGTCGTCCATAAATGGCATCACACTCGTAGGGGGGTGGGGGGTCCGTAATTTTGTGACGGTGTGTGATAAGGGGGGGGGTCAGATGGTGCTACGTCATTTTGGGGGGGGGGGTCTTGCTTTTTGTGACGACACGCTGTTTTTTACGATTTTTACCTCCCCTCCGTTACATGTCGTCTCAAAAAGTCAGACCTCAGCCTACAACCCCCCCCCCCCCCCCCCCCAAAAATTTCTGTTGAATTTTTCTTAAAACATCGATAATTTTTCCAAAATCTTGTCAGAACTCTGTCAACATAGAGAATTTTGATCAATTCATATTACAGTTTATTAAAACCGTTTTCTAAAACGCAAAATAATGGCTAAAACTCGTTTTTCTAACATTGCTTTTTTATAATGCAAAAAAGTGACGTCACACCATCTGAAACCCCTCCCCCTCATCACACACCGTCACAAAATTGCGGACCCCCTCTCCCTTACGAGTGTGACGTTATTTATGGACGACCGCACATCAATTTTTTTTTAAAAGTCAGAAATTTACTCATACAAAAAATTATACTTGATACATATATCAAAATATTGGGAAGGATGGTAGATTTACTATGAATTTAAATAACAATAACATACAACTCTATAGTAAAATATTTTTTTCAGTTTTGGCAAAACTGTCAAATTAAAAAACACAGATTTTGTACATTTATTGCATAAATACAAAAATATAAAACAGAATAATTAACAGTGTATCAGTTTCACCATGAGACAAATGCCTTTTTTTAAAAAAATACAATACAAATAAACAAGTCGTGTTTTTTAAATATTCATTTTTATTCATTTGCTAAAACAAAAATACAATACAAAAAATAAATAGTTTTTTCCTAATGTTTTGGTGTGTTTTGGTTGTTATAATAAAATACGCTAAACTGGAGGTAAACAAGCAACGGAGAATAAAATACGCTAAAATGGAGTTTTACCAGAATAGTCAATAGGTGGCGATATTTCGAGTCGTCTGTTTGAATCCCAGTCAGAACGTCGGCCTGGCCTCAACCAAAAGGCGGGCTTTTTGCATTGAGTTAAATATAAATTCAAAACAAAAATATAAACAACAGCTCAGGTTACAATCCACGCATGCTTAGTGTTGTGTGTCGTGCCTTAACCAAAATAAACATTCCAACATACAAGTCACAAACCTAATGGCCAACTTAGGCCTAAATATTAAAAAAAAAGTCTAGAATTCTAAACAAATTCTTCTTCTAGTCTAATAACTAACAATTAGGGATTTTGTTAAAAAAACCCACTAATTATCATATAAAATAAAAATGACATATTCTTGTAGAGCTCAACTATATGAAAACAAAACAAAAAAAGATTTTCTGTCTAGCTCAAATAGTTTTTTTAGCGAATTTTTTTGTGAGGGGTGGAATCCCCTTGCTTTTGCATTGGCCAATTGTGACAAGTCATGGTATGCCTGAATAAATTGAGCATAGTTATTTTACTTGCAGTTGTATTTTGTTCATATTTGCAGAGTTTAGCTAGAATGATATATAGAACTTGTATATGCTGTTGAAATAAATAAAAATAATATAGAAGTATATTTTTGTGTTGGCTTCCTTCCATAACCCCAAAAAAACTGAGCTGCGCAAATATGAAAATGTTTCTAAAGCAATGTTTTACAGTGAATGAAAGAACTACATAGTTAGCAATCTAAAGTAAATGACTTGAACACTGTAATGTGCATATAACTGCCCCATTATTTTGGGCAGGTGAAGTAGAGTCCATCTTTAAGCCATTTTGTTATAAAACTGTGCTGCGCAAATATGAAAATGTTTCTAAAGCAATGCTTTATATAAATACAGTGAATGAATGAACTACATAGTTAGCAATCTAAAGTAAATGACTTGAACACTGTAATGTGCATATAATTGCCTTATTATTTTGGGCAGGTGAAGTAGAGTCCATCTTTAAGCCATTTCGTTAAAAGTGAACTGAAGTTATCTGATCAATGTTTTTATGTGTGTATTGTGTATGAATTATGATTTTCAGCATATAAATGTAACTATAAGTAAGGGTAAGTAGAACTTGAATACTTAAAATTACAGTTAGCACATAGCTAGTGTAGTGTATTCTAGCAACAGACAGGTAACCTATGTCTGACTCAGCAAAATTTTACTTCAAGCAAAACTAGAACCAGAGTTGAAAAAATGAAAGACAGGTATATTAAAATATTTTTAAAACAACAAGTAGGAGATTTGTTTGTACATAACATAAGAATACTGTTGTTAGTGTATCAAAACTAAAAGCCGGCAGATCGGGATGAAGAAATATAACATTGGCATCAATGGTGGCAACGTGACCTATTTACTACGGTGACTACTTTCAAATGAGTATTTACTAATGTCAATGTCGAAATATCCAAAAATAAATATCATTTCTATAAAAATGGGATGTATCTGCTTTGGAAACTTTCATTATCTAAATGGAAACTTTTCGAAAATCGCGTTTTTAACGCATTTGAAGTTAACCTTTATACAGCGGTAAGACCAAAGCAGAGACAGCATGCAATCTGATCGCTCAGCCATCAAACAACTGGAAAACCATTCTACTTTTCATTTAACATTAGGAAATGACCTTTTAAACTTAATTAATTACCATAAATTAAAAACTTATTAGTTTGCAAAACCAAATCTCGTGCGCCCAGTACCAGAAAGTAATGGGATTTTTCGGGTCATGTTTTTACCGCAATCTCCGCCGATCCCGACAACCCTACTAACAATTAATAAAAAAAGTTTGTACTTTTTAAATTCCCAGCAATCTGGAAATCGGCCTGGACCCGTTCCCAGTTGTAAATGTTATTTTCTTATTAACATAAATATGATTTAGAGACTATCTCTAAAACTAACATATTAAATAAGTAATCATATCGGTATGTTGAAGCGCCACCTGCCAGAGATGGGTTAAAATCATCCCACCTATATTTTTGGCAGTTAATTTAAAAAAATATTCCTAGTTCAACTGGAAAATTGAGACAATTTCTTACAAAGGGAAATCAAAGTCATGAACTCTGTCTAGATTTTTGCTGAAAATGTTTAGGGAGTAAAATAAAAAAAAAACCACGTAAAATTTGCATTAGAAACATGAGTTAAAATTATTGGATTATAATTATCCAACTTAGTGGCCTAGTCAAAATTAAAATGATTAAAACAGGCATCTTTTTTTTTTATCTGATTGGCCATAAGCACTAACTGAGCCATATGCACTCTCCAACCAAATCATTGATTTAGCAAATAAATATTTCTACATATAGGCCCCTATCATATATCAATTATTAAGTATAAAATAAAAATTACAAAAGTGTCTGGTAAATTAAATGAAATAGCCCTCTACTGGTCCAAGAGATGACAAATTGAGAAATGAAAACTTAATTTTCTACAAAAAGAAAAGCATGCATTCATTATATAAATTAAAACTTCTCTAATAAATAAAAGCTTATGCAAAACAAAAACTAAATTAAATATTCTTTTTCTTTCAGTCTCCACATTTTGATGGTAAGGTAAGTACATAAGTTGCACTTTTTTATAATTTAAAACTCAATGTTGTTTCTCAGCTTGTTAGAAATGTTAATAATAATTAACTCACCTTCTCTGAAGCTTGGTTCATGCCTGTGCATTGTCAACAGGTTCCAAACTGGTTCCATTTTGCATGCTTCTGGAAGAGAGCCAAATGTAAAAACCCAGATGATATTTTTAACTTCCATGCTTTGAGATGGGAGGACCAAGAAAAAATCAAGGAAAAGATTGGAGGTGGTGGTATGTAGTTACTTATTGAAATGTACTATATATATTTTTTAACTTAATTTTAATGTTGTTGCTACACTATTTCCTCTTTTATTTTTAATTTAAATTTGTTTTTCTTAAATAGGTGGAGGAACTGGTGAAGGAGAAGAAGCAGGAACTAGTGGCAGTGGTGGGGACGAGTTTGCCACAGAATATGCCAAATCTGGTCGAAGCCAGTGTAGAGGATGTGAAAGTTTTATTGCCAAGGTGTTTTTCAAAAAATCTATTAACATATTTAGCCTCTGATTTTCTTAGAGGAATTTATGGTAGTCCCAACATATTTTCAAAGTCCATCTCATTCAGTTTATTTATTTGATGTAGGATTCTCTGCGTGTTAGCAAGAAGGAGTTTGAATCACAAAGAGCAGTAATGTACGGAGCTCAGGATCTCTGGCATCATGTGGATTGTTTTGTAGATAAAAGAGAGGAATTAGGATTCACCTCGGAGATGGATCCATCAGTGTAAGTAACGTTCTTATCAAGTATTTGAAATATTTACATTCAGCCAACATTATTATAATACACATTTTTAATAAGGTGGCATATTTCTTAGATATTGGAAAAAAACATTTTACAAGATAAGATTTATTTTGATGGCTTGCTTGTATCGCACTATTAATAAACATTCAATTGTGCTTGCTGTTTGAAGACTGCTGCTAACATATTGGCAACATATTTTATTTTATGTATCTTTAAAAAGCTATTTAATCTGCAGCCATTGTTTTATTTCTGCTCACCTCTTTATAAAATCCCCTTACATGTTCACCCCATATCGGTTTTATTAGTATGTTTTGTTTGTATCTATAACTACAGTATTAAAGGATTTGCTAAACTAAAACCAGAAGATAAGGCGCTTCTTTATTCCAAGTTGGGTAAAGGAAAAAAAGCAGCGTAAGTATAAAGTTTGACTGCACTAGATGAAATACACGTTTTATAAATTCTATTAAAATCTTTAATAGTATTAAAGGCTCCACATTAAGAAATATAATTTCCAAACTTCATCTTCTGGTTTCAGTGCCAAGCGTAAAGGTGACAGTAAACAAGAAGATAATGCAAAGAAGATCAAAAAGGAAGAAACAGAAGAAGAAAAAACATTGAAAGTAATTGTCAGCTAATGAATAATTGGCATGTAGTAAATCTTAGGTTACTTGTAAAAAAAAAAAAAACTACTTTACTGAAGTTTTGTAATAATAATTTCCTTTTTTTCCCATGTTTGTGATTCAGTAAAATGTTTTCTGCTAGGAGCAAAGCAAACTTCTATGGGAAACGAGAGATAAGCTATCAAAAGATGTTTCCAATGCTGCCATGAAGTTGATGCTAGAATTGAACAATCAAGAAATCCCATCAGGGGAAAGTAAGGTGGGTAACTCAAAAAGGTTTCATGCTTGCAGGTATGTAAGTAGGGAAACAGTAAGATTTAAAAAAAAAGAAGTAGCTTTGTAAAGTAAGAGCAATGTGATTGAGATCTTTATTTCTACCAGTTATTTAATTGAACTATAAGTACATTTTCTACTTTTATTCATCCAGTGAAAAGTGGAAATGTAATAGTGAAAAATACATTGTTTTAAAAAAAAACCCAACAATTACAAAAAAAATTTCAGCTACTGGATGTTGTTGCTGAGTGTATGGTTTTTGGAGCTCTAGAAAAATGTACTGAATGTAAAGATGGCCAGTTGTATTACACGTAGGTGCTTAAGTTTATACCATATTTATTAATCTGGAATTAACTAAGACATCACATATTAAACTTTGTAAAAATGGTTTAATTTATATTTCAACTTAAGATGTTTTAACATTTAAAAAAATCAATATGCAGTTGTCAAAGAATATCATAAGTGGAAAGCATTGGGTGTTTCAATACATTCTTTTTCAGAGCTGAAGGGTATGCATGTTCTGGAAACTTAACAGAATGGACAAAATGTATGAATGTCACTAAGGTACCCAAAAGAAAAGCTTTCAAAATCCCTAAAGAGTTTCATGATGTGCCATTTTTGTAAGTATTTTGTTCTAAAATAATATTTATATTTCAACTGAATTCCCGTAAGTACACTACATGTAACTGAAAATATGACACATTTGATGTTAAGGAAGAGCTACAAGTATATCAAAAGAGAAAGAGCTTTCCCTGTTGTGACTGTGAGTGCAATATCAGGAGTTGTTAGTTCATCTATGGATGCTGTAGATGGCCAGTAAGTAAACAAATATCAGACCTTATTTATAAGTATCAGTAATTGGGTATACATTGGTATTCTCTGTAGATATATCAATTAGAATTATAAAATTGTTAGTTTAAACTTTTCATTTAAAATGTGGTATATGTATATTAATTAACATTTTGATATCATATTTTAAAGATCTTAAAATTTAAAAAAAAAAACCGCATATTTAATTTACTCAAGTTATAAAGTCACAAGGTTTAACTTTTTTTATTTTTTTTTTTTTGCTTGCAATTTCAATAGTGCAGGGAAACCACTTAGGGATTTAAAGTTTGTGATTGGAGGAAAACTGAATAAAAGTAAGGCACAAATTACAGCAGACATTAAAGAACTTGGTGGCCTTGTGGTTACTAAAATGGATAAAAAAGTGGCAGCAGTTATTAGTACAAAAGGTATTATATTTTTATTTCTAATTAGTTATGCAGCCATCTATATTTGGAACTATTTTGTTTCCTCTTATCAAAATGTTTTTAAAAATTATCAATTTATGTTTCATACTTAATGAATTTACACTAACACTATTTTATTTGTTTCTAGGAGAAGTTGAGAAAAAAAGTAAACTAATAAAAGAGGCTGAAGAAAATGAGGTCCATGTTGTGAGTGAAGATTTCTTGGCAAATTGTAAGAGTGGTAACATCCCTGAACTGATTGCCAAGCATAGTATTGCATCATGGGGATCTGATGTAAGTTATTTACTTCATGAAGTCAACTGTTAAATGAATTGAATTACTATTTTAAAGCCTTACTGAGCGCTTGTTTTGTAAATCATGTTAAGGAAGTAAGATACTAGGCTTGTTTACTGAATAACACTGGCCTTCACTTACTCTTCCAATATTATAAATGCTTTCTGATGACTTCACTGTATCAAGTCCACGGTGAGGACAGATACGGAGCAGACATTTTCTAGTTGTTTTTTCAAAATGCTTTTTTGCTCATCTGGTTATTTTAAATGTAACTGGTAAGCAAGTCTTAATTTCAACATTTAACATTTAAGACAGTTTTGGTTACATGATTTAAAATATATCCATGATTTTAAATGAAAAAAATGTCTTGTAGGTTGAAAAAAGAATAGGACAGAGACCAGTGAAGAGTGCCCCAAAGAGTGGAATGTCAGCAAGAGAAGGTAATTCATGCTTGTCCTTCTAGTTGATTATCACAATAGTTATTTCTTTTTTAAAAGTTGTTCTTGTTGACAATCCTGTAACCTAGTAAAGTAGGTTGTAGATATAAGATAAGCATATATTGCATTCGTCAAGCTTTTATTATAAATTATTTGAAAAACTATTCTGATATTATTAGTAAAAGGCCTACAGCTCAGCAGAAAATTTAGTAAGTTAAGGTGACATTAAACTAAAATATTATTGTTTTATTTGCATATACTTATAATTTGTATTGGTATCGCGCTCTGGTATGATGACACTTGTAATAGAATGCCTTAGGCTGAAAAATTATTATAAGATTTCAGAAGGAAGTGAGATTTAAGACATACAATTTCAGTGAAGTTATGTCAAATTTGATCTTCCAATACTATACATGCTTTCTGATGACTTCACTGATAAAAGATCACTGTGAGGACAGATACGAAGCAGACACAATTTTAATCTGTGATTTATCTATCTATCTCATTAAATTACACTGACAGGGCTGCCTACTTGTACGGTTTTGCCCGTAACTTTACGATTTTGACACCCAGGTTACGGAATTACGATTATGCTGCAAAATTACGGTTTTGATTTCAGTAGAGATCAAAATCGACTTTAGTGTAAAAAAAAAAAAATTCTGGTGGTAACTTAACTTTATGTTCCCGGTCTGAGTTATATATTTTAATTTAGCTAGTTATATTTCAGTATTTCAGTGGGTTATCCGGTTCTAAGGTTCTCAGCCTCTTCCGTAACAATCCCCCCTCCCCCTCTTGTCATGGCTGGCGGCAGTCGTGTTTATATTGTGAACTATTGACCCCGCGATTATGAGTCGGTGTTGTCCGTAGAGAAAAAAAAAAGGCGTGGCCTAAATCATTAAAAGTCTCATCGCGCAGTCTGGCGAGACATATTTGCTGAGGCGGTATTACGGCTAAATGCCTAAATAGCGAGATATCGAGGCATTTTGTTTGAGATGTGCGAGAAGACAAGATTTTACTAAACATCGAGATCTAGGCTCACCTAGATCAATTACGGATCATAATTTTAAAATTGTGCTTTTCTTCTAGATATTACATTGATAAAATGTAGATTTAAAAAAAAATATTCAAGAAATATGCTAATTCTAAACATCGTCACCCGTCGGCCGCTTACGTTTTCTTGTTCGCGGGAGAAAAAATCCTGACACACACACAGTCGAGGGGTCACTGAGTTCACATTGGTTTAGATATCCGTAGTGTTGGCCTATAACATACGTCATACTACTCATTGCAAGAACAATTCCTATTTGAAATTTTCCATTGTCGCCTTACATTCTGAATTTAACGGCGTTTTTTTTTTTAAACTAATTATTAGTCCATAAAATAAAAAGTAGCACGAGTCGCTGACTGTCATCATTACGCTGATGAGCTTTACGATCATATAATATGGGTCTTATTTACATTGTATTTAAAAAATGTAAAAATACGGAAAGTTACGGAAAATTACGGAAAACCTATGCTCTTGTTACGGGGAAAAATTTTTTGGGGTAGGCAGCCCTGCACTGATACAATGTAAACATTTTTTTTTTTAAAATAGAGGCAAAATTTACTAAAAGTGTTCCAACCAAAGTTAAAATGACAGTGAAGGGCGGAGCAGCAGTAGACCCAGACTCTGGTAGGTTTTTATATCTAGAATAGCTGCCAAACCTGTTGAATGACAGGTAAATTTAGTTTTCTAAAATGTGTTTTATTAGATTTTACAGTTGTTTGGAAATAATCTATTTACTTTAGAATATGTAAAAACAAATTTTGAAGATGATAAAAGTTTAAGAAATATTTGTGTCAAAGAAAATAAAGTGTTGTAAACTAAAAGCTTTTCTAAATACCTATGTTACTCACAGGACAGATGAAATAATCTAATTATATATATAGATTTTGTAATCACAGAGCCGGCATCAACATTTGGTGCATTTTTTAAATATAAAGAATTTTATGTTTTTACAAAAATTGCGGTGTTACTGTAAAAGAAAAGTGTGAATACTTCATTTAATTGTTTCTAACATTTTGTTGAGTAAATGAACAATGTAACTGTTACTGTATGTAATCAGGTTTAGCTGAGAACGCTCATGTTGTCCAGGACCTAGGAGACCCCATGAGTGTTGTCCTTGGACTTGTTGACATCACTAGAGGGACCAACTCCTTTTACAAGCTACAAGCTCTAGAAAGTGATACTAAACTAAGGTCAGTAGGATTTTTTTTCTCTCAGCAATGTCTACTGTGCAATTTAAATGTTATTTTGGAGATTTATCATGTTCTCATTAATGAAAATAACATCTAGCTTAAAATTATTAGTACTGCAAGTAATTATTTTTTATTTAGATTTCTTTGCTTGTTTATAATGCATAAGTATAACAGTGTCACAATCTCTGCCGTTTGTTGTGTTTCTACCACAGCTGGTGGATATTCCGCTCATGGGGCAGAGTGGGGACGACCATTGGTGGCCATAAAGTGGAGAAGTTTGGCTCAAAAAACTCTGCCATCATTGGCTTTAAAGATCTTTACCTTGACAAAACTGGAAATGTGTGGGAGAACAGAAAGAATTTCGAGAAATTTCCCAACAAGTTTTATCCCTTAGATATTGACTATGGTCAAGTAAGAAATTTTTTATTGTCGATGTTTATAGTCATCTCAGTTGAAAGAAATTGTACATTTTCAGCAATTTTTAAAACCATGTTTGATACATAAAAGTTTAACCTTACAATTGATGTTATAATTTTTGCCTGAAAGGATGAGGATGATATCAAGAAACTTGATCTGGCTTCATCAACTTCAAAGCTTCATAAAAGTGTTCAGAACCTGATCTGCATGATTTTTAATGTAGAAAACATGAAAAAGGCAATGATGGAATTTGAGGTATGTAAGCACATAGATTTTTACATGAACTAATTACGTTTCTGTATTCTAGTCTGGAACCTTACTGAAATTTTATCTTTTTGTTCCAATCATAATTATATTTTTACTGTAAACCTTTTTCTCCAGATTGATATGAAGAAAATGCCGCTGGGTAAACTTTCTAAAAAGCAGATTCAGTCTGCTTACTCCATCCTTACTGAGCTACAAAAAGTATGTTTAATAATGTTTATATTGATATTGTCTTGTTATCGCTAACCATTTTGAATGATAATTACTTTTCAAACAAGTCTTAAATCTATGTAATTTACTTTAATATTTGTGCTATTAACATTTATTGCTCATAACATTGTTCCTTATATCTTGTAACTTATAGAATCCTTTGTTTTATTATTGAAAAAAGTAAAATAAAATCATTTACTATTAACATGTTTTATTTCTCATAGCTTATTGAAACAAAAGGCAGCCAATCCAAGCTTGTTGATGCTACCAATAGGTTTTACACTAATGTTCCACATGACTTTGGTATGAAGAAACAACCACTTTTAGATACTACAGACATTATCAAGGTAGGCGCTTGTGTTTTATGTAGATAAAGCATACAGAAATGACTCAGTTATTAGATTTTTGACAGTCTTACATAATGTCATTGTTTTTAGCAAAAAAGTGATATGCTAGACAACCTCCTAGAAATTGAAGTAGCTTATTCACTGCTGAAGGGAGGGGACAGTGGAGAAGATCCTATCACTGATCACTATAAGAAACTGAAGTGTGTGTTAGAGGTAAGCTGTTCAAATATTACAATCAGACTAGCAAAGCTTGTCCTCACTAATCCAAAGCTGCTGGTTGAAATACTGGTCTTCATATCCTTTAAGTTTACAGCTCTTCTAGGTACCAAAAATTAAGGGAGGTGACTAGGCTTGTTTCCAAATAATTCAGTGATTCCTAATCCCAGAAAGCACCATTGGCTTTGATCATTAACAGCGGAATTGGAACTTTTTTTCTTTTTAATTAGCTGATCTGTTATCTTTCCTTAAAACGACATTAGATTTTAAAACAATAAATTTTGTTAGTAAAAGTTAAAAATATAACATACTCTCAGATTAAGCTGCAAAAATTCAGAATAGTGTTTTTGAGTTTCAGTTAATTTTCTTTTTCATTAAGAGCTACTGCCAAACTTTAAAACTGATGAAAAGTGTGAATTTTGTGTGTTTTAACAGCCATTAGATCCAGCCTCAGAAGAATTTGAAAGACTGAAGACTTACACAAAGAACACTCATGCTGAGACACACAACACATATGACTTAGAGATTGTGGATGTAAGTCTTGTTGGTATTACACAAAGACGGTTTATTAAATTACATACGTTATTAGCTGAATAAATTATGCTTGGCAAAACAAAGCATCTAATAGTAATGAAATTTGTACTATTTTTAAAAACCTCGCTTAATTTTGATACAGCAATAATCAACTGTCAAATCAAGAAAATAGCTTAAGTAATGTTGATGGCTGAAAGATGCCACACTAGTTTTTGACATCTACTCCTAATCTGCTCTACTTTTTACTTCTTACAACCAGCACATGAAACTGCACATTTTATTTGTGTACTTTATTTGTGTTAATAGGTCCTTAAAGTAGTTAGGGAAGGAGAAAAACAGATGTTTAAACCTTTCAAAGAACTCAACAACCGTATGTTATTATGGCATGGGTCTCGTACAACAAACTTTGCTGGCATTTTATCTCAAGGTCTCCGTATAGCACCACCAGAAGCACCTATGGTAAGCCATTTTAATAATAGCTCTCCTAAGTATTAAGTTCATTAATGTGGTGTATATTCTTCTTTATTTAGTTGCTTTTTTTAAAATCCTATTTCTGTATTTACAGACTGGCTACATGTTTGGGAAAGGTGTTTACTTTGCTGACATGGTATCTAAAAGTGCCAACTACTGTAGGACATCAAAGACTGATAACATTGGTGTCTTGTTACTCTGCGAGGTGGCTTTGGGAAACATGTAAGTTACAAAAGTTTTCCATGAAGGAGTTTTTTTTTGAGCTAATTTGTTAAAATTGACCACATTAAAAAAAATAAAAGGCCGTTCTCTTTTACTCTGATTTTAAAACTTTTTACATTTACAGGTATGAGTTAACTAATTCCGAGTATGTGACTAAATTACCTAAAGGAAAGCACAGCACTAAAGGTAGCTAAATATTTCAGTTGTTGATCCATTAGTCAGTAATTAAATTCAGGCACCGTCATGTATATATATACAGTTATGAAAAAGTTAACCTTTTTTTCATGGACTGCTCAAGGTAAACTCTAAATTTTTTATAATTTAATTGTCTCATTTATTTATTCTATTCATTCTGCAACTTGATGTTTTAAATTCTATACTTTGATTTCAACATTTTCTTTCTGCCACTGTAACCTTATTAATCAAATTAGGTGTAGTTTAAAAAGTGATCCCATCACAATTGTATTAAATAGTGTTTTCATCACTTTTATATCAGGGTGTTGACATGGCTACTTTATTTCAGGTATTGGCAGGACCTGTCCTGATCCAAAAGAAAACTATGTAACCCCCGAAGGTGTTGTCATACCTATGGGTAAAGGTATTGACTCAGGTGTGAAAAACTCAAGCCTCCTGTACAATGAGTATCCTTTAAAAAAAAATAGCTTCATGTAAACTAATTCAGATAGCTTTTGACCTCAACAATTGAAGATTTATTTGCATACTAAATATTTGAATACATAAAGAACATTTCTACAACTGCTAAGTTATTTTTAAAAAATCAAAAAAGTATTAATATTAAGGTAATATTGTTTAACTAATAATATTTTTCTCACATATCTATTGTTTTTTTTTTATGTAAGGTATTTTTTCCTTAAGTATTTCTCCAGATTTATTGTATACGACACAGCACAAATCAACATCAAGTACCTGTTGCAGGTGAAATTCAACTACAAATGGTAGAAAAGACCAAATGTTAGTGACATGATAGAGATGATTGTAACAAGACCAAATGTTAGTGACATGATAGAGATGATATATAACTAGACCAAATGTTAGTGACATGACAGAGATGATATATAACAAGACCAATTGTTAGTGAAATGTGACATTCAATTACATAAGGTAGAAAACAAGACAGAAATGTTGGTCTTTGTTTAAAAATCATTTTAATTAATTTTTAAAATTTTTACTTTTAATTAGTTATTGTTTTACCGTTGGTTTAAAAAGTTATAATTGTCCTAGTTCTTTGCTGTTAATGATTGTTACATTTATTTTTTGTGATTTTTATTGATGCAGACCAGTCAACTTGAGCTAAATAAACTTGAGTTAAATTTGTAATGGCAAAGTTTACTTAATTACACCTTACTGTTTCAGTTTGAGCTTTGTCAGTGACATTACTAGCTCAGTAGTGTCTGGTGTTTTATTGTTATCTTTTACCCTATTCATGTAAATAATGTGCTCATTAAGATTCAATGTTTTAGATGTTGACCATGGGTTGTTGAAAATTCCATTTTATTTTTATGTGTGGCCCTGCTAATGATTGCTTTACTTTCTTCCTGTTTCGAATTTTTGAAACCGATTAGTTTTATTTGTTGATGATGTTGTTCATGTCAATGTCTCAGCTGGATTAGTTTTATTTGTTGATGTTGCTCATGTCAATGCCTAACTCCATGATTTTGATGTCAATGTAAACATCTACAAAAATCAGTTTTATTTTTGTCAAATAACTGCTAACTAAGTCTGTTTTTCTTGATCATTTCAAAAATGTTTTACTCCCTTGAAATAAAACATTTTTAAAAATATGAATATGTATATTTTAATTCAGTTACAATTTTGAACAATTCACATTTTCACAATAAATGTCAATTTTTAAAATGTGTGTTTGAGTTGTTTTGATCTACCCTTTGTAACTGGTTGTTCATCTATTATAGTATAGTATAGGTAATTAGGTCTACAAAATGTATCTAGAAATTTAAAAACAATGTGACAAAATTGGGAACATGCAACTACAAACAATTACACATTAGTATATCATTTTAGACCTTCCCTGTACAAATTTAATAGGAATTCCCATAAGCTCTGCCCCTCAAAAAGAATATTTTTACATCCCCTTCCCCCAACGTATATCCCATAACCACCACCCCTCATGTTTAATATTTCCAAGCCCCCCCCCCCCCCCCACCCCCTGCTCATCCTAATGGTAACACATCAACCTTTGATTTTTAAATTTAATAAATAAAATGGGAATTTTTAACAATTTTGTTTTAAGCCAATTACATTGCTCCGTACCACCTCGGTTATCCATTGAAAAACAATTTGACACAATTTTAAAATACAGCGTTTGCCAAGTTTCCTGTTCCATCATGAACAAGATCCCTTATGTATTTTAGAAATAGGACTACAGACTACAGCTATTATGGAAAAAACAGACATACGAGTGGATCATATTTCTATTTAAGCTTGAGTTTTTGCATCGAAACTTTTTTTTATTTTAATGTCAAGTTTGGAGGGGGGGGGGGGGGGGGGCGACTGTGTGATAGCTATAATTGGACGACTTTTATGGACACCATTACTTCTAGTGTACTAGTATAACCTCACCGCCACCCCACCCCCTTTTCACCCGGCGAAGTCTTTAAATTACATTTTTAGATCCAGCACCACGTCAATAATTTTAATAACTAGATTTAGGTATTTTCTCACACGTGAGTTAAACTTAAAACTGATTAACATTTTTAAAGTGCTTTTAAACTTAATTTTTCGTTGTTGAGATATTTAGATTAGACTAGATCTAGATCTAGATCTAGCTTTGAGTAGGAAAAAAAATTAAAAAGATAACCATAATTTACTTAACAGAATTATTAAGAGTTGTCTGTCTTGGTTTCACGCCTTGCAGCTGTTAAATTTGTTTTGGAAGTAGAGTACCTGTTCGTTCTGTTTGTTTGCTATCGTGGAATTCGGGAAACCTGATTCCTACAGATTCTTTTATTTCTATAAAAGAGCTAAATTAGAAGATTCTGTGATCAGCTAGAATGGCAGCGAAGGAGCATGTTCTGAACTATGATCCAGGTTCATTTTTAAAGGCTCATGATTCACATTGCCATTTTTATTTTTGAAATATTTTTAATTTTCTTAAATCTAGAAATCAAGGCCCTAAGAATGCCCTAAGACTATTTTCGGTTTAAAATTTCAATCTCTGAACTTACTCAATAAGTGACTTAGAATCTAGACTAGATTCTTAAGTAAACTACTAAACTAAAACAGAAATAACTAGACTAGATCTAGATCTAGACTTAGAGTTAGACTTAGATTCTTTCTACAAAGTCACACTAACTAAGTGACTAAAGTTAAAGTGACAAGCCTATTCCCTTACTATTCTATTATAGAATATAGTTTATAGCCACGATAGCCTATTTAAAAAAAATCTAAAATAAAAATAAATAGGCCTACTAGATTCTAGATCTAGATCTATATGCAACTAACTCACTGCAAGCCAGGTTCTTTATTGCTTACCAAGAAAATTTAAATTTTAGTCTACAGAATTAGTAGTGAACATGAATTTCTTTAAGTATAAAGCCTAATCAATAATAAATTAATTAGCCTAGGCCTATATTTTCAAATTGTATTTCTTTATGAAATAATTGAAATGAAAACTGAATATTTCCAGAAAAAAATTATGATGAGGATACAATGGCGCAACAGAGAGAGATTGAGAAGGAGGTAATGGCATTTTTCTTGTTTGATGCTGCCAATGTGCAGTAAAAAAAAATTAGGCTTCTGCAGGGTAGAAATAAACATCTACTTAAATGCAAGTTATCAGTTACCCTGCTTCTTTTGTTGTTTCCATATTCACATTAAAACAATATTTGAAGACCTCCCAGTCTTACTTTATAGTATTATTTTCCCTATTTAATTTATTAATATGGTGCTTCTAGATAAGACAGATAGTTTTATTGACCATGTTTTGTTGCTAGTCAGTTTATGTATTTGAACAAGTCAAATATGTCATTACAAAAATAGATTGCAGAGTCTCAGCCACTCATCAGTGCACACTTTACCTTTGATGGCATCATTGAAGAATACACAAGAGAAGATGCGGTTTACCGGCATAAAATAGAGGTTGGTTTGATAGAGAATTTCAAGTCATCACTTTATTAGTAAAATGTATTGTTCATTACATTTTGATTTCTATTGTTTATCTAGTTTATAATGTTTTATTAATAACTTTTTCTATGGAACACAACTATGTTTCTGCAATTAAAATAATTTTGTAAAGTATATTCTTAAACTTGTAAGTTACATTATCATATTTTAAAGATTTTTTTTTTCATTCAAGGACTTAAAAAAGCGCTATGCCAATATGAGAAAAACTAGAGGAGATGGCAACTGCTTTTTTAGAGCATTTGGTTTTGCATATCTTGAAACCCTGTTAAAAGACACAGCAGATTATCAAAGGTAAGACAGGCTAGCATGTACTGATATGTACATATTGCACATTCTCTGGTTTTGTAACAGCATGATTTTTATTTCCAATTTAGTAATAAACTGCCTGTAGAGTTTCCTGCATTATACGAGACTGGTCATCCCAATCTTCTATTATTTTATTTTATAATCTATTATTTAAGAAAATTATAAGGCTAATTGGGAGCAAGCCATAGTTGAGTAAACTATCAATTTTATGTTTGTACTGTTTTTAAATTAGGTCACAATGTCTGTCAGTCTGTCTGTGGGTGGGCTTGTGGTAATCTTGAAACTTAATTTTAGCCCACATCTAATGTGGTGGGCTTGTGGTAATCTTGAAACTTTATTTTAGCCCACATCTAATGTGGTGGGCTTGTGGTAATCTTGTAACTTAATTATAGCCCACATCTAATGTGGTGGGCTTGTGGTAATCTTGAAACTTAATTTAAGCCTAAATCTAATGCACAATGCTAACAAAACTTCCCAGGTAGATTTATTGTTGAAGACTATGCAGTATCCAATAATCAATTTAATTGGAAGTGAAATTAGTCCTTATCAATTAATGTTAATGTTTACAAAACAATAGAATTAAATACAAGTATAAATACCTTGATTAGAAAAAAGCTTGTAAGTGAACTAACTATAAGATTAAAATACATTTTCATTGGCTTAAGTAGTAAATAAAAGTTGAAAATATAACATTGCTTTTGTTTTTTTGCAGTAGCTAAAGAAAATTTGTTTTTTTTCTTATGTATAGTGAATTTTAAAGGTTATTATTCTTAAGGTATTTTTACTGCTGAAATCTGGCAGTGCGCTTAACAATGTGCATACCAAAGAAATTATGAATTAGACCACTAAGTTGTTTACATGTATCATTATTACTAGTGTGAGAGGATTGATGTAGCCTGGTTTGAAATTAGGGCAACAGCTGTCAGTCTAGTGATTTCATACTTCAGTTTCTGCATCATGATAAAACACAGACAAGTCACAAAGCCAATGTTATTACAAACTAGTTGAAATAGTTCACTTAATACTTTATAATGTTGTACATTAAATATTTTTAAAATACTCAACTGTGATAAAATCTGAAAAAAATTCATACTAATAAACTTGACTATAATTTTTCTGTGTCAGATTCTTAGGGATTGCAGAGAAGTCTAAAGATGAACTGATAGCCCTTGGTTTTCCTCAGTTTACACTTGAAGATTTTTATGATACTGTAAGTACTGATCAAGGTTTGGGATGTGTAGGTTAATATTTGGTGTGAGAATGGATCAAGTTTCAGTTGGAGAATGGATCAGGTTTTGATGTGAATATGGATCAAGTTTTGATGTGAGAATGGATCACGGTTTGGTGTGTGTTTTGATAGTTGTGTAGCATGTATAGTTCAAGCGTGGTGTATGTAGAAATATTGAGCAACAGCCATCATATAATTTAACCAAACTTCCCCCTTGACTGTGTTTTGTCTAGTTCATTGACATAGTGAAGCAGGTAGAAAATCCTGGTACAGTGGAGAAGCTTTTGGAAACTTTTAATGATCAGGGACTCTCAGATTACTTTGTAGTGTACCTCAGGTTTGTCAATTTGAAATTATCTTGAATTCTTTTACTTTTGATATTTTGTTTAATAATTGATTGTTAAAGAAACTATACTAGTATTGTAATAAATGTACTTAATACTAGTACATTTATAATGTCAAACTAAAGTACTTTTTCTGTTTATAGACTTTTAGTGTCAGGTTACTTACAGAAGAATGAGGATGAGTACATTCCCTTTATTGATGGGGAGAGAACTGTCAAGCAATTTTGTATGCAGGTATGGACCAGTTTTGTATTATAAAATTCAGTTGAGGTTTAATGATGTAGAGATAGATATGTGATGCCCATACATGTCTTTAGGTTTAATGATGTAGAGATAGATATGTGATGCCCATACATATCTTGAGGTTTAATGATGTAGAGATAGATATGTGATGCCCATACATGTCTTTAGGTTTAATGATGTAGAGATAGATATGTGATGCCTGTACATGTCTTGAGGTTTAATGATGTAGAGATAGATACGTGATGTCTGTACAAGGCTTGAGGTTTAATGATGTAGAGATATGTGATGCCCATACAAGGCTTGAGGTCTAAAACTGATGTACATCTGTTTCAGGAAGTGGAGCCAATGGGCAAAGAGAGTGACCACATCCATGCGGTGGCCCTGACAAAAGCCCTGCAGGTCCCCATCTGTATCGAGTACATGGACCGCGAGGGAGACAAGTGTAACTCTTTTATCTTTAACCCTTCAGATGCAGCAGACGCCCCAACCCCCAAGCCAGCGTTAACCCTTTTGTACCGTCCTGGGCACTTTGATATTCTTTACCCGCAGTGAGCGCTTGTTGAACCATTATGTTTGTGAGAACTTGCAACAGTTTGTTTGAAGATATTTTTTGTTCTGGACTTTTGTTATAAGAACTAGCAAGAAATTAGTTTGATGACTTACAGTGTTATGAGAGCTAGCAAGGACCTTGTATGATACAGACTTTATTTGTTGTTGTAGATCACAAAGTTTTGTCAGGCTAGATATCAATTTTTTTCAAGAAATGTAAAGATCTATTGTGGCAACAAATGTCAGATTCTGGTCTTTAAAAACTTTCTCATTCTTCAGATCTGGTGTTAGGTATAATTTAAGGTCATTTATTTATAGTTAATTCTTTTATTTATTTGTACATGCATTTTTTAATTAAAACATTTTTTTTGGTTTCACAAATAAAATTAATGTAACCAGATATATTATAAATTTTATAAGATTTTGCGACACTAAGTGATACACTAAAAAATAAAATACTTACATTGAGAATGCAGACATTCATATTGTAGAATTTTATGATTAAAAATCCATTTATTTGTTTGCACACATTATAATTTTCTCTGTAATGTGTTGTCTATTCTGGGCAATATAGCATAAAAATGTTTACTATCATTCGAAATTTCAATTATAATTACTGTTAATTGACTGTTAGTCAAGATTATAGCGTCCAAACAGACATGCTCATAGTAATTAATATCTGGTTTTGTACTTAAACTATTTGGGTACTCAAGTTAAATTAATATAAAATACAACATCAAGTTTTTTTTGGCCTTAAAAATTGGTTTATGTATATAATATTAAGCAAGAACAAAACTTTGCTTAAATGTTTTTGCCTTTTGACACATGTTTAATAGAAATGTTCTAGTTGGGTAATGTAATAATACATTTTATTTCACACTGGTACATGACATGCAATATTTTGTTAGGTGTGTCAAGGTTTGTTTTTAGGATTTTTATTTTTAGACTTTCTACATGTTGGGTGCCTATTGATTGCATGTATGTATACTGTTAATTGACGGCAGATGCACTTTTTTCATGTATTGAACCTTGTGTTTATTAAATATTTTTTATGTTTAGTTTAAAAACTGATTTTTTTTAATGTGTATACTACTGCTGGTGTGTCCATCATTGACTGCCAGTGTGTCCATCATTGACTGCTGGTGTGTCCATCATTGACTGCTGGTGTGTCCATCATTGATTGCTGGTGTGTCCATCATTGACTGCTGGTGTGTCCATCATTGACTGCTGGTGTGTCCATCACTGACTGCTGGTGTGTCCATCACTGACTGCTGGTGTGTCCATCACTGACTGCTGGTGTGTCCATCACTGACTGCTGGTGTGTCCATCATTGACTGCTGGTGTGTCCATCATTGACTGCTGGTGTGTTGACTGCTGGTGTGTCCATCATTGACTGCTGGTGTGTAGAAATATTATTTCTATGTGGTCTCACCCCAAATAATTTAACCCACCAAATTGCTGGCGGTACCAACGAGTTCTTGGTCCGAGATTTCTGGACAAAAATCGTTAACACCGTTTTCTCTCAAAACAACCTTTACTCAAGTCAACGAAGGCTACAAGCGTCTCGTCAGTTGTCTCCCTTTACTAATAACAACCGCGGTAAGGGAGGGAAGGTTTGAATTAGACAAATCCAATAGACACTCTTCATTTGTAGAGGTTCATTTAGTCCACGTTCCTAGGATTGGCCACAGCGGGCTACTATCTCGGCAATTGACTGGTACGATTTATCTTGTTTCTTTTTCTCTGTGTGGAGGCACATCACCGATGTATGTGGGGTCAAATCACTGATGTACGTGGGTTCACATCATGTACGTGGGGTCACATCACCGATGTACGTGGGGTCACATCACATCACCGATGTACGTGGGGTCACATCACATCACCGATGTACGTGGAGGCACATCACCGATGTACGTGGGGTCACATCACATCACCGATGTACGTGGGGTCACATCACATCACCGATGTACGTGGAGGCACATCACCGATGTACGTGGGGTCACATCACATCACCGATGTACGTGGGGTCACATCACATCACCGATGTACTTGGGGGCACATTACCGATGTTTCATTTACAGATTGCTTGTGTCTTTTCCCATGTTATAATATACGCCTAATAAAATATGTATCTTATCTAACGGTACCGTGGTCTGTGGTCCCAATAGTACCGAGCAGTACTGTGGTCCCATCAGTGCCCTGCTCCCATCAGTACCGTGGCCTGTGGTCCCATGAGTACCGTGGTCCCAGCAGTATCGTGGCATGTGGTCCCAGCAGTATTGTGGTCCCATCAGTATTGTGGTCCCAGCAGTACCGTGGTCCCAACTCCCAGCAGTACGCTGCTCCCATCAGTACCGTGGCCTGTGGTCCGCATAGTACCGTGGCCTGTGGTCCCATCAGTACCGTGGTCCCATCAGTACCGTGGCCTGTGGTCCCATGAGTACCGTGGTCCCATCAGTACCGTGGCCTGTGGTCCCATGAGTACCGTGGTCCCATCAGTACCGTGGTCTGTGGTTCCATGAGTACCGTGGTCCCATCAGTACCGTGGTCTGTGGTCCCATGAGTACCGAGGTCCCAGCAGTGACCTTGGATTTAACTGGATTTTTGTGCAAGCCTTGAACAGCTCCGTACATTCCACAACAGAAACCGTGAAAAAACAACTGGCATCTCTATAGGTGGTCACGTGATATTTATTATTGCCTTCAGTCCCCTGTATCCCAAGCAGTGTTTGTGATTTGTCGAGTCTAAAGTTTTAAAAAGTTGTCGCTAATCTACTACTTTTAGTGCTAAAAAAATCTGCTGGTTCTTAGCCAAATTTGGATGAGGTCTAGGTAATTAAAAAATTTGTGGAAATTTCAATAATTTAAAATCAATAGTCTTAAGATGTATTTAAACCCCATCCACTTATATAACAAATATAATAGTAAAAAATAGTGTATGTGTGTGTGTGTGTGTGTGTGTGTGTGTGTGTGAAAGTGTCTTAAAGATGATTACACTCGTGGAGACTTCTAGTTACTATGCCATGAAACACTTTTCAAAAAATATTAAAATTGTAACTCTTATTTAACCCACCAAATACTTATACACAGTTTTTGTCTAACCAAAGAAGTGTTATCGAAATAAAAATGTTAACAAAAAATCTTTTCTCTTTCACTCTAACCATCTAACATTTATCGCAAGCAAAGAAGGGAAATAATTGATAGTGCGAGAAGCCGCCTCCAAAAATAGCGCGGTTCATCCAAGTACCAAAATCAATTGGAGTTATTATACACAATGGCTGTGTTTTAGAGGGTATTTTTGCTACCATTATTACCGAAAATGGCGTAGCTTGGCTTATTGGACCACACTGATATTTACATAGAGCAACATAAAGCCTGTCCTACTGATTAAATCCTCTTGTTATTCAAGTCGGCACATCGTTAGTCCAGGAATAAATACTGGCGCCTTTCTCAGCTCACCAAAGCTTCAGATTATTACTTTGACGAAAGACCAGTGAAAAATATCTTTACAAAAGTGAAAAAACATCTATCAACAAACTCTCATTATAACGAAAACAATATTACTTTCAATGTTTGTATGCCCCATTATCAGAAACTATGGTCTGTGAGTTATTTTCACATAGCCTAAATCATCAGGCGTTTTGTTTGTTTGCACTACCGAGATAAAGAAGTTCAAAACTCAAATCGTGCAGCTTTCAACACAACAAGGGGGAAAGAGAGTTCGCATTTTACCATCCGGGCACAATCTGACTGGTTTAGTAACTCCATTGAAATGTTGATGAAGCTAAAATATAAAAAATATGACGCTCGAGTGGTCAAAGTTCAGACAAAGTGCTGAGTGACGTCAAGACTCGGACAAGTCCTCGTGAATGTCCACGTAGAGGTCCGGATTCTTCATGCCGATGACCATCTGAAGACAGATGTAGCTGTAGAGCTTTCTCCAGGCCTCGCTGACCTCTTTCGTGTAGCCCTCACCTAACACTGCGGCCAGACCAACGTGCATGGAGGGCCACATGCGCTGGGGAGATAACATGACTGGTCATATGACATGTGTAGGGAGAATTTGACATTGGTCATATGACATTTGTAGGGAGAATTTGACATTTGGTTATATGACATGTGTAGGGAGAATTTGACATTGGTCATATGACATGTGTAGGGAGAATTTGACATTGGTCATATGACATGTGTAGGGAGAAATTGACATTGGTCATATGACATGTGCAGGGAGAATTTGACACTGGCCATACGACATTTGTAGGGAGAATTTAACATTAGTTGAATGACATGCACAAGGAAAATTGACATTGGTCATATGACATGTATAGGGAGAATTCAACATTGGCTATGACATGTATAGGGAATATAAGACATTGCTCTTATGACATTTGTATAGAGAGAAACACAGTTTCGTCTAACAATGAAAGCCTCCCTACCCCAATGTCACACTGACCTTGAGCATGTGGGGCTTGATGTTCCTCTTGTCGTGAGTCTGACCCAGCCCCCCCCCCCCCCAATGTCACACTGACCTTGAGCATGTGGGGCTTGATGTTCCTCTTGTCGTGAGTCTGACCCAACCCCCCCCCCCCCCCTCCCACCCCATGTCACACTGACCTTGAGCATGAGGGGCTTGATGTTCCTCTTGTCGTGAGTCTGACCCAGCCCCCCACCCCAATGTCACAATGACCTTGAGCATGTGGGGCTTGATGTTCCTCTTGTCGTGAGTCTGACCCAGCCCCCCCCCCCCCCCCACCCCATGTCACACTGACCTTGAGCATGTGGGGCTTGATGTTCCTCTTGTCGTGAGTCTGACCCAGCCCACCACCTCAATGTCACAATGACCTTGAGCATGTGGGGCTTGATGTTCCTCTTGTCGTGAGTCTGACCCAGCTCCCCCCAACCCCCCACCCCAATGTCACACTGACCTTGAGCATGTAGGGCTTGATGTTCCTCTTGTCGTGAGTCTGACCCAGCCCCCCCCCCATGTCACACTGACCTTGAGCATGTAGGGCTTGATGTTCCTCTTGTCGTGAGTCTGACCCAGCCCCCCCCCCACCCCATGTCACACTGACCTTGAGCATGTGGGGCTTGATGTTCCTCTTGTCGTGAGTCTGACCCAGCCCCCCCCCCCCACCCCATGTCACACTGACCTTGAGCATATGGGGCTTGATGTTCCTCTTGTCGTGAGTCTGACCCAGCCCCCCCCCACCCCATGTCACACTGACCTTGAGCATGTAGGGCTTGATGTTCCTCTTGTCGTGAGTCTGACCCAGCCCCCCCCCCACCCCATGTCACACTGACCTTGAGCATGTGGGGCTTGATGTTCCTCTTGTCGTGAGTCTGACCCAGCCCCCCACCCCAATGTCACACTGACCTTGAGCATGTAGGGCTTGATGTTCCTCTTGTCGTGAGTCTGACCCAGCCCCCCCCCCCCCATGTCACACTGACCTTGAGCATGTAGGGCTTGATGTTCCTCTTGTCGTGAGTCTGAACCCCCCCCCCCCCACCACCCAATGTCACACTGACCTTGAGCATGTGGGGCTTGATGTTCCTCTTGTCGTGAGTCTCACCCAGCCCCCCCCCCCCCCCACCCCATGTCACACTGACTTTGAGCTTGTGGGACTTGATGTTCCTCTTGTCGTGAGTCTGATCCAGCCCCCCACCCCCACGCCCATGTCACACTGACCTTGAGCATATGGGGCTTGATGTTCCTCTTGTCGTGAGTCTGACCCAGCCCCCCACCCCCACCCCATGTCACACTGACCTTGAGCATGTGGGGCTTGATGTTACTCTTGTCATGAGTCTGACCCAGCCCCCCACCCCCACCCATCCCCCCCAGCCCATGTCACACTGACCTTGAGCATATGGGGCTTGATGTTCCTCTTGTCGTGAGTCTGACCCAGCGCTATGAGGACGGAGTTGAGCAGCTGTGAGTCGTGTAGTGTCTCCACGGCCGCACCCAGCCCCTCCATCACCGTCACGGCGTGCTTCTGTGGACAGTAGGGTACATGGGGAGGGGGAGGGGGTGTGGGATACGTGGATGGTTGAGAATACCATGGGACTGAGTGAATTGGTGAACTAAGCTACAGACATTGATATTACTGTTCTATTATGACGTGGACTGACCTACCATCACTTAACCACATGAAATGACCTACTACCACTTGACCCCTGACCTACCTCACTTGACCCCTGACCTACCACAACTTGACCACTGACCTACCACCACGTGACCACATGAACTGACCTACCACCACTTGACCCCTGACCTACCACCACTTGACCCCTGACCTACCACCACGTGACCACATGAACTGACCTACCACCACTTGACCCCTGACCTACCACCGCGTGACCACATGAACTGACCTACCACCACTTGACCCCTGACCTACCCCACTTGACCACTGACCTACCACCACTTGACCACTGACCTACCACCACGTGACCACATGAACTGATGTACCACCACTTGACCCCTGACCTACCACCACTTGACCCCTGACCTACCCCACTTGACCCCTGACCTACCACCACTTGACCACTGACCTACCACCACGTGACCACATGAACTGACCTACCACCACTTGACCCCTGACCTACCACCACGACCACATGAACTGACCTACCACCACTTTACCCCTGACCTACCACCACTTGACCACATGAACTGACCTACCACCACTTGACCCCTGACCTACCACCACGACCACATGAACTGACCTACCACTACTTGACCACTGACCTTCCACCACTTGACCCCTGACCTACCACCACTTGACCACTGACCTACCACCACTTGACCACTGACCTACCACCACTTGACCACTGACCTACCACCACCTGACCACTGACCTACCACCACTTGACCACATGAACTGACCTACCACCACTTGACCCCTGACCTACCACCACTTGACCACTGACCTACCACCACTTGACCACTGACCTACCACCACTTGACCACTGACCTACCACCACTTGACCACTGACCTACCACCACTTGACCACTGACCTACCACCACTTGACCACATGAACTGACCTACCACCACTTGACCCCTGACCTACCACCACTTGACCCCTGACCTACCACCACTTGACCACTGACCTACCACCACGTGACCACATGAACTGACCTATCACCACTTGACCCCTGACCTACCACCACATGAACTGACCTGCAGCATCTCCTTATCAACATCCCACTCCAGCTGGTTGCTGTCGTTCATCCTGATCAGTTTAGGAAACAACATCTTCAGGTCAGGTTCAGAATCAAACAGGCTGTGGATAGAACAGACAGATTCAAACAGGCTGTGGATAGAACAGACAGAATCAAACAGGCTGTGGATAGAACAGACAGAATCAAACAGGCTGTGGATAGAACAGACAGAATCAAACAGGCTGTGGATAAAACAGACAGAATCAAACAGGCTGTGGATAGAACAGACAGAATCAAATAGGCTGTGGATAGAACAAACAGAATCAAACAGGCTGTGGATAGAACAGAATCAAACAGGCTGTGGATAGAACAGACAGAATCAAACAGGTTGTGGATAGAACAGAATTAAACAGGCTGTGGATAGAACAGTCAGATTCAAACAGGCTGTGGATAGAACAGAATCAAACAGGTTGTGGATAGAACAGAATTAAACAGGCTGTGGATAGAACAAACAGAATCAAACAGGCTGTGGATAGAACAGACAGAATCAAACAGGTTGTGGATAGAACAGAATTAAACAGGCTGTGGATAGAACAGAATTAAACAGGCTGTGGATAGAACAGACAGATTCAAACAGGCTGTGGATAGAACAGACAGAATCAAACAGGCTGTGGATAGAACAAACAGAATCAAACAGGCTATGGATAGAACAGAATCAAACAGGCTGTGGATAGAACAGACAGAATCAAACAGGCTGTGGATAGAACAGAATCAAACAGGTTGTGGATAGAACAGAATTAAACAGGCTGTGGATAGAACAAACAGAATCAAACAGGCTGTGGATAGAACAAACAGAATCAAACAGGCTGTGGATAGAACAAACAGAATCAAACAGGCTGTGGATAGAACAGACAGAATCAAACAGGTTGTGGATAGAACAGACAGATTCAAACAGGCTGTGGATAGAACAGACAAAATCAAACAGGCTGTGGATAGAACAGAATTAAACAGGCTGTGGATAGAACAGACAAAATCAAACAGGCTGTGGATAGAACAGAATTAAACAGGCTGTGGATAGAACAGACAAAATCAAACAGGCGTAGATAGAACAGACAGATTCATACAGAATGTGGATAGAACAAACATAATCAAACAGGCAGTGGATAGAACAGATTCAAACAATGTGGATGTATTTGAAGTCAGATTTAGATTTTAACAGATTAAATAGAGTGGGACACGCTGATTAGCGAATCATGTATGAGAAACACAAACAGCAACCTGAATAGATTAAATCCTGTGTGACTCTATATGGTAGTGAATATTTGTAGTGCTATTTGTGTACAGAACTTGTTCCGTTTGTGTACAGAACTTCTTCCGTTTGTTTCAAGTGTTGAGATAGAGCTACTTTATGAGACTCTGGAATTTATTCTGTCTAATGCTGGCATAAACCTATTTTCGGACAAGGCTGTAAAACTTTATAATGTAATTACCGAATGTTAAGCGGAAAGCGGATTTTTTAATACAAGTAGTCTGTTCACTGTCGGTAACTGGTCTGCTCCCTGTCTACCAAATTGCCAACAACCACATCCCCAACAACCACATTGCCCAGACAACCCCCCCCCCCCGCATATAATTGGGTGCCCCCGCACTGTACGAGCGGACATTATGTGTTGCCCAGACATCCCTCTCTCTCCCCCCCCCCCCCACCCCGCACATAACTGGGTGCCCCGCACTGTGAGAGCGGCCATTATGTATTTACAATTAAAACCCAAAGCTCGTGCTAGATCAAATCCGCCATCTTGATTTCACCGCCTGGAATAACGGTTTCCAAAAAGCAGCTTTGGGGACGTGTACCACGTTCTCAAACTCCCTCCCCCCACATCCCTTCTTCGACCGTCATAGGGCATCCACCGGAAGTGACATTGTTGTGGAAAAATAAAAGCTGTATTTTATTGGATTTTTTAAAACTGTATGGCAGATCTTGATAAAAAGATGAAGCAAGGATCCATAACTCACTGTTAGTATTACCCGATGTTTTCTGTGTTTTAGAGCCCCTGAATTCATCGTCTGTAGTAAACCCTGATTACGTACATAAAAATATAAAGCACAGTATTCGAAACTGAAACCTTTTAGGAAAGCCCTGCAGTGAACTAATTTATTATTTGGAAAGTTAACTTTCACTGTAGCATTTATACGGCTAATGGTAGCATGCACTACTTATAGTCATAGTTGTCTACAGATAGTTCATTGTACAACAATGTGAGTACACAATTATACCGACTTGCTGTACACAACCAACAATATGCATGAAGACAGATGGTTGTACGCAACAGCAACACACAAAAAGACAGACCATAGCCAGGTCATTGACACGAAGCGGCCATCTTGAATATATTAGAAGTTTCCCTAGACACAAAAAAAAAGTCCAGACCAACTTTGTGATCTGGTTTATCTCTATCACAGGGTCAGAAGTGGATCCCGTTTGTTGTAATCTGAAGAGGGAGACTCGTCTTCACAGCAAACAAACACGAGAGACTTCAAAAACATTTCAAATACAGGAAAAAGTTTGCTGTGCACATTTTTTGATGCGCGTAGAAGAAAAAATTCGCACTACAATTACGAGTGAAGTTGATGAGTAGTTTGTGTGCGTGTGTGTGTGTTGGGGGGGGGGGGGGGGGGTGGCAAGAAGGTATCTAGGATGGAAAGAGAGATATTTTCGTTTCGCTTTGTATCCTTATTGTGCGTTTTACAAGCTTTTGAAACTAAAGGAGCTGAAATTAATTTTAGATACAGGAACTTTCAGTATATTTTCGCTCTTTTATTCATTTAATTGGTGAAAACTTGAAAATCAAACGGTGCAGTTTTAAGTGTGAAAATTAATTACGTCAATTAAATACTACAATTAAAATGCTTTGATATTAACGACGTACTTCTGGTAAAAGTTAGGCCTTGAGGGTTTCGCTTCAAAGTAAATAAATAAAATAAAATGGTGGTTTGCTAGAAAAGTGAGGGGAGTTGTTAGAATGGTAAAGGGAAACCATTCACTATAACTAAAAGAGTTGTGAGACAATTTTACAAGGTTTGTGGAGGCCACTAGTCAAACTGTAGGGACGCAGTGGTCTAGCGGTAGAGAGCTGGACTGCTAACCGTAAATCTCGAGTTCAAATCCCGGTTCAAGTCAGTAGACCGTCCCTGAGTCCACCCAGCTCTGATGGGTACCTAACTCACGTTAGGGAAAGTAAAGGCGGCGGGGCATAGTGCCGACCACACTATTCTTTCATATGCCGAGGTCACAGAAACAAGTGAACTCTACTTCACTTGCCCCGTAGACCGTCAGGTTAGAAAGGGAAACTTTACTTTACTTACTTTACTTGTCAAACTGTAATGGTGACTTGTCAGAAATATTTTTAAAAATGTAGACGAGATTTTTTAAAAATTTGTTAACTAGGACATCAACAAAGATTATCAGTGAGACGAAAACTTTCAGAATTGGTGAGACGAAATCTTTCAGAATTAGTGAGACCAAATATTTCAGAATTAGTGAGACCAAATCTTTCAGAATTAATGGGACGAAATCTTTCCGAACGAGGGAAGAGACCGAGGCAGCTTCCCATGCTGTGAGGTTTAGGTCAGGATTAGGTCAAGATTAGAGCCCCTGATCTGTAATCCATCAACACTGCACTCGTTTGACCCTTTAATTCCCAAAACTTTTTTTGAGTTGTACAAATACAAGCTGCTACAAGATTTTGGGTTGAGTTGCGTTAATTAGCTATCTCTCACATAATTACCAAGTTACATGAAGCTTTAGAGCTTGAGATCAGTTTTGTATTAACTTGATCATTCAATGAAGAAATCAGTCAGACAATTCAGTGGTACTTTTATGTTTCTAAACATTGTAATTTTTCATGTGTTAATCTAATTATTCACATAAATTATTAATATAAATTAACTGTTTGATAGAATGCAAGGAATCGAATCTAAGACTTCTATTAACAAATTACTAATAAAATTTTTTATCGACCAAGCCACAAACTAAATTTTTTAGCAATTAACTATAACACTTAAACACTCTTACCACGAACAACTCTCTAACCACGAACCACAACTCTCTAACCACGAACCACAACTCTCTAACCACGAACCACAACTCTCTAAACACGAACCACAACTCTCTAACCACGAACCACAACTCTCTAACCACGAACCACAACTCTCTAACCACGAACCACAACTCTCTAACCACGAACCACAACTCTCTAACCACGAACCACAACTCTCTAACCACGAACCACAACTCTCTAACCACGAACCACAACTCTCTAACCACGAACCACAACTCTCTAAACACGAACCACAACTCTCTAACCACGAACCACAACTCTCTACTGCTGCGCGTGATGCGAGACCGTGACGTCACTCCATCAGTCATCACAACGATTTCCTCTCATCTTTAAGTAAATACACGTTATTGTTATATTGTAAACCCAGTCTGATATATGTTGATATATTACGTCGCATAACTCTCAGCGTAATGAAAGTTTACAACATTCTTATTTGTCATATCACAGCTTCTCCCATGTAGCATATCTAAAATAATATCACCAATAAAACATTACCCAATCTGATTGTTATCATTTTGTTATTGTTTACATTAAGCTAGTCATGAAGGTCCCAACAAGTATAACCCTAAGAGTAGCCACCCTTTAGTCAAAGCTTGAGGTAACTAAACTTGCTCTAATAGCCACCCTATTAATACACGTTGTAAAACAATGTAATCAATGCGAGATGATAATTTCGTTGAACTTATTCAAATTTATTCAAATTTATTAAAAAAAACTTGATTGGTAGACACGAGAACAATTAGGAGTTAAGTGACATCAATTTTACGTGACAGATCTGGTCGAACTGTTCCACATATGTTGTCACATATTTTATTGACATAATGGCCAAGTGTTGAATACATGTTGGTCAGATATTACCCACATTTTGGCACGAAATTACTCATACATATGTGTGCACACACGCACACATGTGTATGTGTTTGCTTGTATGCGCACGAGGTGTGTGTGTATGTAAATATATATGCGTGTGTGTGTGCCGTATGTTCGTATCTGTGCTCGGG